GTCGCCTCCTGAGTCAGTGCAAGTGTAACGATAACGGTGGCAAAAGCACAGCACATGAAAAGCATTGTATTAGTAGATGGACATGATGAAGGAAACAACGGTTAGAAACGACTCTGGGTTACTTGGGGTTACTTATTGGGGAGGCTGTGACCTAGGTCTGTATATATAGTATATAGATTTATGGGTCAAACTAATATAATTTACATAGGGCCTCACTTAAGCAAGTTTGCATTGGAAATTTTAGTTTAAAATCATAATTTTTTACCTTTTACATGTATATCCCCCCCCCCTAATTAACTGTACTGTTCTCTTTAATCAAAATATGTTACTTATTTCCGTAAAAATGAAAACCTAAACTAACATTTCCAATCCAAACAAGCTTAGCTTAATCTCAGGCTTTCTTCTGTCGGCCCTTTAAGAATATCTACTGTAAAGACCAAGGCCAGGTTATTAACTTTTCACTCACCTGTTCATAGGCATCGACCGCGGCAGCACTTGTGACTGCTGCTGCTGCTGCTGCTGTTGTGTTCGCCGTGCCCACATCCGCTTTTTGGACATAGTTCGAGGGGAACATGCCAGTGCGATTGCCAATTGTGCCCGTCCACCACTCGCCCTCCTTCTTGATGACCATCACCATTTCACCGGCGCCAAAGCTCAGGTCACCCTCCTCGGCAGACTCATAAGGATATGCGGCTATATAGTACTCCACATCACCGGCGGCAGTCAGATCGGCAGTTGGCTCTGCAGCAGCATTGATATTGTCATTGTAGGTGTCCGCCACCACCGATGCCACTTGGGCCACGACTTGCGGTTCAACGGCTGCAGCAATGGAGGTACCCACTTCACCCTCCAGTTTCTCCACATAGGATTCGGGGAACCAGCCGGTGTGGCCATTAATTTCGCCAGCCAACCATCCAGGCTCGGCATTCTGTTCCAATGGGACCAAGATGATGTCGCCTGGAACGAAGGTGATCTCCTCAGCGTTGCGAGCATTGAATTCGTAGACAGCTCGAAATTTGGCGAAACCCTCGGGCGCCGGTCCACTGAGATCTGCTGCGGGAGCAGTCACAGCACCGATATCGTTGCTCAGGCCGGCATAGGGATCCGCAGCGGCCGTTTCCGGTTCGCCCCAACCACTTGAGGCGCCCGTATCCCAGGCCGAGCTTGTGCTGGTCTCGTTTTTGCGATTGTACTTCAATTCCAGGACCGAAGTGCGCTCCACATCGTACTCCTTGTACAATTCCTCGCACTTGTTGAGCAGAGCGCAGAGTTCCGCCTTCAGCTCAGTCATTTGTATGTCGTTGGAGTTGATGTCCTCCTTCTTGGACTCGATCTCCTTGCCAATGTTTTCCACTTTGTCTTTAATTTGCTTGATGAGAAGCTAGAGAGGATTGGGGATTAAGGATATATAATTGAAGATTTTTCCCTTCCAGCTCACCTGCTTGTGTGCAAAGGCTGCATTCAGCTGCTCCTGCTGGGCATTCTCGCCGCCCATAGCCGCATTGCTGGCCTTGCTCTTGGCATCCCACTTGGCCCGCTCCTGGGTGAGCTGCAGCAGCTTAGCATTCTGCTCCTTGATGCGAGCCTTTAGCTGGGCCATCTCGCTCATGGAAGTGTCGCGCTGAGTGCGCATGCCATCGATGACGGTTTTTACATTGGTGACGCCAGCCCGGGTGTCGCAGATCTTCTGGGAAAGGTCCTTGATCTGAAGGAGAAAGACCATCAATAAAAATTCTAAATTTTAGTGGTTTAAATGCTTACCTTCTCATTAAGTGTGCTCAGTTCGACATTAAGCTGGGTATTGTGTGCCTTTTGCTTGAGGACACGCTCCTGTTCCCTTTGCTTCTGTGCATTCATTTCAGCAATTCTGGCCTGCTCCCATTCCTGCTGGCGCTGCTTTTCCAGTTCCCTAAGAAAAAAAAGAATAGTAATTGATAAATAATTAATAATTTCATTAATTGATTCAGCTTACTTTCTGGCCGCCTCCTTGGCCTCCAGTTCCCGCTTACGCTGCTCCTCCTTCTCCATCTCAATTTCCCGCTGACGCTGCAGCTGTCGCTCCAGCTCCTCCTGCTGCTTACGCTCGGCCTCCAAGCGTGCCTTTTCGCGCTTCTCTATCTCTTCACGCTCTTTGCGCTCTCGCTCTTCCCGCTCCTTGCGCTGCTGATCCTCCATGACCTTGCGCCTGCGATCCAGCTCCGCCTGACCCTTTACATAGTTCTCCTTTCGCTTGTCCTCGAAGGAAGCTGTGTAAAAATAAACTTATAAACCAAATTTCACAAAAATAAAAGCCTTCTAGAACTCACTTTGTCCTGGCAAACCGGCTGCCGGATCAGCATCTACGGCTCCCGCAACTCCGCCCTGCGAGGACACTGAGGCATGCCGGGAGGCAGGCTGCGAGCCAGGGCGCGACACCACTCCGGAAACTGAGCCCGGCCGCGACTTGATCTTGCGCAAGTTGGGCGGCACCCAGTCCTGGGGCAGAGTGACTGGTATCTTTTCCCCGCCCATGGCCTTCTCGCACAGGAACATGGCCAGAATGAACTCATCGCAGCTAAGCCGTCCATCGCCATCAATGTCGGATAGCGTCCAAATCTGGGCCAGCGTCACCTGGGGCAGCTTGCTCTGCACTAGTACTCCGCGGGCCTGGGCTCCGGTCAAGAAGCCCGAACGAGTGCGATCGTTGGCATTGAAGACCTGCGTGTATTTGCGCTTCTGAGCTGCTTGAACGGCCCAGTCGCCTCCTTGCCTGTAGGTGGGTATAAAAATGAAAGGGGATTTGTATTTTAAATTAAATTTTCTTGGTTTATCTCTTTGGCCCCTATTTTCTATAAATACTTATTTATCACTCCTTTTATCATCAGTTATTCTTATCTTCCTCAAAACTTAACGACCCTCTTTCTAACCCTTAAGCATTAAATTTGATAAATATTTTAAAGATAACAAACTTTACATATTAACAAGTGATATAGGCTTCACGATCGTATACTCAATTTCTGCTATCTTTAGTGTTTTTTAGAGGTATTTTAATAAAATTAAAAAAAGCCCAAGCCCTGTATTTCTCTGTCACAATTTCAGTTTAAGAAAGCGATAAGAGCTCATAAAAACCCCCATTACCTATAAAATACTCTAATATTAAGAAAAATAAGCAATTCCAGCAAAATTTGACCTACTTAAACCCACAGCTTCCCACGAAAAATGACTATCTACAAATTTACCCCCCAAATAAATAATATTTTTTAGCGGAAATCTTACAGAGATTCGATGGAGGGCGCTCGCTCCGAGACGGATGTATGGCGACTTGGTGGGTTGCTGGAGGGCGGCGTGGGACCAGCCGGCAACTTGGCTTCCACAACGCCCGGAGGCGAAATAACAGCCGCTGCCGCAATTGGAGGAGCCACCGCGGCCACCACTGGCGGAGGAGCTACCACTGGTGCCACGGCGGGCACAATTCCCTTGAGCGGATCCATCGGACTCATGGAACTGGTAGAGCCGCGTGGCGTCATAGAGGGCGTCTTCACTCCATCACCGCTGAGGGAGGCCAGCAGGCTGGGCGGCAGCACCTTGGGCACCTCCATGCCACGCAGCTTTAGGTTGATCAGCTTGCAGGCAATGCTGAACTCGTTGATATTCATCTTGCCATCGGAGTCGGTGTCCGCCAGAGCCCTAAATAGAACAAGCAAGCAGAACAGCGGCAAAGCGGATAAGTGAATGAGCATAACAACAAGCTCTTATCAGTCCGGAAAGACCCCGTGAGTCATCTGAGGAATACGTACCATATCTGGCCCAGGATTAGCGGCGGCAGCTGCGACTGCAGGAAGAATCCCTTGGCCTGGGCTCCGGTCACGAAGCCCGCCTGAGGCTGGAGCGCCTTAAACTGCTCCTGGTACTTGACCCGCTCCCGCTGGGTCACCGCCCACGCATCCACAGCCGGATTCATCGTTATCCTAGTTTTGCTAAGCTCCGCCTCCGCTTCCTCTGCCTCTTATCCGTATCCTTGCGTATGTACGTTCGAAAGTGGGCGCCTGTTTGCTGCCTGTGTGGGTGTTCGCTTCTCGCCTGCTTAGTGCGCTCTCTTCGGCCGCTGCTGCTGAGTACACATCAAATACATGCTCCGCGCGCTCTCTTCGCTCGCTCTCTTTGCCGCTCTCTTTACTACGACGACTCTGGCCTATTGAGTATCCGTTTTGGCTCCCAACCACCCCACGAAATTTTCACAATGGATTTTTATGGTCTACCTGCAAGGTAATGCAATTCGAAATTCGTAAATTAGCTGGCTGGAAACTCAAAAATGCAGCCAGAAGCACCAGCAATTCGTGTCAATTCGATCGTATCGTTTTTATTTTCGCCTCAGTAGGCGTTTTCACTCGTCGTGCCAGCCAACGACCGACGGCCACCCACAACTGATAAGCGATGCACCAACACGAACCGCACTGCTAGCGCGTCGGCCTCAGCATTATCTGCTAATTTGAATGGCTTTTCCGGCAGCTTACTTTGCATTGGAACACAAATTTTTGTATTTGCGTAAATTTTATTTCAATCAATAGTCGGTAGTGTGACCGGCCTGGGGAATGCAGAGAACGTCTCATCAGGGATGGCAATAATACAAATTTATCGATAAGTTTAATGTCGAGATTGTATTTACAAAATATTTTACTTCGCAGCTTAAAAATTAAGTGGATTAAGATGAAGCACCCAAAAGAACATTTTTCTTATATATTTAAAGAATTTTATTATTTAAAACCAACTGATTAAAACATTGTTAATTTTTTTAATAATAATAACAGTGTAAATATAACATGCTCATCAGCAAAATTTTCTTAAATGTTAAATTTGGTATGCAGATTTGTTAATCTAGAAAAAAACTAGCATAGAAAAGCTTTCCGAATTTTTAAATATTTATTTAAAGAATTCAAATATTTCCGTGTGACCAGCTGCCGAGCAGGAAGAAATCCACATTTTTTCCCCACTGGATTTCTTTGGTTATACTTGGGCCGCTTGGCCACGGTCTCTTTCTTTTCAACCACGTGGACCTGGTAATATCAGAGCAGCGGAATTTTTGGCCAATTTCATGTAACGAAATGTCGGAAACTTCAGAAGACGAGCAGGCGCAGCTGCAAACCAGCGACGAAGAGGAGGAGGACCTAAGTGGCGAGGAGGAGGAAGAAGACGAGGGCAGCGATGAAGCGCAACAGAGTGGCGACGAAGATGGAGCAAGTGGCTCCGCGGAAGAGGAAAACGATGATGATGACCAAGCCGAGGAACAGAAGCTGACCTGGAAGGATCTCGTACGTTGCCCTGGACCCACTTATTATTCTAGAGATTATAATCCTTGTGCTCTGTAGGGCCTCAACGAGACTTTGTGCAAGGCCTGCGACGAACTGAAGTGGAAGGCGCCTTCAAAGATCCAGCGCGAGGCCATACCGGTGGCCTTGCAGGGCAAGGATGTGATAGGCCTGGCCGAAACGGGCTCCGGAAAGACAGGTGCCTTCGCTCTGCCCATTTTACATGCTCTCCTCGAGAACCCGCAGCGATATTTTGCCCTGGTACTGACGCCCACACGTGAACTGGCCTTCCAAATCGGCGAGCAGTTCGAGGCTCTCGGTGAGTGTCCCATTTTTATGGCATTTTTATCAATACCCCCACAATGATGTTAAACCTGTTTTGATTTTGTTTATAAAACGAAAATATGAAATTATTATTTCTTTATTCGTCACTACCTCTGAGGCTTTAGTACCTTCAAAAGCTATTCCGGGTTTCTATATTAAAACATGATCTAATTGGAGCTCTTTCTACGCTCTTTCAGGAAGCAGCATTGGGATCAAATGCTGCGTGGTTGTCGGCGGCATGGACATGGTGGCCCAGGGTCTGCAGCTGGCCAAGAAGCCGCACATTATCGTAGCCACACCAGGTCGCCTTGTGGATCACCTGGAAAACATGAAAGGGTTCAATCTGAAGGCCATCAAGTACTTGGTAATGGACGAGGCGGATCGTATTCTCAATATGGATTTCGAGGTGGAACTGGACAAGATCTTGAAGGTGTTGCCACGCGAGCGACGCACGTTTTTGTTTAGCGCCACCATGACCAAGAAGGTCAAGAAGCTGCAGCGTGCCTCTCTCAAGGATCCCGTTAAGGTGGAGGTTTCCAACAAGTATCAGACGGTGGAGCAGCTGCAGCAGTCTTACCTCTTCATCCCGGTCAAGTACAAGGACGTGTACTTGGTGCACATACTCAACGAACTGGCGGGCAACAGCTTTATGATATTCTGTAGCACGTGCAACAACACTGTGAAGACTGCCTTGATGCTCCGGGCCCTGGGGCTGGCCGCCATTCCCCTCCACGGTCAGATGTCCCAGAACAAGCGCCTGGCCGCCTTGAATAAGTTCAAGGCCAAGAACCGTTCCATACTCATCTCCACGGACGTGGCCTCGCGCGGTCTCGACATCCCCCATGTGGATGTGGTGGTGAATTTCGATATACCCACGCACAGCAAGGACTACATCCATCGGGTGGGACGAACGGCGAGAGCGGGACGCTCGGGCAAGGCCATCACCTTGGTCAGTCAGTACGACATCGAGCTGTACCAACGCATCGAGCATCTGCTGGGCAAGCAGCTGCCTCTGTACAAGTGCGAGGAGGACGAAGTGATGGCTCTCCAAGAGCGCGTGGCTGAGGCTCAGCGCACGGCCAAGCTGGAGCTGAAGGATCTGGAGGATACCAAGGGTGGCCGTGGGCACAAGCGCGGCGGGGACAACCATGATGATTCGGAGCACTTTGCGGGTGCCCGAAAGCGCATGAAGCCCATGGGTGGCGGTGGTGCCAAGGGAGGAGGTGGTGGTGGTGGCGGAAAGAAAAGCTTTGGCAAAAAGAACTGGAACAAGGGTGGCAAGCCAAGAAGATAGTTTTGATATGCATTATATACTTAAGACTCGATTTTATTTAAAGCTACTTTAATTCCATAATAAAACAAAAAAAAAATAATTATACGGTAGATATTTGTGTTGGTTTCAATGTGTTGTTTTGAAATGTGAAGGTTAACAATGCCTGCAAATTTAATTATTTTATTAAAAACGTCCAACATCATAGGAATATTTCGTCAAAGCTTCGATCAGAGCTAAATTGTTGAAGTTATGCGTAAAGTTAAAGCCAGTTTAAAAATCTATTCAGACCCACCAAAAACTTGTCTAATAAATAGAAATTAGATTATTTTAATCATATAATTGATTACAAATATATTTATTACATAAATGTATCAAATATCAATTTATTTAATGGAAACAAGAAATTATCAAAATCGTCAATTTTGCTGCAAAGGTCTGCCCCAAGGTCACAAAAATATATAAGAGGAAACGAAAAAAGTCGGTGAAAAATTACATTGAATTCAAGTAAGAAAAACCATCCTATTGAAACCCAGAGGGAAAATTAAGAAACGTATTATCGTCGGTTGCTTGGCTTCTCCAGATCGACGTTGGATGCTGCTGCTGCTGCCCTTGACGGTTTCCAGGTAACTGAGCATTCCATACACGCGAGGGGCCAGGACCTGCTCCAGGCAGGTCGCGACAAGGATTTGGATTCGGATTGTGGCTCCAGTGTGGCGTTAGAGCTGGATTACTCCTTATAAGCGATGGACCAGGAACTGCTCCAGGCAGATTTTGGTTCGGTTGTGGATTAGGGTTCCAGAACGATGCTGGATACTGTGGCGGCTGTCCACTAGCGGAAGATATCCTAATGAGAGAGGAAGCTGCTCCAGGCAGCCGATCTTGTTGCGGAATGAAATCGGGAATTTGATTTGGATTTGCATTGAGGTTCCAGATCGATTGTTGATGCTGCTGCTGCTGCTGCTGCGCCGGAGATCTCCGAGAAAGCGCTGGAATGGACTCTGCACTCGTCTGTTGTAGATTCGAATTTGTTTCCAGGTTGGAGAACTTGTCGACGAGGGTTTTGAGAGCTGGAGATCGGGCATACTTGGTCATGTCAGCGAGCAGCATCATCATGGACTTCTTCTGTAGGGCCTCGTTCTTCGTCACATCTGCCCATGTCATAATCCGTATCATTAACTCTTCGGACAACAGGAACTTGTATGTTTCGTGCAGTTCCACCAGCTGATCGATGTAATCCTGCCAGTTGCCTGCTTCCAGTATCTGTAATATTGTCACCATCAACTCACTGAACTTGTGTGCCTTGCTTGGAATCCACAGGTCGGTCATCAGGCAATGCGTGGCCTCCCGCTCTAGACCAGCAACCTTGAGCGCTCGAAAAACATGCCTGACAATGGGCACTGTTGTGTTTTGATAATAACGACTCTTGGCCAACATTTGCAGCAGATGCTTGTAAAGTTTGCGCCGCTCAAAGATATCCGCAAAGCACTTGAAGTACCGCTCGAAAATGTATAAACTGCGCAGAGCCTGTCGGTAAGTACTAACCAGGGCTTCCTCCGTCATACTGAGCAGGCGCCTCTCCACCTCGCCCACCGGACTTGTCGCGTGATCGCAGTAAGCCACCAGGCACTTGTTACCCAAATAATTGAGGCACTTGACTCCAAAGATCTCCGTCATCCAGTGTTTAGCACTAAGGCCTTGATGTCTGGGAGGTAACATTTCGGCGGTGGCCAAGTTTTGTGGGACATACTGGGAGGCCCCGGGAGGATGCTGTTGGACTGATACATCGGGGGGCATCTCCCTACAAGGCCTAGCCTCGCCAAGATGCCCATAGTTTGACTTTTCCCCATTGCTGGGAGGCACAAAAACCGGAGCCAAGTCTTCGGGACCAAACAACGGAGGAGTAGCCAAGTCCTGGGGGCCAAACATTGGCTGCGACAAGTCTGGGGCCACAGGATCTTCGCGAGTGGGGCGATATGGCGGTGCAAATTGCGGCATTGTTTCCTTTGGACGCCTGGCAGCCTTAGCCTCCTCTCGCCTTCTGCTTATGTCTTCGGCTACAGGCGGAACAGGCGGAGGCACTGATTTTATTTTCTCCCTCTGCTGTTTCTCATCCTGTTGTAAATACAGAGTTTGCATCACGACAGGCTGTGACTTGAGCAGCTCGGGTGCTAGCCTTGGAATCCGAAAGTTTCTCAAGTTTTCCGTGATCGGAATTTCGGGTTGGTTGCTTGGAGGCTCCGCTTGAACCTTTGGCAGATTGGTCTGGTTTACAGGCTCGGAATTGTTTTCACTCGGCTTGGTTTCTCCTTTCGACTTACTGGGGCATTCGTCCTCCAGTTCATCCGAAGAGACCTCCAGCGTGAGCACATCGTAGTCAGGCTCATAGTCTAGCACCTCCCCTTCGTCCATGAAAGGCCACAGTAGGTTTGACTGGTCTGCACTCACATCTACGGTCGGTCGACTAGGTAGCTTCTCAAAGAACTCGGAAGTATGGGTGAGCTGATCTTCGACTGCTGTCTTGGGACTCGGTGGAGTCTCGCTGGGCGGCTTGTTGTCAGTTGCCTCAAGACATCGATCGAGGGACATCTCTGTCTGCGAGTCGATCAACGCGATCTGGTTAGCCACAGTTTCATCCCTAACCAGCAGGTCAATGTCAAAGTCGATTTCTAGGGCATTCCTATCACCCTCCTCGCCACCTACTGGGCTGGTTAAAGTCATGCAATCGTCGAGTAGCTGCTCCTCTGCTTCCAAATCATTGAAAAACAAGCCCGTTTCCTGGAGGATGAGATGCTGCACATCTTCATCTTGATCGCTTGAGATTTCTTTAAGCATCGAACGTTCGTTTTTTCTTATCCGCACTACGTCCTTCTCATCCTCTGCCTCTTCCTTCTTATATCCTTTCTCCCCCACTTTATCTTCAGGAGGCTTGGTGGATGGATTTTTCAAATCTATCGCATCCGCTGGCATGTGGGCCGGTGCGACCGCATCTTCATCTAAGATCTGTGAGAAGGAAAAGGAGTTACGTGACTTAATGAAGAGAAAAAAGCTTACAGCGGGTTGAACGACAACATTTGATAGTATGGCAATGTCCGCTCCATCCTGATCGGTGACTGAAGACGATGACTGACATCTTGGCTTGGCTGTTGGCTTCTTTTTGGGTGGCTTGGCTGTTGGCTTCTGATTGGGTGACTTGGCATACGTGTGGAACTGAGTCAGCTGGTGCGGAAGTTTTATAGTGGTCTGCGAGATGGTTTTCCGCTGCTTCTGCTGCTTTTTACGTGCATTATGTGTCTGAGGAGCTCGGACTTGTTGCTCCAGATCTTGCATCGCCCCATCTGTAGTTGATTTCTTTATTGGTTCCGAAGTTTGATATATCATCTTTAGCGCATTCTCCTCCTCCAACCGCTTGGCCTTCTCCTCCCGCGAGGGGCGACCCCTCTTTCGCTTTATTGGCAGTTCAACTTTAATATCTTTTTCAAGCTTAAGCAGCAGAGATCCATTTTTAGGGCTTCCTTCCTTTAGCTTTTTACGCTGAGCACTATACTTCTTCCAAGCCGCTAGCGGCATCTCGTCTTCCAGCTCTTCGTCCGCGACAGTTGGCATCTTTCCAACGTTTTTTGGCTTGCTTTTCGATTTGAACCCCGACGGACCAGCAACTGAGGAGTCCCTACGCTTGATGCGATTGGGAGTCGTAGGAAAAACTGAATATTTAGGATTCGGTTTTAGATCCGTGTCTGGGCGCCTGGGACTGGGGGCCAAAGGGGAGATTATTTTAATTGGTTTCATCCATTGATTCAATGCCATTAAGTCGTGGCTATTGAAAGCATCACAATCGATTTCGATTTCATTGAGAACAGAGTCGCTGCGCTTAATGGGGCTGAGAAACATATCTCCATGATTATTGGGATCGAAATCGTCAGCAGTCACTGAATTTGTACGTTTTACGGTTGGAAGTAACGGATCGCAGTCCTGCCCTTTGATATATAAACTCTTGGTGGGAGTTGCTGTTGGTGGAGGTGCCAAAGAATTACGCCGCTTGATCGGAATGAATAACGGAGATAATGGCGCTGCCACGGAATTGCGCCGCTTGATGGGCGAAAATGATGGAGATGATGGCGCTGCCACGGAATTGCGGCGTTTGATGGGACTGAACGAGGTAGCAGAAGGCGACGCCAGAGAATTGCGTCGCTTGATGCCATTGACGGAGGGAGTAGAAGGCGGCGCCATGGGATAACGATGCCTGCCTTTGTCATTTTGTCGCTCGATTAGAGGGTCTGCAGCAGGAAGATCTTTCTATTGGTGTAAAAAAAGAAATTCATCTGAAAATCAGAAGAAAAAAAAAGAAGAAAAATTGGCACTTACTTCGTCGTCGAGCTTGAGGTAATAAATCCTGTTCCAGCTGCGCAGGTAATTCTTATATAAATCGACCCATTGCTTCTCCGAAAGCGATCCGGGGCCTACTAGGGTTAAAAGCTGTTGCCAGCATCCTAACCTGTCACGTTTTCGCATTCCTAATCTTTAGCGTTGTTTTGTCGACTCGATTCTTCACGCAACGTTTTGCAAAAGTTTGCGGTACTTTGAGAGTGTGACCATGCAGAGTTAATTATGGCGTCCCCGGGTAGTGTTGGATAGCGCGTGTAGAGATAGGGTGATGAGCGCCCGTATTAGCTAGATTTTTGAAAAAAATTTGCTAAAATTAAAAAAAAAAATTATGCTAAAAAACAAGCTACACCCAAATGAGAGAAAACAGGGAAACATATGGGTGGCAAAAATCATTGGGGGCTATATTTCTAATAAGGTTTTTAAATTTTTAATTTCAAATTTCCGAAAGAAAAACATTAATTCAAATGTGATTGTTGATTAATTTATAAAAGTTTTTCTTATGTGTAAACAATAATCTTATTAAATATGCATTTTTCTGACAAGGGGATTAGAAATTTTGCCGTCGATCGTGATCTTTTCCTGTTTACATCTACCTGTATATAAAGGTTTTATTTATAGTTTATTCTAATATTTGTAATATAATAATATTTCTTAAAGTATTGTGTGCATTTATATAGAGACTACAATTTTATGATGAATTTAATTTGAATTTAACCTATCTCATATCTCTTAGAAACAAGGTCCACAGCGGGTTTTCTGTTTCTAAAATAAAAACCAATACTTACCGAACTTCCAGTCATAGTTTTCGCTACTAAAACTATTTTAAATTCAACAAAGTTGTATAAAAACTCCCCGAAAACCAAAATTCAAAACAAAGTCCTTGGTTTTATGTTATAAAAGGTGTTTTATAAGCAATTACACCCTCTATGATGGGTGCACTGTAAAGAATTTATTGTATTTAATGTTAATCTGCCGAAATTACATTGGAATTAAGCTAATTAAAATTTCTACACGGTATATAAACAAATCAAAGGTCAGAATTGTACTAATCATAAATATTTGCACAATGCTCGCGGCCATTTGCAGTGTAGTTGTACAGTCGATATTATGTGAAAATCCCCCCGTCCGCGCAGTTAGGAGCATTGCAAGTCAAACAGCTCGCAGATGCCTTCGTCGCTTTTCAGCACAAAGTTGAAGTCTTCTTGGGGTGGGTTCAGCTGCACTAGTGGCGGGTTTTCTGCACAACGCGACAAAAAGGGGTTAGCAATCGCAGGTGTAAATGAGATTTACGGGAGAAACTCACCTAGATTTGGGTCATCGGGATAGAAACGTCGCAGTGAATGCCCGGTCATGTAATTCTGAAATATTATCTTAGCCGTCAGTTCGTTTTCGAGCACTTTTATATCATCCTTAAGGTCGGGATTGCACGAGTACGTGTGCTCATCGGTGATCACGTTCCCCGTGGTTCCCGTGCCCTTGCCATCCTCGCTGGAGCGTGACGACATTGAGGGCGAGGGCGTGTCCAGGCGCCGGTAGTCGAAGAAGCCGTCCGCATCGTGAGGACTCGCTGTGCTCTTGCCCTGGTTGGTCACCAAGCGAATGTCAATGGTGCTGCCATTATCCAGCGATACGCTCAGTTCGTTCTGCAGAGAGAAGTAAACGGGTTAAAGGTAAAGTTTATTCGAAATTCGTAGTTATGGATTTACTATTTCTTTATTTTATTTATTTAATTAAATTAAGCCTAAATTATCATACCAAACCATATTAACTAATAAATTTAATCATAAAACTTACCTCATTTCGCTGTATCTCCACTTCCTCGTCATAGTTCGGTATGGTAAATACAGAATCATCTCCATAGAGGTCCAGCAGATCGTCTCGGGTCAAATACGCATACGAGCGATTCGCTGGATCCTGCATTACATAACGCAGATTGCGCTGTGCGTACTCCAATTGTTTGTCCAACTCGTCCTCTTGCAGTTTTAAGTGATTGGTCCGGTCACGTGCCTCCTCGTATTCCTCTTGGTCCTTGGCATTGTTGAACCCCCCACCGCTGAAATAGATAAATATTCAATTTCTATTTTCTTTGAATTACAAACTTTAAAGGTTATTTTTTACACCAAATGAAAATGTTCTCGCTATTCATATACAAAAGATGAGGGCTTAGATAAGAAGAACCACTATCAGTTCATTCGATTGAAGTTACACATAATGTCCCCTGAAAGTCTTCTATAAAAACCCAAGTTAAACATCTTCCCACACAGTTTTCCTAATTTTTCCAGCTCGCGGCTAAAATGGAAATGAGCTATGCTAAACTTACCGCCAGCGCACTAGGGAGCAGTGTCTGCCTTTATCAATTAGGCCAATGCCCTCTAGCACATTGGTGATATCGTATATACGCCGCTTCTGCACGTCCAGGATTTTGGTGGCCTGCGATATAAGAGAGGAGTATAAAGCGTGGTTCAGGCATGGTATTTTTAGGGTCGTGTGTCATCCTACCGCTTTCAGATCGATAGTGCCGCCGTTCGCCTTCATGAGATCCACGAATTTCTGTGTGAGCAAGACCAGCGAGCCCACGGAACGCTGCTGTCCGGGCTGCAAGTGCGGAGACTTCAGGGGCGTGTGCGTGTCCTGGGATGTGTCCATGCCGATGGTCTCGTACACCTTGGTAGGCGTCTGGGGCTCGTCCATGTCCACGTTGCCGGAACCGCCAGCACCTCCGCCCATCATCACCACTGTGGAGGAGCCCGCTGCGGAGCTGCTGTCTCTTTTAACAATAGTCGTCGATTTGCGTTTGTACATGGTCTGCGGTCGCTTTGAAGACAATTTTTCCGTTCTGGTAACTCGTTGTGCGATTGCACTCTGCATTCAATACTTAAGAAACACGAAATAGTGCGAAATTAGTCCAAATTAAATACAAATGTTGGCGCTGAAGGTTTCCGCCATTTATGTCACTTTTTTCATTCTCCCTCTATTCTACCCCCGAGTAGTGTGCTAAAGCGACGCCGCCTTTTAGCAACACTCTATCGTGCTATCGATATGCCCGCTTACTTTCCAACACTGTTAATTGATTTTGAACAACGCAATTTCAATTTTTTCGAATCTTTTATTACATATATATTTTTGTAAGCTTGAGGAATTCAGCTCTTCTAGTTGACTTTTGGCTGCTTCAGTTGTGTTCGCATAGCATGTTCAGAATTTTTCAATTTTCTACGGAAAACAATTCATCCAACTTTGAGCGGCATTCAATTCTTCAATTCTTCATTTAGGAGCCGTAGTTAAGGTAGCGCAAGGATGCAAGGTTCAGGACGATATAATTTTATATAATTGGTTTTCACTTTTTGAAGTATTCAAGATCAAAGAGATTTTTCGTTGAATCTCCCGACTAGTGTGTTGCGGCAGGTGCTTCAGCTCTTCCTTTAAATTGAAGCAGAACTCATTTAGGTCATCCTTAAACGGGACTTCCTTTATAGCAGAGTATTTTACATGGCTTTGTAGAGTTTCTTGAGCAGTAATATTGGATATAGATTTAGATTCTTCCTGCAGCAGAAAATTGAATTCATCCAGGAGGTCAAAGGTCGGTCTGGGGAACCAAACTCCCAGCCGTCGGCATCTGTCCATCCGCTTAAATACACACAAAGCCTTCGCATGCAAAATCTTCATATGGTATTCAACGTGAGATGGAGACAGTCTGCCCCCGAACTGGCGTGCTATCCAGCCCCAAAGTTCCTTTTGTTTGCTCTGCTTATAGTAATCTTCGTGCTGACAATTCCAAAGGCATTCGTGGCCAGCATAAAACCGTATCATGGTCAATAAGTTACCCCTGTTTTGAAAGATTTCACCTGGATTAAAATTATTTTCCCGACATGGCTTGGTTAGGTGAGAGTTGCTGAATTTGTGGTGGTTTAAGGTACTCCTTAATTTAGGCATATTTTTGATATTTTATGTTTTCCAATAAGTGCCAAAATGAGGAACTAGCCTACTAAGCTTGTTTTATATTGAAATATAATTTAAATATTTATTTAAATATCGAAAAACACGAGGGCGCGCCACGTTGTCTTGGCGGAGCCTTTAGTCGCTTTTCAACACTGTCCCTTTTTTCACCTTTGTTTTGTTCACACATTCTGCTTTTGAAAAAAAAAATAAATAAATAAACGTGCCTGGGGTTGCAGCTCATTGTGTTCTATATAAATATATTAAATATACCTAGCACACTAGCAAAATGCCTTCCAAAGTTAAGCCGCGCCTTTCGCGTGGTGTCCTGGACATGAAGTTCATGCAGCGCACCAAGAAAAAGGTGGAAAAGGAGGCGGACGACGAGCAGAGCCGAGCACTGTACTCCAACGAGATCAACGAGAAGATGATCAACTCCAGCTCCAACTTCATCGTGGAGTCCAGCTACTCCATATGCGAAGGCCTCATCGACGGACGCCTTAGCTTTCGGGGCATGAATCCCGAAATCGAACTGCTGATGGAACAGGAACTGGCGGAGAAGCGGGCCCATTCGAAACCAGAGCAGCCCAAGGAGGTCTCCGACAAGGATATGGCCAAGGCCTATTACGCCAACAAGGCGCCCACCGTCACCAACAGCATGGCCAAGAAGTTCAGCTCCAAGAAGAACTTCAAGCGAAAGCAGCACGGCGACGACCAGGCCAGAAGTCCCGGCTATCATCCCAAGACGAAACAGCAGTTCAAGAAGCCCCGCGAGGATGACGATTAATTGTTTACTCTTTAGTTGTTACAAACACTGACCTAGCCCTTAGTTAACTAAAATATACGACATCAAGTGGATCCTCTTGCTTAGGCGTTCTTATTCTTGACCGCCTGCAGGGCGTAGCACATTTGGGTATTGTTGATCCAGCGCCAGGTGTTGCTCCAGAAGTCGTAAGTGCTACCATTCACCAGTACCGTCTGGCAGTTCACTGTAAAGGGATTAAAAAGGGTTGGTTGCAGGGTGTGCACCTCGTCAAAGGTAAAGCTTACTTGTATCCAAGATACGCTGCACATCCAGTGGCGAAATCATCTTGTCCCAATGATGCGTTCCCTTGGGCACCAGATTCAGGACATATTCGCTTAAAATAACACCGCAGAACCAAGAGGGGATAGTCTGGTTCAAAGTGGTGATAAAAATGGATCCGCCAGGCTTTAAAGTGCGTACACTGGCCTCCAGCAGTCCTATCTTATCCTCGACATGCTCCAGCACCTCAGACACAATCACAGAATCGTAGCACTCGCAATTGCCTTTGGCATGCTGATCTACCGGCTCTATTTTGTATACAACATTGCTGGCCAGTTCCGGACTGCAGCTATTCAGGTGATCGCGGGCTGCATCAATGAGCTTCTCGCCAAGATCGATGCCCGTAACCTGGGCACCTAGCCGAGCCAGTTGCTCGGTGAGCAGGCCGCCGCCACATCCAACCTCCAAGATTCGCTGTCCCTTGAGCACTTTTGTGGTATTTACGTAACCAGGCTCCACTGTGCCGCGCGATACGATGCCATCTCTGATGAAGGGAACTCTGTGGGAGATTAGAAATTGTTACCCAAACTCCTTACAAGTGGAACTTGGTTGTTTTTACCGAATCTCGTTTAGGGCATGCAGTGCTCCCATGGATCCGTTCTGATTCCACCAGTCGGAGGCCTGACTCTCATGATGCCGGACTTCCTTCTCGGTGCCGGCATCAAGAGTCGTCGTCGTTGTGCTGCTGTTCCTCGGGAAACTTTGCGCCAGAACACCTGCCACCGGTTGCCTCAGCCTTCTGGAATTCAAAAACTGTAAGTTAATATCATATTGTTATAGTTTCTTTGTTTTAATTTACGCAGTGGCAAAAAACGTATTTCTCAGCATTTTTAAAAGTGCAACAACAACAAGCTTTGACAGATGAACAGCTGACTTTGTTTTGCTGCAACTGTTGTCTGCAGGGGCGCCGTTAGAAGCTTTTTTTAAGGGGTCTGGCTGAGATTTGTTAGAAAAACAAAAGAAAAGCGGTAATTACTATAAAAACATAAAAATTTTATAATTTAATTTCTTATAATTTAATTTTTTTAAGAAATTTAAAGAAAAACATAACTATATTAAAAACAAAGCTGATGATAATGGGGGCACTTGACTTTAATAAACCCCCTTGACTACGCCCCTTGGCGAAAAGTGAGAGAGGGTCTATTGAAACAAAACACTCTCTCCGTAGCTGCTCCGATCGTTGGTTCTTTATCATTCTTCTTTTACCGCTTATTCAAGAGAGAATAGCGACGGCGACTATATCACCTGCCAATATCGATAAAGATAAGCAAGCCATTGTCGCCGCTAATCGTCGATCCCAGGGCCATTTTCACCATGGCCCAATACAAGACGCTCGAGAACCAGGATTCCGATGTGGAAAGTGGCCCCACCCCCGCTCCGGCCGCCCAGGACGGACAGCAAGAGCGACCGAAGCCGGTGCCGGAGAGTCCAGCGGCTGCCCAGATGCTAACGGTGTCTGTGTTCATGCTCCTTTTTCTCGGCTCGTCGTATTTCCAGCCGCGGCCACGTTTCCAGCAGTGGCGTGGGGGCAGAGGTCATGGTCTGCACGCCAAGTATGACTGCAACATCCAACTGGTAGAGACGATACCTCTGAACCTGACATATCCTGCCGGCAGCCCGCAATTCCTGGGTACCTATGAGGCCTGGCTCCAGTTGCTGGACAGCGCCAAGGAAGCCTTGGACATTGGTTCCTTCTATTGGACTTTGAAAGAAGAGGACACGCCTGGAGTGAACGACAGCAGCACACAGCCGGGCGAGGACGTGTTCGCCAGGCTGTTGGCCAACGGAAATGGCGGCAGTCGCACACCGAGAATCAAGATCCGCATAGCCCAGAGCGAACCATCCAGTGTGTCGCCTAATATGGACACCAATCAACTGGCCAGCAACGGAGCTGCCGAGGTGGTAAGCGTGTCGTTTCCCAAGTTCTTCGGCGGCGGCGTTCTGCATACTAAGCTGTTGATCGCGGACAATGAGCACTTCTACCTGGGCAGCGCCAACATGGACTGGCGGGCCCTCACCCAGGTCAAAGAAATGGGTGTCCTCGCCACAAACTGTCGCGCGCTGACGATTGATATACGAAAGATCTTCGAGGCCTACTGGATTCTGGGGCACACAAAGGATTCACGAATTCCGAATTGGGATTGGAGACTCAATACGAACTTCAACCTCAAGTCCCCCATGCAGATAAATGTGAACAAGAACACCAGCATGGAGGGTTTCATCTCCAGCTCACCGCCACGCCTTTCGGCCTATGGACGAACTGATGACCTCGATGCCATCGTCAGCATTATTGATTCGGCTATTACCTATGTGAACATCGCCGTGATGGACTATTATCCATTGACCATCTATGATGAGCGGCATCACTACTGGCCCTTCATTGACGATGCCTTGCGTCGGGCGGCTGTGGAGCGCGGCGTGGCTGTGAAGCTGCTCATCTCCTGGTGGAAGCACTCCAATCCCAGCGAGGATAAGTATCTCAAGTCCCTGCAGGATCTGGCCTCCAAAGAGGACAACATCGATATACAAATTGTGAGTTGAAAGGGGATATGAGAGTTATCACACTTCAATTTAAGCTCTTATTTTGTTGATGCATTTTGTAAATTTAAAAAAGTTATTTAATTTAAAAGAATGAATGTTTATTTGTTCTTAATGGAAGGCCCTAGGTAAAGAGATGTACATTAATTAGATTGTAAAAAATTGTTAAATAATATATATTTTTTATATTTAAAATGTTAGGTATATTTTAAAATATTCAAAATATTATCAATAATTCAACATATATTCCCTTGACAGCGCCGCTTTATTGTACCCGAGAACGAGAGTCAGGAGAAGATCCCCTACGCCCGGGTCAACCACAACAAGTACATGGTCACCGACCGAACCGCCTACATAGGCACCTCAAACTGGAGTGGCGACTACTTTACGAACACCGCCGGCATTGGTCTGTCGTTGAGCGAAACCCACGAGACAGAACACACCAAGACTCTAAGGAGCGACCTGCGCGACGTCTTTGAGCGGGACTGGAACAGTGGCTATGCTCACCTGCTGAAATGAGCAGACATGCTTTTTTTATTTGTTAATTTTACAAACTTTTAATCTTCTACCGAATTCAAAGTATTCCATCCACTCCTCACAAGTTTTTCAATTTTATTCATTGCTTTTATTCAGTTTTGATTATGCGTGAGAGAGTAAATAATGAGGGGTTCGTTGCACGACCACATAACAGAATATACAAAAAATAATACATGTGTACTCTGTATGAATAATTGGAATAATGCAAGTGTATATAATATTTACAGGGAAATATAAACAATATTATAAAGTAAATAATGCAAAATAAGGAAATTCATTTGTCGTCAGTAATCCATCGTCGGTTGCTTTTGATTTGTAACTTTTTCTTTTTGTACAAAGTGCCTCCGATTAAGCTGCCTCGCTAATTGTACGCTAAATACTCTTCAAATTTAATGTTTGCACTTAGATTAGGTTGGGCGAACGGGCGAACGCGCGCTGCCTTTGTCGTCGAATCACCATCTGGATCCTTGCAGGCCTCATCACTTGACGTTGGCGCCGCGTCTCAGAAAATTGTTGCTGGCAATGCTCTTCTCAATGGCCACATTGATGAAGGACACACGCGCCAGGAGTGTATTATAGATCAGCAGCAGGCATCGGGCATCGATGGCTGGAAAGGAGGAGGAGGAACGCATTAGTACCTGCACAGGATAAGCATAGCTCCAAACTCACCTGCATAAAGAATCTGCTCGCGACGCAGCGGTCGATTGGCCCAGTTTGAACACTGATTCGACTTGTTCAGTTTCTTGCCAAGGCACACCAGTGAGAGATCGGTGAGGGCATCGCCAGCCCGGTTGACATTGCCGTAGGGCAGCTCCACCCCGTAGCGCTGCTTTTTCAGCTCCAGCCACAGATTGCGCAGGTCCAAGTAATGGTGTGGCATTTGCAGGCGCAGCTGCAGCGGCAGGGACCGCTGCAGGACACTGAGATCACTCACCATGGAGAAGCCCACCTTCAGGATATTGACGTTATTGAATATATTGGCGCCCAGCGAGCGCCAGTGCTCCGAACGGATATTTTCCCGAGCCAGACAGTCGATCAGGTAGACATTGTGCCCGGTGGCGATCTGCAGCAGGCACAGCGGGCTGTCACCGCACACGTTTTGCATCCACTCCGAGTCCAGATAAATGATGTGCTCCTTCTGCAGGTGGAACAACATACGCTCAAACTGCGCCGCCGTGTCCACAATGTTCAGGCACTCGTCCGGCAGGTCCATGGTCAGGTACATATCACAGCCACTGGCCTCGCTGCCGCCATCAGACTCTCGATTTGCCGCCTCCGTAAAACCATTCCGCGACACCTGCGACTTGATCTCCAGCGGGCAATCGTTGGGGTTCAGCTTGAACTGCCTATACCAATAGATAGCTTCTGAATGGGCCTGTGCGGCGGCCAAATAGCTAACAAAGTCCTTGCGCAGGGCATAGTCGTAAGCGTGGACGCTCACTAGCTCGCGAAAACTGGCCAGATTGATGCGTGCCTTCTCGTACTCGCGGTAGAGGTAATGAAGGTAGCTGCACGTCTTCGTGAATTTGTAGTTGGGGGTGACGGCGTCGTCAAAGCTGTACTTCTTGGCCAGCCGCGCCACAATCTTAGAAATGGGCCGATAGCTGAGCACGTTGTGTGAGATCTTCAGATTCTTGTAGCGCCCCAGGAGATCCTCGCAGAGCTGGATCACCGGCTTCTCCTTGTGGAGCAGCGAGTCGAGAAACTTGACAAACGGCAGCCGCTGCTCGGTGGCATGGTCCAGGTACTCCTCGGCCAGCGGAAGCTTCTCCACCGCTATAAGTGGAAAGGCCAGCTCCATCATGTCGAACTCGTGCGTCAGCTGCAAGCTTATGGCCCACTGAGTTACCTCCTTGACGTGCCCCGCCTCCAGCAGTTCGCGCAAATGGGGCAGCAACAGCTCCCGTATGTGTCGCAGGCTGTAGGCATGGATCACAGCGTTGTTGAGGCTCAGCAGGCCCGACATCTTCACAAAGTTAAAGGCAATCATACTGGTGTTCGGATCACAGCCCTCCTCGCCGATAAGCTCCGGGTACTCCTCATGTAGCTTGCACACCGTGTCCAGCACGAAATGCGACAAGCTCTTCGGTTTCACATTGCTGCTGTCGGGACAATTGGCGAATATCTTGAGAGCCAACAGCAGGGCCGGCTCCGGGTGGCTCATCAGCGCCTTGCCAAACTCCTGGCGCAAATGCGGCGACTTATTCTTGCTGTACATGTTCCACTTCTCGCGGAACACTTTGAAGAACTCCTCCGCCTCGGCGTCCAGTGTGGCGTCGAAATTCCGACCATTGATCCCGGCACCTGTTGTGATATCTGCCAAGCGCTTGATCTTCAGGCACTGCATCAGGACCTCCAGTTCCTCCTCGTCTGACTCCATGCCGCCGGGTATGGCGCTTAACATGTGGGAATTGTGGTTCTTGCGTGCCATTTTCCACCGCCTTGGCCACGATACGAACTGCAAGTGAAAATGGCAATTGCAACAAATAAAAACTAAGCCTGCGAGTCGCAACAACAAGAAATGGAGCTGCCAACTCGGGCGGGTTCTCTTTTCAGCGTTTGGATATTTTATTTAGGTCTGGCAATGTGGTTTCTGAGAGTGCCAAGTGTGGCCAGCTGTGAGATTTTTAGGGGAAAAGACAAATTTGCATCTGGCAACCCTGGCGCGGCACACGTGCGTTTATTTTGTTTTGGGTTTAGCTCGTGGGAAAAATGAAGTTGAAAAAGGTTAAAACTTTGGGCAAAGCCGCGCCGGGAATCAGCAAAAAGAAGCCGCAGAAGGATGCAATTAAAAAGGCGGTGGCCAAGAAGGCCGGAAAAGCTCCCGAAACCAAGGCGATAGCCAAGAAATCCAAGCAAACAGCAGCCCCGGCTAAGAATATCAAGCCCGCGAAGAAAGGAGCAAAGAAAAGCCACAAGGCGGAGCTGGAGGGACTGAAGGACATTGATCCGGAGTTCTACGATTTCCTCAAGAAGAACGACAAGAAGCTGCTGGACTTTAATCTGTCAGACAGCGAGGAAGAGGACGAGGATGAGGAGGAAGGAAAGAGCAAGTCGGCGGCTGCTGAAGGAAGCGATGACGACGAGGAGAACGAGGAAAAGTATCACAAGCCCAGCGACGATTTGGCCGTGGCCAGTGATGAGAGCGACTTTGAGGACGAGGAGGAGGATGAGGCCAGCACAGGCGGTACCCAAAAGATCACCCTCAACCTGCTGCGCCAGTGGGAACAGCAATTGGGCCAAGACAACGTCTCCATCGACATTGTGCGCAAGGTGATCCAAGCTTTTAACTCGGCCCTAGCTAGCATCTCGGCAGACGGGGCCGATGGCGGGGAGAATCAACCCAATGCTGCAGCCTTTAAAGTCGTGGGTGCGGCTGCATTCAATGGAGTTATCCAGCTGTGCGTGCTTCATCTACAGCCGGCCATCATTCGAGTGCTGGGCGTGAAACCCAACAGCAGCCTGCCGCTGCACAAGCACAAGAAGTGGGTCAAAGTGCGCGGCTGCCTGCGCTACTATCTCACGGATCTGATCCGCCTGGTGGAGCAGGTGTCGAGTGCCAATATCCTGGGCGTGCTACTCAAGCATCTACATCAAATGGCTGGCATGGTGGTGCCCTTTACGGCGCTCGGCAAGACCATCCTCAAGCGCCTAATCGTGCTTTGGGCAACGGGCGATGAAACCGTGCGAGTGCTTGCCTTTCTTTGCATCCTGAAGATAACCAGGAAGCAGCAGGTGAGTTGTAAACACAATCCCAATGAGTATCTCTCTTTAAAGTTCGGAATCTCTTCCAGGCCACCATGCTAAACCATGTTTTGAAGGCCATGTATCTGGCCTATGTGAGGAACTCAAAGTTCGTGTCGCCAAACACGCTGCCCGGGATTAACTTCATGCGTCGCTCGCTGGTGGAGATGTTCGCCTTGGACCTGAACGTCAGCTACCAGCACGCCTTTCTCTACATCCGACAGTTGGCCATTCATTTACGAAATGCCGTGATCCTCAAGAAGAAGGACAGCTTCCAGGCGGTGTACAACTGGCAGTTCATCAACTCGCTGCGTCTGTGGGCGGATCTCCTGGGCGCGAGTGCCAACAAGCCGCAATTGCAGCCTTTGGTCTATCCCCTGGTAACCATTGCCACCGGTGTGATTCGTCTGATACCCACCGCTCAGTACTTCCCGCTGCGCTTCCATTGTCTCCAGACGCTCATTTCCCTTTCCAAGGAGACGAACACATATGTGCCTGTGCTGCCGCTAATAGTGGAAGTCCTCAAGAGCAACACATTCAATCGCAAGCACACGGCTGTGTCCATGAAACCTCTGCAGTTCACCTGTGTCCTCCGCCTGAACAAAGCTCAGCTGGCGGAGAACGGTTTCCGGGATGAGGTGATCGAGCAGGTGTGCGGCCTTTTACTGGAGTACCTCGCCCACGAGTCCACCTCGCTGGCCTTTAGCGATCTGGTGGTGCCCACCGTGATGGCCATTAAGGCGTACCTGAAGGATTGCCGCAATGCCAACTATTCGCGCAAGCTAAAGCAACTGCTGGAAAAGGTCCAGGAGAGTGGTCGCTTCATTGAGCAGCAGCGCAGCAAGAGCAGCGTTAACTTTGACATCAAGGACGCCAAGGCGGTGGCCGCCTGGGAGCAGCAGCTCCGCCTGAAACGCACTCCCCTAGACATCTACTACGCCAGCTGGCTGAAGACGCACGAGACTAAGAAGCGCCGGCAGGCAGCGCAAACGGATGAGATCAATGCGGACTACGATGTGCCCAAGCTAAAGAAGCTACCCGCTAAGAAGGGTGTGCCGGTGCGCAATGAGAAGGGCGAGGTGGAGCTGTTCCCCTCAGACTCTGAGGATGAGGGCGATGATGGTCTGCCTATCGGTTCGGATGATGAAGATGAGGAGGAGGAACTGGAAGTAGAGGTGGAGCAGCCAAAATCCAAGAAGGCTAAGAAGGAGAAGCCAGAGAAGCAGAAATCCCAGCCAGCTGAGGAGGCGGCTGCCGGTGATGATTACGACGAGGCCGGTGGAGCCGTAGATATAGTTAAGGACTTGGACTTAAACGATTGGTAGAACATTTTAAGATCATTTAACTATATTTACACATTAAATTCTTTAAAAATACCAAGCTCCATTATGCCAATTACTTCTCGGGCGGTTCCTTGCCGGGAATAAACTCGTACTCCTTGTATTTTGGAAAGGTGCCAATGGTGGGCCCCTCCACCTGCTTGGGCAATGCCTTGTCGTCCTTGCCCTTGGCGTAGGTGGCCTCTAGTTCGGCGGCATTGCGCTTCTTCATGTCCATGATCTGGAGGTTCTTCACCAGCTCCTCCCGTGTGGGTGGCTCTTCGCGCCGACCCCGCAGCCACGCCTCCCACTCAGCGGTGAGCTCCTGATCGAAGGCATCCTTGTCCGCCGGCTCAAACCATCGCGAGGGCTTGCGTTTGCCGATCGAAGGATTTGCGGGAATCTCAAAGTATTTGTTGCCGAAGTAGTCCTCGCCTATGTAATTTCCGCGAAACTGACGCGGCTTCAGGGACTTCCAAAAGTTCTGGAAGATAATGCCGAGCACATCGCGTGTCGGCTTGTTGGCCATGCTTTATTTTATTTGTTGTTTTTATTCGAGAGTAGCAAAAATTTGTAACTTATTTTTTAGCTTCGAAAGATTGAGGTTAGATCTGGCGTTTGTTATGACATGAACAGCTGATGGCTGGTGGGCAGTGTTGCAAAGCTTTGTTTGACAGCTGGATTCAAATTCGCAAATTCGGTTTCAGGGGCACAGCATAGGGGCTGAACCAATCCCGCTGGAAAATGGCCAGCAAATCCGTGCGCAGGCTGTTGTTGTTGGAGTCCATGTCTTGCAGGAGAAGCCCCATTCCCGCTGAATACATAAAATGCTCGCCCGACCAGCTGCCAGAGCCTATAAATGCTATTTCATCGGTTACCAGGTACGCATTGCAGGCGACCCTTCCGCTGGAGATCTTCTCCAGCTCATCGTTGGTGGGCACCACGAAGCGGCGCTAAAATAAGGTATACCATAAGCTAATGTATTTGGGAATATTTTAGCTACACTTGCCACTTCTATGTCCACCTCCTCCCGCATCTTGTTAAGCGCTTGCAGAGATCTCAGGAAGTAATCCTCGCTCGGATCCGAGTACTTCCACCAGGAAATAAGCAGCTTGATGGCCACACTCCTCTCCAAAGCAGCCTTCCGCAGGGCATTGTCGATGTAGGACCAATATTCCACCTTCTTGCCGGTTCTCAATATTGGTGAGTAATCTATCAAAGAAATGGATACAAATTCGGTGGCCCTGTCGATAGCTCCTATGATGGCATCCAGCTCGAGGCTCCTGCCAGTGGGCGATAGTCCAGGTGGGGAAGTGGCCACATAGGCACGCATCGTGTGGTTCTTGTTTATGTTCAGGAGGAGCGGTCGACGCTGGTTGATTTGCGTGTGGTAGATCCAGGGCCAGTATTCAGGCACCTCATTGCTTCCCAGGTACCAATAGGACTTAAATATCTTGGCCAGGTCCTGCGCCATATGTGGACAATTCCTGCCCAGCACACCGAGCTCCTTGCGCTGAGTGAGCGAACGCCAGTCCATGTCGGCGCTGCCAAGATAGAAGTTCTCGCCGTCCGCCAGCCATAGCTTCGATTGCAGGAAGTTAATTCCCACGACATCCGCTGCTCCGTAGTTAGACAGGATTCGGGCATCAGCATGCCATACACTGTCCTGGCTACGATTTAGCACAATTCGCAGGCGCAGTTTCGGCCTGCCAGCATCCCCGTTGGCCAGCAAGCGCTGAAAGAGGTGGTCGCCGGGCTCAGTGCTGCTGTCGTTGACGTCCACGCCCCGCAGAGTCCAGTGGGGCGCGGCTATGTCCAGCGAGGTCTTTGCCCTGCCCAGTAGCAGCTGCCAAGCCTCGAAGGTGCTCCTCAGACGGGGGTGACTACCCTCATAGTTGCTGTAGTTCAAACCCACAGGCAGGCTCTCCACTAGCTCGAGTTGGCATGGCAACGGAGTGTCCACGGGCACGGGGCTGTTTGCGGTCTCGTTTCGGTGGATGGTCTCCCACGGCAACAGCAGGACAATCAGCACCAGGACGAAGAGTATGAACACGGGTATGATGTAGCCGTGGCCGCAGCAACAGCAAACCTTCTGTCCATCCCGGATTTGATAGTTGCAATTGGGACGCCGGCAGCACGAAGAGGACACAGTTGGTTCTCCTCCTAGGCTGGGCTGATGGGGCACTGGCTGGTACTCCCCGGGTATCTCGTGCACACCTCGACGCTCGGACATTGTGCTGTGGTCAGGACTAACGCCGACTGCCCTGGGCCAAACATTTTCCCATCCGAACTTATTTATTATTCGCACAGTTGTTGGAAATTGTCGCCCGCCCACGCAAACAAACGGACCGGTTAGTGTTGGAAAGCGGCGAAGTCCGCGACACCCTCTGGCTTAATGAAGCTTTATTCAAACGCTTTTTAAGGTTTTTACGAAGAGCCGAAGAACGGTAACACTGGCGCGACTTAAGTTTGTCGCATTAAAATCTTCCGGCTGAGAGGGCTGAAAATTTTGTTGCGCTAAATATCAATTCCATCGAGTGTCACACGTATTTGAGTATCGCCTAAAAAGGACGCGAACCATGGCTGCGAGACTGATGAGCGCCCAGGCACAGGTACGTTCCGTTCTGGAGCCAACCGCCCCCTCCGGTCGACCGAAAATCTACGAAAAAAAAACACTATATATAAACACTTGAAATCAAAGCTGTGCTGTGACCCCCTGATAAAGACTGGAACACTGCGAAAAAATACGCGAAAAATTAATTGCAATCCATTTGGAGATTTTAAGCAATTAGCAAAGGAAGTTGGACAGCGAAGAGTCGCGAATTTTTTGCGCACAGCGCTTTTCTAACCTAAAAACGAAATCAAAAGTTGTTAGGTAACCGAGTGTACGTACGTTGTGATTGTGATTCTCGGCTCCCGCCTCAGGCTGCGGCGCCTGCCCCCCGCATCCAGGGCAGAGATCTGGAGCATCCGCGAAATGGGGAGCTTGCAGCAATTAGCAGCGATTCGCCGCGGTCCGGATGCACTGGCCATTTACATAAGCAGTTATTTAACCAGGAGTCCCTAGCATATATCTTCTGGGGGCAGCAGCAGCTCCGTCTTATCTGTGACAGGCCTACTTACATACACTCCTCCGATAGTGGTCCGTACTAAATTATAGCTTAAATTAATGCCGTTCTCCAGCTCCCACATCACGCGCACAGGTGGGGGCAGCAGCGAGGAGCGTGCATTGCCCCTCGTCGAGTGGGGGCATTTCCACGGCCAGAAGGCTTCACTGTACTGTGTACTCGCCAACTTGCCAACAAGTTAATGACCTATTTGACGTAATTGTTCTCTCTTGCCTCTTGTTTGCCTGCGTCACGTGGCTCTGGTTAATTCGAAGGCATTGCTGCGGCTGCAGTTATAAACAAATTTGTAATTTATTGCTATTTAAGGGGACTTAAAGCGGGCATTATCTATGCAAAAACTATTTAGCTTTTCACAGCTGTTTTACCTTATAAATATTATTGCCAAGTTCTCGAATAATTGTTTATTTGTCGTTTTTTTTAATGCAGATAAATACTTTTTGCGGTAGTACAAACTGTCATATATTTTTAATACCAGGGAAATTGCAAATATTCAAGAAATACATTTTATAAAATTTTTTACGATTATTAATTAATTGTAGAAAATATGAGTTTTTCAGATAACTAAAAAAAAGAGAGTATACATTTTTAAAATACCCTTAAAAAATAAATATATTTATTGTGACTTTTTTTTATTTATTAAAATCTTCAAAAAAAAAATTCCATAGCTTCTGTTAACGGTCATAAATTCCTAAGAATAATCTAAATCTAATCTCTATTTATATATAAAACTTTTAGTTGTTTTACGAATTGAATTATGAACTTATTTTATTGAGAGTTCACAAACTAAGTTCCAGTAAATTAAAAAAAAAAAAATAGCAAATGAGACCTGAGTCCATGAAATTTCCATAAGATCCCTAAATATTTCTAGAATTTCAAGAAAAAGAAAACAAACTGATAAAGAGAGACAACCTCCCAGATAGATACTTAAAATTAAGTAGCTAAGGTTTATGGCTCCCAAAATAAAACACTCGCTTACCAAGTGCACGTTGTCAAAAGTTTTATTTTTGTTGTTTTCGTATAATATCTTTAAAAATAGAAATCTGTATAAAACCAAGATAACACAGAAGTGTAAGCTATGAAGTTTATAACTAGGAAAATCACCAAACAAAAAATCATATGAACTAATTTTTTGCAGTACTTAGATTAATCATCAAAGTATATTTTGATTTTTAGTCCAACCTTTAATCTCTGCTTTTTTTGTACGAATCGTCATCATCTTCTAAATATCACTGCTAATTGAGATTTGTACATTTCCTGATAAAGCAGCTCCAATCTAATTAAAGTCGAGAGGGCCCGTGACATGATAATCAAGTGTTTTTATTACGGCTGCCAAACAATCGAATCAATCAAATCAGCAGGAGAACGGTCTGTCCTCCAGACAAATATTTTTGAACTGATAAACATAATTGGAAGAAATTAGGGAGACTTTACTGTACCTTTCATGACGATTAAATTATGTTCTCTGACAAAGTGCTAATTGCTTGATCTTGATTTGTTTGTTCTGACATTGAAAGGGGAATAATATGTAATAAATTGGGAGGAAACCTAATGCGCTGAATTCGATATATAAAATGATAGTTTAACGTTCCAATATGAGCGACATTATAATGAATTACTTTTGCAAAAGAAGTCGAAGATTAAAAGTCTTTACCTCCTTATATAATTAAAATTTGAATTACGTAAATGTTAAACATTTTTTTGGAATGTGTTTTATAATTCTCTCCCCTTTCAGGTGTGCCGATTGGGCAAGCATGTGGTGGCCGATGGCCCAGTGGTTCGCCAGTTCCACGCCTCCTGCTACACCGCCTCCAAGGTGGCGCTGTCCAAGTTCGACTCGGACGTATTCCTGCCGTACGAGAAGCTGAACAAGCGCCTGGATGTGGTCCGTGGTCGCCTCAACCGGCCACTGACTCTCTCCGAGAAGGTGCTGTACTCGCATCTGGACGATCCGGCCAACCAGGACATCGTGCGCGGCACATCCTATCTGCGTCTGCGTCCCGATCGCGTGGCTATGCAGGATGCCACCGCCCAGATGGCCCTGCTGCAGTTCATCTCCTCCGGCCTGAAGAAGGTGGCTGTGCCGTCGACGGTGCACTGCGACCATTTGATCGAGGCCCAGGTCGGTGGACCCAAGGATTTGGCTCGTGCCAAGGACCTGAACAGGGAGGTGTACGACTTTTTGGCCAGCACCTGCGCCAAGTACGGTCTGGGCTTCTGGAAGCCCGGCAGCGGCATCATCCATCAGATTATTCTGGAGAATTATGCCTTCCCCGGCCTGCTGATGATCGGCACTGATTCTCACACGCCCAATGGCGGTGGTTTGGGTGGCCTGTGCATCGGTGTCGGTGGCGCTGACGCCGTCGACGTCATGGCTGACATTCCCTGGGAGCTGAAGTGTCCCAAGGTGATTGGTGTCAATCTCACCGGCAAGATCAGCGGCTGGACCTCGCCCAAGGATGTGATCCTGAAGGTAGCCGATATCCTCACTGTCAAGGGAGGCACCGGCGCCATCATCGAGTACCACGGCAAGGGCGTTGACTCCATCTCCTGCACAGGCATGGCCACCATTTGCAACATGGGTGCTGAGATCGGTGCCACCACCTCGCTGTTCCCCTTCAACCAGCGCATGGCCGACTACCTGAAGTCCACCGGACGCGGTGCCATCGCCTCTGAGGCTCAGAAGTACCAGGGCAAGGTCCTGTCCGCCGACAAGAACTGCGAGTACGATGAACTGATTGAGATCAACCTGGATACCCTGGAGCCCCATGTCAACGGACCCTTCACTCCCGATCTGGCCCATCCCATCAGCAAGCTGGGCGACAACTCCAAGAAGAACGGCTATCCCCTGGACATTCGCGTGGGTCTGATTGGCTCCTGCACGAACTCGTCGTACGAGGACATGGGTCGCTGTGCCAGCATCGCCAAGGATGCCATGAGCCACGGCCTGAAGTCGAAGATCCCCTTCAACGTGACCCCCGGATCGGAGCAGATCCGTGCCACCATTGAGCGTGATGGCATCTCGGAGGTGTTTGACAAATTCGGCGGCACTGTGCTGGCCAACGCCTGCGGTCCTTGCATTGGACAGTGGGATCGCCAGGATGTGAAGAAGGGCGACAAAAACACCATTGTCACCTCGTACAATCGTAACTTCACCGGCAGGAACGATGCCAACCCGGCCACCCATTGCTTCGTCACCAGCCCCGAGCTGGTCACCGCCCTGTCCATCGCCGGTCGTTTGGACTTTAACCCCCTGACTGACGAGCTCACCGGCTCCGATGGCAAGAAGTTCAAGCTGAAGGCTCCCTTCGGTGATGAGCTGCCCGCCAAGGGCTTCGATCCCGGCCAGGACACCTATGCCGCTCCCCCCGCAGTGAGTTATCACTTTTTTCTCTTAAGTTTGTATCGTACTTATTTCCTATTTCTTTTCCCCTAGTCTGGTGAAAATGTCAAGGTTGCTGTGGATCCCAAGTCGCAGCGCCTGCAGCTGCTGGAGCCTTTCGACAAGTGGAACGGCCAGGATCTGACCGATCTGACCGTGCTGATCAAGGTGAAGGGCAAGTGCACCACCGATCACATCTCCGCTGCTGGACCCTGGCTGAAGTACCGTGGACATTTGGACAACATCTCCAACAACATGTTCATCGGTGCCACCAACTACGAGAACAATGAGATGAACAACATTAAGAACCAGCGCAATGGCTCCTGGGGTGGTGTTCCCGACGTGGCCCGCGACTACAAGGCCAACGGCATCAAGTGGGTGGCCGTCGGCGACGACAACTACGGCGAGGGCTCGTCCCGCGAGCATGCCGCCCTGGAGCCCCGTCATCTGGGTGGCCGCGCCATCATTGTCAAGTCCTTTGCCCGTATCCACGAGACCAACCTGAAGAAGCAGGGTATGCTGCCTCTGACCTTTGCCAATCCCGCTGACTACGATAAGGTATGTTTTGTAGAGTTTAAAAGAAAGCAAACTTATTTATAAATTCAATTAATTGACAGATCCAACCCACGAGCAAGATCTCCCTGCTCAACCTGAAGTCCCTGGCACCCGGCAAGCCCGTGGAATGCGAGGTGAAGAACGGCGACAAGGTCGAGAAGATCAAGCTGAACCACACCCTCAACGACCTGCAGATTGGCTGGTTCAAGGCTGGCAGCGCCCTTAACCGCATGAAGGAGCTGGCCCAGTAAGCGTGGCTACTTAAGAACCCTCTGTCCCAGCAGAGACCCACACTCACACTCAACGCAAGCAATCGAGTTTATGGTATTGTTATTCAATTTTTTTGCAAATTGTTTTGATATTTTTCTTTTGAGTAAACCGAAAAGTGTGACGTTCTTGTTTTTTCGAAAGTGTAACCGCGAGCGATGGCGAGAATTTGTAAAAGTTTTTATATATACCTATAATTATACACACAACATTATTATTTTTAATTCTTGCTATATACTTGTTCTTTGCGAATTTGTCCTGAAAGCTCGGCAGATTGCCTCGACGATGATGATAAAAAGATGATGATTAAAAGCGAATAAAACTCAAAGTGTAATATGTATTTAAACGATTCTTTTATTTACACAAAGACAACCTTAAAGCGGACAATAAGAGCCACATCTCTCAATACATCCCCATGTCCCCCTTTATTTTCACATTGATTATCTTAATTGTATCAATTATAAGATGTAAGCCACTAACAGCGAGTTGATATTATAATTGTATTATTATGTAGTGGAAAATAAAGCATAATATCAATTAGCCGGGGAATTGTTTTGGTATCAGGATGGAGAATAATTGATGTCTGCTCTGTTTTTTTATTTTTACTTATATGCTGGCCTGAACAGGATGCGCTAAAGATGTCCTTAAGACTAGCTACGATTATAAGTTACTTTGCGTAAAAACGCTACTGGGAGTTGTTACACTCTGACGTTATACCCAGTTACTTTACTTCACCTTTGAATGAGTAAAATTGTAATGTCAACGGAAATTGAAATTATTTGTTAAAATTACTTATATAAATCTGTAATTCACTTATTTTTATGCTAAAATTTCAGTAAACCAAAATTACAAAAATAGCACAATGAATTACGGAAAGCCTAGCACAACATCTTTAACATTTGTCACAGACTCTGAGGTTAGCGAGACGTCATCAAGTGACAGCGGCGTTTTGTTCAATCCCAGTCGTAGGCTTATGAGAAGTGCTAAAGTAAAACGAAAGTTGATAGCCCTCTATGCCGACCACAGATGCTTGTGGAATGAGTGTCACAAGGACTTTTTCAATTTCGGTCACAAGGCCAACATTTGGGGGGCAATCGCTGCTGAAATGAAAGCCGATTCACCGCCGGATTTCTGGAAGCATCAGATGCACAGGTTGCGCTATAAAGTCGACCTGGAACGTGTCAAAGAGCAGAAGGCCAAGTCTATGGGTGAAGATTTCGAGTCTAAGCTGTTCTATAAGGATCAATTGAATTTCCTGAATCACATATTTTCTCGAGAAAAAGTTGTAAGTTGTAATGATTATAAATTATTAACATTTCATTAATTTATTTCCCTTTTAATGTAACTCTTTAAATTCCCCAACTAGCAACTGGCCCCCACCTCGGATGTTTCTCTGGAAAAACTTCCTTCGAGGCCTAAGGTAACCATTAAGGAAAAGCCCAAATGTAAAGCTAAATTCTGTGAAAAGATGGCCTCGCTTGATGTTTTGAGGAATCATCATTGCAGCAACTTGATTCTGTCGCATGAATCCTTCAAGAAGATGCAAAAGATTACCAGCGGAGTGGAGAAGGCAAAGCCGAAAACGAAACACGTTTAAATAGCTTTTTCGTTTTATTACATTTCTTGTATCATCATAATCGCTTTGTTTTTTTCCTGGTTGCATGCCATTCTTTAAATATAGACGTTTTTTTTTTATATAACAATTCATAATTTTAGCTTAGAATATTTTTGTTTCGTACTCTTACAATCTTTTTTTTTTTTTGCTTATGCCATTTGCCGGTACACACACTCCTCTGCTCCTCTATACAATTTTCAGAATTGATTTTGTTTTGCAATTATTTAATATATCTGTATCTGTATATAATATATATATAATTTTTTATTTATATGTATAACTAAAAAATGCGTAAAATAATTGTTGTTTTTCTTGTTGTTGGTTACGTGTTTGGGTGTGTGTGTGCACATTCCTTTTCACAAAAGGAACAAAACATGAAAATGTACATAATGTATTATTATAATTGTTATTTTTATCGAGGCAAATTGTTTGCCACGGTTTAATTTCGCTTTAATTACACAGACACGATCGATATTACATGAACCTGAATTTATTTTCAATCTTTTTCATCGCGAAGTGGCACTCTCCTCCCTCCTCTAGTTGTGTATCTCAATTGCTCTCGTTTTACGTGTCTCTTTAGAAGGCAGGAGCAGCTGCGCTTGGCCCCCGAGAAGGCTAGGATCGTTCCATCGATCGGCTCTCGAGCGCCCGCCGCTTAATGGTTGGTTGCTTGATTATTGTTTGTCCCTCGTCTACTGCTATGAAATGGCTGTTGAAAGTTGGTTTGGCTTTAACGCATCATTCCCACTCGGTGGTGCCCGGCGGCTTGGCTGTCAAGTCGTACAGGACCCTCGAGATTCCATCCAGCTTGGATATATCGCGCACAATTTGATTAAGGACCTGTCCAGGGGGAGAGGGAAATTAATGAATAAAATAAACCTATTCAAAGCTCGTGGATACACTCACTTGCAATGGCAGTTGCACGGAGCCGGGCTCAGCGGGTACTCCCGTCATGAAATCATTCGTGATGAATGGACGCAGCACCACAGATCTTCTGCAGGAGGGCGTGCGATTGATGGGATCACGATCAAAGTGCACGGGTATGAGAACGACAGGCATCTGTGAGATTTTTCGATACAGTCCAGCTTGCATGATGATCTACAAATAAAAAAGGTAACGATTAGTCAAAATCCTTTACTTTAGGATCTAAAGACCCTCTATAGAGATAATCTCACCTCATTGGCAATGGCATCGGCTTGCCGTAGCTGCGCCAACACCACCGTATTAAGGGTGGTGTGCGTAATATCCGTCACCAGATACTGCACGGGTTCGCCAAAGATGTAGCATACCCGGTTCACATTATGCAGGATGCGTGGTATGATCTTGGCTAGGAAGAGCAGATCCTGCCAGTTGGGCTCCTGACTGGTGGACAGACCCACCACGTAGCTGTAGCTTCGCTTGTCGCCCTGCACCCCCACCGATCGGATGGGCAGCAGGGTGGCCTGGATCTGTGAGTTGGCAGAGATTCGCAGCAGATCCTTTTGCTCCGACTCGCTGGTGGCGCCCGTTACCCGGTTGATCAGAGCATGGTTCTTCTGCAGCTTATTTTTGTAATCCACAATCACCCGTACAATGACCTGAAGTAATCTTTTTTTTTTAGATTTTGAAATTATGGTTATTCTTTGGTTAACTTGCCTGAGTCTCCGAGTAATCCTTTTCCATGTAAGCCTCCTCGGCGCAGAGTACGCGTATGGCCAGCCCGGGACCGGGGAAGGGCTGTCGCTCCACCAGCTCTGGCGGCAGACCCAGATCGTTGCCCAGATCGCGCACCTCATCCTTGTGGAAGTCGCACAGTGGCTCAACAACACGTCCTGCATTCCGGAGTTCCCTTTTTTGAATAATTTCAAGTGAGTTAATTACTTGAAAATATTTTAATTTAAATTATTACCTAATCAGATCCGTGTCATTATGATGCGTTTTGATTGTTTCTGCATTCGTGCTAACCATATTCGAAGCAGACTCAATCAAATCTGGCCGGAGTGTGCCCTGGGCAAGTAGCACCTCCTCGGGCTTTAGTTTCAGTTCGGCCACCACATCATTGGTCACCTTGACGAATATATCACCGATTATCTTGCGCTTCTCCTCCGGATTGTAAGTCTGACAGAGCATGGGCGTCTCCACCACCGAGTATTGGCCGGGCCGCTTCACCTGCGTCGTGCCCTTGAGGAACGTATAGCCTTCCTTGCGAACGATCAGCTCGATACCAATATCGCGCAGCGAACGCTCCACCTTTTCACTTTCGTTCTGGCGCATGAAACCTGTGAATATAATTTGAGTTTAATCAAATGTCTTTAAAGAAAAACCTTATAGATAAATTTGCCTCAAATTTCAATTTCAAGCGATTAAAAACCGACATAACAAGAAGGGAAACCTTTTTCTAATTTGTGAACTAGCAATAAACTACATTAATTAATTGAAGATTCAATTTATCCCATTAATTCATACCATTATCTACATGCACGGCAATTATCTGATTAGGATACAGGGCACGGCGTAGCAAGGCTGCACAGACACTCGAATCCACGCCCCCGCTGACCAGCAGCTACAAAAAGGGTATAGATTTAGATATGCAACTCTATGTGGAGTTGAAATGCCATTTTCTACTCACCAACACCTTATTTGTGCCCACTTTCTCTCGGATATACCGTATGCACTCCTCCTTCCGGCTGCCCATGGTGAAGTTGGGCGTAAGTTCGCAGATCTCGTACAGGAAATTCGATAGCATCTGTTTGCCATTGATGGTGAGATCGACCTCCGGATGGAACTGGACGCCATAGATGCGCAATACCTCGTTGTAAATGGTTGTAACGATGCGATTCGTTGACCAGCCACCAACTTTCAGCTTCTCGCCCACCCGCTCCACGCTATCACCGTGAGTTAGCAGTACGGATTGTGTGCGACTGAGGCGACTGTGGGAAGAAACGATAAAGATTATCATCAGAAACTTTCAATAAAGATCATAAGACACAGGGAAGGATATGTTATATGATATGTTAAACCACGTGTAGATCAGTTTATAGACTTTAACCAAACTGAACTGTTCTTGGTTATGAGATTTCTCTGGCAGCATTGTATCAGCGCTTAACTAGACTCAATTAACTCAAGCACTTTCTTGTTGCTGCCACCACTAAATACTATATTCTCCTGGTGCTCACCTGAACAGTGGACACGACGTCTCAATCTCAATGTTCTGTTGGCCATCCTCCCGCACATCCGTCTTGAGCACTGTGCCTCCGAACTCTTTGTTGATCAGCTGCATGCCATAGCAGATGCCCAGCATGGGTATTTTCAATTTGAACAGATCGGGATCGTAGCTGGGCGCATCATCGGCGTAAACGGAATTGGGGCCGCCGGATATGATGATACCGCGATAGCCATTGTTGCGTATCGTGGCCGCTGGCGTGTCCAGTGGCAGGATGTCCGATTCCACAAGCAGCTCTCGGACCTTGCGATCGATAACCTGGGATGAAGACCATCGAGATTAGTACAAGATCATTGAAGCATTTATATTCAGGAGAGTTTGGTGGTAATTATAAAAATATGCAATGAGCTCACCTTGCCGTACTGTGCTCCCGCATCGAGTATAACAACCTTATCATGCCGCAGGCCGTTCTCCGCTGTGCCCAGAAATATGTTTGAGTTCATTTCTTTATCGTTGCAGCACTGCAAAAAGAGCAAAATGTTGAGTGTGTCAGTGTGAGCTTCTGGTTGGTAATTGCCAAAACAAAGACTGAATCTCGACTGGCTTGCTGGGGTCGCCTCTATCGCTTATTTATGCTCCAATTGTGGCTGCTGCTGCAATTGAATCTAAAGACACAAGGCTAAAAGCTGACTGGGCTGGGCTGGGAGGAGGTGGGGAAAAATTGGAGGTTACGCTAAGGGTTCTTGGTGGGATTAGTGTAGGGGGTAGAGTGGCTCACATACCGGCAATATCTTGTGGAGCACTCGCAGAAACATTCAACATGCAGCGGGCCCTGGAGGACGCTCTACGGTAGACAACAAACATTGGCAAACAATTTTCCGTCACAGAACGTTGAAATGTGTGGTTCAGCAATGGGTGGGAAAGTGGAAAAGTATAAAGAAAACTCCAATGCGAAAAATACAAGCGAGCAAGCGAAAAAAAGCAAGGCCAAAAACAGGCGACGCCTACGAAAAATGAGTTGAGATTGTGTGGTGACGGCGATTGTGATTTGTATACACTAGAGGTTTACGCCGATGGTTAAAGGCATCGGCGGCGGCGTAGAGGTCAAAATGACTCGGCGGCGGCGGCGTAGTAGTCAGAAAGAACCGGCGGCGGCGGCGCGTCAAATAAGGCAAAAAGGCCATTTTAATGAGTTATTTTTTTTTTTTTAAGTTTTATAAAGAACAATGACACTGAAGGCCGCGCTGAAGCTGCGCCGATGCCGCACCAGCGGCGCGCCGCGGCGCGCCGTTATTTTCATAATTTGGCGGCGGCGCGTCAAATAAGGCAAAAATCGGCGGCGGCGGCGGCGTGGCGCGGCGGCGTATATGTCTAGTATACACTTGCAAAAGGTTGGTAAGGATTTGGCAAGACGTTTGGCAATGGAGAAAGAAATATTTCCATTTGATTTATACAAAATTCTTAACTGGATTTAACCGCGTTTTCGTGACAACAAAAATACATTTTAAGGTAAAACAGGGTTTCTACAGTCAGGTAATGACATATCTCTTAAATTAACTAATAGAACCTATAAGATTGTTTAATATGAATCTCAAACTTTGTTTATTATATAATAGTTATTATTACTATATCACGCCTAAGAAAGGGTATTAGAATCTTCGTCTAACTGAATTAGACCTGTATTTTCGTACATATTTCGTATATTATAAAATACAATTTGCGATGAAAGGGGAATGCCGATGGGGAAGAAGAAGGAGAAGGCGTGTGGGGTGGGGGGCTGCCGGCTACTGACCGCCAGATGACAGGCGAAAATGCAGAAAAGAGCGTAAGCAGCGTAACGGCAAATGAGAGTGAGAGCGGCTAGAGAGCGTAGAAAGAAGAGAAGTGCGTAACGTACGATAAACGAAAACAGAGAAAGCAAATAGAGAAGAGGAAACAAGAAAATGCACAAGGAAAATGACACAAAAATAAACAACAACAAAAAACGGCCAAAGACATCAAAAAACACACACAAACGCCTTGGCAACTCTGCAAGTTTTCTTAGATTTTTCACAACGAGCAAAACGAGGCGACTCCCGGGGTTAAGGGTGCATTAGGTCACCGATGCAATGCGAAGCCTGTGATGTAAGCTGCACGCTGCCACTCCTCCTCTGCTCCATCCCGCCCCCTTGCCTTATCTTTTGATAACAAGCCAGAGGTTATCAGGGCAACAACAACAATAATAATAACGGAGGGCCTCCTCGTGGTGTGCTTGTAACCCAATACATAGGCAATAAAAAGCCACAATACACCGACGAAACACACACACATACACCAATACACGTGGAGCCGCCTGCAAGCGGCGCTTATAACCACAAAATGGCCACGAGATGCGAAATGTTTGCAAAATAAATCAGCGAAAATTGCAAAAATGCGGTTAAAGCCGTTAAATATTCGCACACAACAACTAAGAATGGAGTGAGCGGTGGGGTGGTGCAATGCGGTGTGGGTGGCGGTGCTGCTGCGCCGCCTGGCCGAGTCCAGAGATCTCCGCCAGATCTCCCATCGTCCTGTCTTACCTGCTCTCTGCTCTGTGGCCTGGCAGGCGGTTCCAGAGGTGGGCGGGGCGCGGGCGGAAAACTTTAGGCTTAAACACTAGTGCGCGATCCGTTGTTGGCGGTCGTCGTCCCCCGGGCGCTCCTCTCTCTTCACACACTCTTTTCCTCTTTCTTCGGCTGCTGCCTCTACTGCTTTTCAGCTTTTCCGCGGCTGCTTGGCAATGCAGGCTACTTTTTGCACCACGATTTTTCACACTCTTGTTCGGCCCCTTAAACGGCTGCTATTTGGCAGCTTTCGGGCTCTTTTATTTCCTTTTTTGCAATTTTTTCGTGAATTAAAGCCGAAAGATGACTTATTGACGAGCAGTATGACCGGAACTTGGAAGCGAAAATATGTGGGTTGCGGCTAAATGAAAAAATACGGAAGTGTGAATGGAAAGTCAAAAAATACCAAAACGATATATCGGCTAGATATTTTTTTGTATGACTAATTAAAATAAAAGATAAATGTTAAAAAACAAATTAAATCATGCATAATTTCGACACCTAAATTATGTTATAAATTTGTGCATTATATTTAAAAAACACAAACTTTCTAGAGCAGATACGAACTGCCCTCTCCAGCAGGTCAGTGTTGGTTATTTCTGTTAGGTGGCCGTTTTGTAGAACTGAATTAATGCGGTCACACTCAGCCCGCCAAAAGTGATTTGTGTCCGCGGATTTAGGAAAACTCGTTGGAAAAACTTATTAAAACGCGTGAAAAACCCAAAGCAAAGTCGATTCGATGAGTCCTACAAATGCGTCGCAGCCAGATCTCAGCATAGACGAAGAAGACGAGATTCTGGCCCTGGAGAAACTGCTGGGCGCAGCGGAAGACGAAAATGCAAGCGCAGCGAACACGGAAACCCCGAAAATACCCACTTTGGCCAACGCAGTACCCAAACTGCGGGAAGACAGCAGCTTCGCGGATGCCTTTAGTTATGAGAAAACAGTTCAACCCGCGAAGAAACCCATTAAGGATGATAAAGTACGCACAAAGGAGCCGGAGCTGGACTCGTCCGATGACGAGGAAGTCAAGAACTTCCTGGAGCGCAAGTACAATGAGTACGGAAGTGACATCAACCAGAGCCTTAAGCAGAAGCGGGAAAACGCCCACGAGTCCCGGGTGGCCAGGGAGGTGGATCAGGCCTTGAAGGCGAGTAGCTCCAAGCTTGTTACCTCCACACCACAGCCGCCGCTGAAGAATCCCCACAATCCCATAAAGCGCCAGTCCGTGGTGAGCAGCTCGTTTCAGAGGCCACCCACAGCTGCTGCTGCCGTGGCTTCCTCATCCCAGCCAAGTGCTCCCGCTTCCGCTGTTTACACGGATCCGGTTTTCGGCTTGCGCATGATTAATCCCTTGATCTCGAGCTCTCTGCTCCAGGAGCGCATGGCTGGCAGGAAATCGGTGCCCTTTGCTGGTGTGGCCTTTCACATTGAACGCGGTGACTTGGCAAAAGATTGGGTCATTGCGGGAGCTCTCGTCTCCAAGAGTCCCGTGAAAAACACCAAGAAGGGCGATGCCTTCTCAACATGGAAACTGTCCGATCTGCGCGGCGAAATCAAGACCATATCGATATTCCTCTTTAGGGAGGCTCACAAATCGCTGTGGAAGACGGCGGAGGGCATGTGCTTGGCAGTATTGAATCCCTCGGTTTTTGAGCGGAAAGCCGGTAGCTCCGATGTGGCTTGCCTCTCCATAGACACCTCCCAGAAAGTGATGATCCTGGGACAGAGCAAAGATCTGGGCACCTGTCGGGCCACAAAAAAGAACGGAGATAAGTGCACATCGGTGGTCAATGCCACAGACTGCGACTTTTGTGTGTTCCATGTCAAGCAGGAGTACGGCAAGATGTCCCGCCGCTCCGAGCTGCAGTCAGCCACGGCTGGACGTGGCCTCAATGAGCTTAGGAATAAAGTGTTGGGTGAGTGTTTAAAAGTTATCTTTTTAATACTCTTGAAATTTATAATTTATCTTTTAAAAATAGGTAAAAATGAAGTCTTCTATGGCGGCCAAGCCTTCACCGCTGTGCCGGCCAAGAAAAGCGCCAAGCTGATCAACAAGGAACGCGATCGTTTGAGCAAACTGGCTGGCTACGATGTCTCGCCGTTTGCCCATGCGGTTGATCATGCCTCAAAGCCAAAGACAGCAGAGATGCAACAAGTTCCATATGCCGAGCGAACTGGACCCATTTCCCGCTTGGCCGGAGGTGTGGAGGCTTCCAGTAAGCAGCGCTACCAAGATCTAGAGCGTTTGCGTTTGCTAAAAGCGGAGAATGAGCGTTTTGAAAAGGAAAAGGCGGCCAAGGGTCAGGTTCTAGGTGGAGGACCCAGTACGAGTGGATCTCCCAACCGGACTACGCCCAGCAGAGCCGCGCCCAGCACCCCCACCACTCCCATTACTCCCGTGCCGGATAAGTTCAAGAATCGCGGTTTCTCCTTCGACGCCAGCCTGACGCCCAAGCTCTCCGGCAGCGAAAACTTTTCCTTCGAGATCAATGTGGGCCCCAGGCAGGCGGCGAGTGCCAAAATAAAGGCAGCAGCGCTGCTAAAAAAAAAGCCACTCGAGAAAGTCAATCCCAACTCTACAAGGGGCACGGAATCGGGCAAAAGACGGGCCATCGATGAGCTCAATGAGAAGTTCTCCAGCAGCGCCAAACGCCAGAGGATCGAGGAGGAGGATCGCGAACTAATGCGTAAGTCTCGCATCGAAAAGATTATGGCAGCCACCTCAACGCACACGAATCTTGTGGAGATGCGAGAGCGCGAGGCGCAGGAGGAGTACTTCAACAAGCTGGAACGCAAGGAGGCCATGGAGGAGAAGATGCTGAGCACCTACAAGATGCCCTGCAAGGCTGTCATCTGTCAGGTGTGCAAATACACCGCCTTCTCGGCCGCCGATCGTTGCAAGGAGGAGAAACATCCCCTAAAGGTGGTCGATGCCGAGAAGCGTTTCTTCCAGTGCAAAGATTGTGGCAATCGTACGGCAACAGTATTTAAACTACCCAAACAGAGCTGCAAGAACTGCAAGGGTTCCAAATGGGAACGGGCGGCCATGATACGCGAAAAGAAAGTGCTTACCGGTCGCGAGTCATTGTCCGTGCGCGGTGACGAAGAGTGCTTCCTGGGCAGCGTTGCCAGCAGTGCCAATCTTAATCTTTTGGTTCCCGACGAGGAATAATCTAGGCAAGACTTTGACTATTACTTTTTAATATTTATGTGTATTTTATGTATTTTAAAGTTTATTAGCAAATATTTACAGTCTGTTTTTGATGGCTATTTGGCATAAATAATTAAGTACAAGGCTTTCTTTATCTAAATATAAGTTTTGTGCCTATGAGAGATTGTTGGTGCGGGCTATAAATATATAAGAGATGTACCAGGTGTACGCCTTAATGATTGTGAAGGTCCTTTTAATAAATTTGATACCTTAGACTTGTGGCTGAATGCCGAAATCAATGACTTTCTGGAATGAACTCTGGGAATGCTTAATGAATTTTTAAAAATTATAAATAAACTCGGAATGTTTAATGAAAATTTAAAAAATTTTAATGAATACTGGGAATGTTTAATGAAGTTCTAAAAATTATAAATGAACTATGGGAATGATTAAATAAAGTTTTAAAAATAATAAATAAACTCTGAGAATGCCTAATGAAGTTTATAAAATTATAAATCACACTTAGCTGGTCATGAGTGCTTAGTTTCTTAGTTCTACATATAATATTTTATCAAATATATTTTTTAATAAAACCTTTTAGCAAGCAGGCACTATCTTGAAGCTCTTTTGGAAGCTTAAGTATACATATATAGCAAAGGCTTGAATATACATATGTATAAAATATGGAGAATGTATGTTATGTTTTGTACAAAACTTATTTTTTCCTACAACTAACCTAGGCAAGTCGAGGGTTTTATATATTTTTATGGTAAAATTATGCTTTCTTTGGTTAATTCTTTCTCTAAATATTGGGTTATATTCGAAGTCGCATTCGATTCGTTTAGAATCCCTTATTTTTGGCATCGGAATAAAGCTATGAGACTAAATTGATTAAACTAAAACTAATCAACAAACATTTTGAACTGAAAAGCAGGCGCAGATGAAAAGGAAATTCAATTAAAGTGGAAACTATACAAGGTCAGGCCTCGGAAAGTACTTCCTAGACAGCCTCCGCTCCTAGCTGTTCTGTTAATCCTGTTTCCGCTGTCTCTTTAAGGTTCAGCAAGCTGGAAAACCGAAAAGATATAGTCTTGGACAGATGCTTCTCAAAGTCCCTGCTGTCCAGGTTGTCGGGTATAAGGCTCCGGTTGGTCATATCCAAATAAGAACGACCCCGCTTAACGGGCACCGAATAGTGCGGCAAGGCGGTGGCCCCATTGCTCATGTTGCTGTAGCTGGGTGAGCAGCAACTGGACTTGCGTATGTTCAAAGGGAATCTCATATCGTTTTCGTAACGCAGGACCTGCTCCTTGGCAGTGGCATCGATTAGGGGACGTGGTAAATCGTAGCCTGGAGGAACAATTGAGGGCGCTGGCATCTCCGATTCCGATTGGTCATAGCTAGTACCTTGGTCATGGATATCGTAGGCTATCTTGGGCGGACACCAAAGGTGATCCAAACACTCTGGTTCTCCCAAGTCCGAGGAACTCATCAAAGCAGACTCATCCCCACAGTAGAGAGGATTTGAGACGGCATTCGTCTCCAGATCAATGTACTTGGCATTGTTTCCTAGCAGCTTCTCAAACTCGGCGGCCAGGTACTTGAACGAAGGCCGGGCATTGGGCTCATCCGCCCAGCAGGTCCGTGCTATGGAGTACACCGCCTCCGAGCAGTTCTCTGGTCGTTCCATTCGATATCCTGTTTTTAGCAGGGACCAAAGATTCTGTGGCGGAATGCCAGGATAGGGTGAGGCTCCCAAAGTTATCACTTCCCAGCAGAGTACGCCAAAAGACCAGACATCTGATTTGCTGGTGTAGACGTGATCAGCCAGGGATTCAGGTGCCATCCACTGGAAATGGAAGGGGGATTATTTTTACAGTTTTTGTGGGAATAGAATTTTTAATAGCATTTACCTTTACAGGCACACGATCCCTTGAACGCTTTAAGTAGGCATCATCCTCGTATACATCTCTGGTCAGGCCAAAATCAGAGATCTTGCATATCTTGCCATCGGCCAAGAGAACATTCCTGGCGGCCAAATCACGATGAACCAACTATGAATAATAAAAAGATACAAAATTTAAATTTTTAATAAAGAGAAGGGTACTTGATGAAGGTTGTTTCTTTCCAAAAATTTCAGAAATCGTAAGGCGTTACGCATTTTATTCCTAAATGAATTTAATAATTAATCTTTGGTTTTAATCTTAATTACCTTCAGCTCTGTAAGGTAGGCCATTCCCTTGCAGATTTGCCAGGCAAAAGTGAGCACCATCTTTACGTTGACAGGCTCTACGCCATCGGCGAAATCCACGCCGGCACACTCAATTTTCCGGCTGAGACGGAGGTAGCTCCTCAAGGATCCATATCGCGCATACTCAATGATCAGAAGTGGTGCCTCCGAGGACTGATTGCAGGCACCCATCAGCTTGATGACATTTGGATGCGAGACCTCCTGCAGGAGCTGAAACTCTGAGAGCAAGGCCATGTACTCCACAGAGTTGGCGCCCTTCTTGAGCATCTTCACGGCCACCGTGGTGACTCCATTCAGACCAGCAATATCGGTGGCATAGCCCTTTAGGACCTGCCCGAATTCTCCCTCTCCAAGGACAGTGTCCAGCTGGAGCTTGTCCCTGGGGAACTCCCACTTGGCATCGCCGCTCTCGAACTTGAAACCACCTTGGAGCGGCATCAGGGGCAGATCTCCGTCACAGGGCTCGGGCAGGGAGAGCTTGCCATTAGGAATCATCGATTCCTTGCCCAGCCGCCGCTTAAGCATTTTCCTCTGGGCAATAAGCAGGGCGAGAAGCAGCAGAACGAAGACCATGGGACAGCTAATAACGAAGAACATGCAGGAGCGATCGCACTCAAAGCCGGCTACGTTAAGTACACCCAGAAGCAGGGGATCCTGCAGGGATTGCGGTGCGTCTCCCAAGCCACCTCCTCTCCTCTCTAGCACAGGTTCCGCCGGATCTGTTTCGTTCTTTCGCTTGCGCGGCTTCTTGGCTTTGGGTTCCGCATCCAAAGGAGCGCAGGAGCACTTGCCATTGTCCTCGCAGAAGCAGGTTCCCGATCCGCTGTAGATGCCCAACTTGTTGTCGTTACTTATCTGGGCGCCCATTAAGTTATCTTGCGAAGTACAGTCCTGGGGACAGGCCATAGGGTTTAGTTCCTCCAAGGGATCACAAACGTGATCAGGACAGTGTAGGGCCTCGGGCACACACGATCCAAACTTGGTGCTAAACATGGCGGCATGGGAGCCACGCCACTCACACGATCCTCCGCTGGTGGCTAGGCCGCAAAAGCGGATGCACTGCGACTGGTACTTGACTTGGGCGCAGGTCTGTGATCCTGATTTGATCTTTAGATCACAGCTGGTGTTATCCGGTCTTCCATGGATGAGGTGTACGTTGATCACACGGACATGGGACAGTCGCTCCTTGTCTATCCAGGTAACGTTAAGAAAGTATATCGTCTCGGGGGCCTCTTCCAAAGCCTTGGGATTCTTCACATAGATAATGCCCGATGTCTGGGTAATGCCAAAAGCTCCACTTCGATCTTCCACGATATCGAATCGAATAGAGCGGGATCGCATAAGCTGCTGGAAGCTCTCCGGCTGGGTAACTCGGTAGTAGGACGAGGCTGTTCGAAAGACAGACACATCCTTCTCGTAATCCACGGATACCGGACCCCGGGATCTTCCGCCGCCGAAATCATTATCGAAGCGTTGCTGTTGCTTTAAGGGAAGCGCCTGGGGTAACTCTTCGCGATCTGTCGCGTGGAGATTCTCCAGGTTTATGTGGTAGCAAATGTAGGCCGTGGCAGACATGGGCTCATTGTGGGTCACAATGGTGAGGTCCCGGGCCTCCAGGGATACGCAGTAGGGGGTTTCACGGAGCATTCCGCTGCGAACAAAGTGGAGTTCTGGAAAAGGGGAATATATATGATATATTCTATATATTTATTCCCTAAAGAATTTTTTAATACTTACGACAGCTAACAATAGTGTGCGGCCTGCCCGTGTGATCCGCCTCGTAGGCGTGGCAAACCGGATGAAAGAGACCATATGAATCATTGTGAACCGCATAGACCAAGTGGGCATTCGCCGCCAGCGTGTCCTTGTCCACATAGATGACTTTCTCACCTGCCGCCATGCTCTAGAAGAAGGGGAAGGGCACAAATTAGAGGTTGCTTCATTAGCATTTACTGACCACCGCTAATTAAATTCCACTTGGCACCTTGGCCACCCCATGGCAAATTGCAGCACGCTGCCCTCCAAGGATGCGCTCTTGGTGATTAGCATTTTCATTTGTGCACAAGGTCAGGCTGGGGTTTCACACAACCTGCAGGGACCTGACATTCCCCACCCAATGGAGGAGGAGGAGAACCAACCCAAAAACCCTTTTAATGCATCCCCGGGGCAAAGGTCATTAGCAAGGTGTCTGTGGCGGAGTTAGGCTTAAGTTGGGAATGGTGGGTCAAGTTAAGGTAGGAAGGACATTGTATTTGGATAATAATTGGGTTGATGTAAACCTCTCAAGTGAATATATTGTGTTAGGAACTGAGAAAGGACTAAATCTATGGGGAATATTATTGTTACTAACTTTTAATTAAAATAAGTAATTAGGGTTTCGGGTTGGACTATTTTATTCAGCCTTTTCAATTAGAAAATTTATTAGAATGAGTTTTTCTGATTTAAATCCATTAAAAAGGGGCCCAAAAGTATGCATAACAACTTTTGCTCAGCGTTTAAATTAATTTCAAATATCCTATATTTTTTCTAGCTTTAATTTCCTAGATAAAACCATTAACTATCTGAATTTGTGTATCTCCAATCTAATAGCTGACAAACCCAGCTCCCAGCCACACCTCATGGCAACAGGCTTTTGTTCAGTTTATTATATGGACTTGGAATTGTCGCCATGTATTTCCACGAAATAAAATAAAATGTACATTATTGTGGCTACATAATTTGAATGTAGCGCAATTTGTAATGGTCGGACTTTAGTGCAGAACCAATTACTCCATTTGTATGAAGGAGGAGGTGCAGACGTACTATCTGCAGCCTGGACTGACACAGTTCGCCAGATCCTTGGGGATAGGCTTGGCTTGTTTCGGACACGACAACATAATTTACTCCAGTGGCAACTTTAAGGGATCTCCCCCGCTGAAGTCACTTGGCGCAGCGAGTTCGTCCTCTTTGTGTTCCAGCCACAGCTACGGCTCGTGCTCCAACTCCTGCTCCAACTCTTGGTCCTTTTCCATTCCCTTCCTGTCTGTCATGCTCCAATCATAAAAGCCCATAAACGTTACGCGTTTTTAATGGCAACATATGAGCGGCAGAGCTGGGGGCGAGCTGGAGTCGGAAGGAAGTCGCGGTTGTGGCCAACTTTAACTATTAGGCGGTGCGGGCTCAACCCCCAAAGATGTGGTCGGACCCAGACGTGGTAATGGCCAAATAATGGCAGGGTGACCGGAGTTGAGACTTCCTTTTGATGGGGTTTTCTAATGCACTCACACAAAATTTGGGATTTATTTTAGATATTTAAATATTAAATAATAACAGGTTTATTTTTTGAATATAATTTAAATTCCTAATAACATTTTAGGCAAATTTAATATTTTCTAGCATAGCCTTTAGCCTTTTCTAATTTGTATTTTTATTTTCAAAATGAAAAATACTTTCCAAAATTGGTTTTAAAATTCCTAAGACCAAATGACACAACGGTTAATATTTAAGAGGATTAAAATAATAAAACTTTCTATGAGTGCACCTGCCTTGGTTGCGTGTCAAGGGGGCGTTCATCATGGACGAATTCAATAAGCCCGCACCCAGTGAGCGACCAGACAGCCGGCAGACGAATGTCTGGGCAGGGTCTGCCCCGTCTTCCCTTCCCTGCGAATCCTCATCCCCCAGAAGCCCCTCGAATATCACTCAAAAATCTCACAAAACTCACCTCTTGAAAGTAGGGCTGATCCAGGTAGAAATCGAACCGGGAGTCGCTCTCCTGCAACTTGGGTCCGTTGTCATTCCGATCGAGTAATTTGATATCGAAGCTGCGCGTGAATTTCCTCTGTTCCCGCGCGGATAGCTTCACCGTGCAGGTGATTCCCACCTGCAGCTGTCCTGCCCTTGCATTCAAGCCATTTAACTCGTCATGATCCAGGGGCATTCTCGTGTATAGACGATTCTGCTTTAATGCAAAGTGAGAGCTGCCAGCGGTCAGGGTGTAATCCAGGGAGACTTGTGGACACAGGTATTTGGCGGCCCGCGAGTTTAGGGCACCGATAAGCACGGGTTCAAAGGAGTCTCGCCGGCGAAACTGACCCTGCGACTCGGCCACACTATAATTGGCTCGGCTCCAGAAGCAAATGTGCTCCAGCTCGGAGCAGTAATCCTCCAGGGATTGCGGCACTACCTCCAGCGTGAGGTGTGATATGGGTAGCAGCTCGTGATCCGGCTGATCTCGAGGAAAAGCGGTCACCACATATTGAGTGCTCACATTCAGAGGCTTGTAATCAGTTCGCATATATATCTCCCCGGACGAGCTATTGATCCGAAGCAGACCATTATCCTCCAGACTGTAGATGTAGTCACTGGCCAGGCGATTGCTGGCCATTCGCCGCACTTGGAACTGGGCCAGCGGGATCTTGGAGAAGATGCTTTCCGATTCCTCGTTGATGGGTAGATTGAATTTCACTGACGTGCTGGGAAAGTAAACATCGACGGCGGCTGCTGTGGGAAAATGAGAGGAAAAATTCGAGAAAATCAGAGGGTTGGAAAAATCCAGTTAATGTCCCGATGGCGTCATGTTGGGGGGTTGGGGCTAAAGTGGGTGAAGTGTTTGGGTTAGTGGTGCTGCCACAAGTGGTTGCCACAATTGACCCACTCAGTGGAAGTAGAGGCGGCTTTTCGATTCCATTTGAGGATTGATATTCATATCCTGAACAAACTAGTCAGTGGTTTGAGGTTCATTTGTTGAAAAAATTGAGATATAAAAGTAAAAGACAAAGAAATATTTAACAACAATTTATTTAAATTAAAAAGCCTCTTTGCTTTAAAGTTTATTAACGAACTTGGGAATTTAACTGAAATATTATAAATAGTACTTTTTACAGTTTATTATAAAATTCCTTGAATATATTTAAGCAAAAATTTCCACAAATTCCCAAGACTTTATCCAAACCACAGTGCCTACCCCTCCACATAAAATATATATCCATTCCCAAGGGTTGGTATCACTTTTTGGGGTTTGTTTGCCCATCATCATCATCAGCATCAGAGGAGGGCTAGCGACACACGCTCGACAGTCGTCATCAAATCCAATCAAACGATTTAGTTTAATAAGTCCGAGTTGACCTTAATAGGGAGACAAAGAGTTGGCCGCCCAACACCCCATCTAACAGGGCGTATGCGTAATTCGATAAGATATTCCCATCCTAATGACACACGATTGTGTTGTGTGGTCGGTCGGTCGGTCGTGTGTTTGCATACGAGTCAGAGTCCAAAACAAGCGATAAATAAATATAATACAGATATTAGTTATTAGCATATGGGTTATCAAAATGACGCCTGTTCCCTCCTCTGTCTCTGTTTTCTCCTTTGGATCTATATATATTGTTACCATCTGAACATTGGAGTGTCGGCGTCATCAAGTTGCGTATTGATTTTGTGATAGCGATAAGGTCGGGTTTTTTTTTTGTTTGGCGGAAAAAATACAACCCCAAGCATAATTGGTTACAAATTTTCGCCCCTTGTCGCTTGTGTAGTTAGGTCTTACGCCCAATTTTATGCCACACGATGTGGAGCAAACGAACTCTTGTAATGTTATGGTTTCAATAAGTGGGGAGTGGGGGATGTTATGGCCTTAATAGGTTGAATAGATAGAAATTAAACGCATTGAAGTTCAACTGATTTATGTCGAGGGGGAAGTTAATATATTTATCAAATTATGTTTGGTAGAGAGTTGTATGTCATTATTCTTATCGAGGTTATTAACTGTTTAAATAAGAGTTATAAATAGTTGGGTTTGATGTTAAATAATGTGAGGAATGAGAAGGGAAAGGATTCGTAAATCTAAATAATAGTAAAGTAAAGTAAAATAATTTAATTTAATTTAAAAACAAAAAGGAAAGTTGAGCCGTTTTCCGAAAGAACTCCTACTTCATTCTACTTAACAAATATTCTTGAAAACTTCTTTCTTTCTCCTAACGTACCATAATTATATTTATTTTCCATGACTGCCATTTTCTAAGGACATGCAAACCCCTTTCAGTTTTCCTTTAATCTCTGTTTACAAATCTTTTTTAATTCTTCCCCATTATTTAAAAACAAAGTGTGATATGTGTGCACCAGAATCGTTGCCTTGGAGCCATTTTCCCTATATACTTCTATGGTGAAGCACTTGGTACTTAATCAGGGGCCAACGTTTCAACCATAAACAGGACTGGCGCCATCGTTTGCTGGGAATCAGCTAAGGATGAGAGCTGGCATAATCCTGTTAGGGATTCAAGTTTCTCCACACTTTCCTCCTCCACAAGTCACACGCATATTTTACCAAGAACGCTGACAGCATTAATATATTTTTTGTGGGTGGCTAGGTCCCTCGAGGGGCGCCAAAAAACACGCATTTAAAATGTCATTATAAATGCGCGCGTGTGTGCCTGATCTACATATTTTATCAGCATTTTTCGCATGCCTGAGCGTCAGCAATTGTAATGAACACATTTTATTATTTATAATGTGTACTATAAGCCAAAGGCCATATCAAGGAGGACTAACCAGGAAATTTCCCAATCCCACACTCTTTTTTTTTTTTTTTTTTTTTTTGTTCAGTTGGAGGGTGGAGTGTGCTGTGTTTGGTTACCTCTTGAAAGCTTGGCCATAATTATGACAGGCATTTAGTGTGGATGGTTGGCGGTGGGTCGGAGGTATCCAATTAGCGGCTTTTTATTCATTTATTCCAACTGTTTACATTTCCCTCTATGCCGGGTGTGAGGTGTGAGGCTTGATTTGGTGGGGAGCAATCACTTTATTTTAGTGGAGGTCCCTCACTTGGTATTTTTGTGAAGTTCCTGGTTGCCAATTGAGTTGAGAATTCAGTGTCTGAATTAAGGATATTGGAGGAATTTCAATCTAATGTAGAATTTTGGGTGAAACATGGTTATGAAATTGGATATCATCTTTCTTTAAGAAAGTTTGGCAGAGTTTTAGAATTAGGTATTTTAGAATTTGTAGTTACTTTAAGCTCGAAACCAATATTAATTCTTCGATTTAAAATTAATTTATAATTCAGCTAAGAACTTCAACTAAGTGTTAAATCCTTTTTATCTGCCCCTTATTAATCCTCTTCCACCGATTTGTTTCAATCAGTTCTTGATTTGAGCTTAACTTGACCTCCATAATCCCAAGGGTCTGTCTGTCTTAAAAGCCCATAAAAAATCGAGCAGGTGAGTGGGGTTAAACGGGTGTTTAAAAACCTCCAAACCACCCTTAAAACCGCTGATCAACAGTCAACAACCGTTAAAAGGACGAACAGAAAAAAAAGTAAACTGGGAAGGACTAAGACTATTACGTTATCTATTAGGCAGACAATTAAAAAGCCAGCGAATGGCGCATTAAAAACTCAAAGCGATGAAGTTGGTAAAACATGGCCTTAAAAATGGGGGAGAAACAGGATAAAACTGGGATAGACTATCCCTGAGGGTGACTGGACTTCAAGGGAGTTGATACAGTTAAAAAAATGAAGGGAAGCGATTATATTTCCAAAATTAAAATATTTATATTCATACGATGTTTTTGATATATTTTCTAGGATAATTAAGCTTTAAATAATTTGGCATAAAGTGTTTTAAATTTGTTTAAAACTAAGAAAGATTCGTAGAGTTCATTGAGGAAGGCAAATTGAATATCCAAGACAAGGCAGATTAGAGAACAATTTTTAAATGTTTTTAGCAACTTAAAATACTCCATCAAACAGTTCGTTTAAACTAACCATAGAAATAAAAGGTTTTCCTAAATTTAAGTTAGTTAACCACATTTTTTCTCTGTGCCAAAGAAGCGCTAATGACAGCGGCACTGTCAACAATTGATGGGCGGCGACTCGGTCTCTGGCATGGCCATTAGTTGGGCCCGTGTACCTGAACTTGGTGGCCATTGGCCCGGGCAGGTAAGGTATGGCTAGGTAACTGAGACTCGAAACTCAAACTCGGCGAATCGGGGCGCGGCCTTTGGATGAAATGTCAACTAGTTTCGCATAAACTAATTAATCTCCTCCAATTAATTGACTTGCCATCGAATTAGGTCGTCAGTTTGCCTGTTTACAGTTCACTTTGGGGTTTATTGTCCTTGTTATGGGATGACTCATTTTTTGCTTTTTTTTGTTTTCTAATTTCGTGTTTTCCAGCATCCGGACTCACATTATATATTTGTCTACAGCTGCGTAATGAAAACTTTGTCTTTGTCAGGGTTTTCTTTTTTGTGCTAGGTTTTCCCAGCTCATTGTTCTTTTCATTACTCATACGTCGTGTGGGCCAGACGTGCTTTTTCTATTTTCCTTGGCACCGGCACTGCAATTGTGTCTGTGGTGCTGTAGCACTTTTTTCCTGTGTTTCTTTAGGAAACATTGGCATTGGTCTCTGTCGGTGGTTATTGCCAGGATTTGGTTTATTAAATAAGTATTTCCCCCAGTGCCTTGCCACTTTCACTGAACGATCCAAGTGCGCAGACAAAGTGTCTTGAATGTTTTCTGCATTTCCTGTCTCTGTCCATGAAATATTTTCTCTTTGTCCGAGAGCCAAAGTAAATTGAATTCAAAGCAAGTAACAGCACAAACCAAAGAGTTTTAAATGCTCTTTTTATGAAAGGAAATTATAAAAAAAATAAACTTAAATAGACTATAAGGTTTTTAAAAATATTTATATAAGCTAAAGATACTGTATCAGTATTTTTATTAATTTATATGCAAATAAAAATAATGTTGAAAGTTTCTCATTTAAATTGAGACTTGTATTTATGTTTTTAATATTTTTTTAAAATGTAGTTAATAAACAGATTATGAGTAAACCCAGAAATTTCTCAGAAGTTGTGTCCAGCTAGCCATGCACCCTTCCTTAAGGGCATCTCTGACTCAAAGAAACAATTTGTTGTTATCGATTTAAATGTAATTTTCATTTAAAGTATGGTTTTTCCTTTTTCTTTAGTCCTAGCACAAAGAAGTGCACAGTCACAGCACAAAAAGAACATTGAGAAAGAGCAACATGGAAGGAAATTGCGAAATAATCGCAGACTAGAAGTCACCAAAGCGAACTTCAAAGACTTTGTCTTGGAGTCTCTAGGGACGAGTGACGCTCCTGTTCAAGTTACTAGAACTAAAACCACTAACCAGAAATTAGTGACATTTAGTGACACTCGGCGTGCCGGAGATGGATTGCTTATTTAACTAATTGCGGTTGCCAGTGAGTTTGAAAACATTTTCGCGAGTCCAAATGCATTTGTCAAAGTCAAAGCTTCTTAAAATGTATGCTAATTAATGCTAATTAATAGAGGTTATAATTAGTCAAGGTGCCTATTAAAAGGAATTTAGCTTTAATGCTAGCAAGGCCTTTATTTTGAAAGGAGAAGATGACAGCAGTACTAAGAGAGAATATACATTTTAGCTTTTTATACATTTATCCTGATTCGTTTTAAAAAAGAATAAAGTTGGATAAAGTTTCAAAGTTATGGAATTTTTAGCGATATGGCCAAAATTTGTGAGTGGCATTGTACAACACTTCTTGGGCCAACACTAAATGTATCGATCGCGAATTGTATGTATCGCGAATTCTGTTTTTTTCTGTCGGCATCCTTTGCTATAATTTACTTAATATAAAAAATTCCAAAACTTACAACAACCATGCCTAAAAAACGCACCAACTTGGAAAATATCCAGGAGAATCCTGAGGAGCAGGAAATCCGCTTGGACGATGAAATGTTTGTAGAATACGTAAAACAGAACTTGGCCACAATGGTAAGTAAAATGGGCATTTCCCGCGAAAATTCCGAGTGTAACCTGCATCCGAGTGTAACCTGAACACCGATACTGCGCAGCAGCGGAGCTGGATGAATCTGTTGCCTCTGATTTCGGCTATATAATGAATTCCAAAGTTACTGAATTTTCAGCGTTATTGCCAAAAATAGTGACTTATTGGCATTATGCAACACTGCTTGTGCCTCTTTGGCAACACTAAATGTATCGATAAGCTCCTTCACCAATCGCTTTCTTGAACCGACTGATCGGCGTCCTTTGTTACTTATTATTATCTAAATACAGAAAATATACATTTTGTGAATACCAAAACTAACAATAACCATGTCTAAAAAACGCACAAACTTGGAAAATATACAGGAAACTCCAAAGGAGCAGGAACTTCGCTTGGACCATGAAATGTTTGTAGAATACTTGAAAAAGAACCTGGCCATAGTGGTAAGTAAAATGAGCAGTTTCTGCGAAAATTCCGTGTGTAACCTGCACTTCCGTTTTGCCGCTGCTGCAGAACGCCGATACTGCGCAGAAGGCAGCGGAGCTGGAGAGGCTCCAGAAGGTAAAGAAGCAACTGCTGGACTATAATTACGGCTGCGTTTCGACTGCCAGCGAGGATCCTTACCCCGAAAAAGAGAATCTGTTGCCTAGCCTCAATCAGGTGAATTCAAAGGCCGAGGAACTGGTGGGACAACTCGGGGAACTGCTCGGTGCCAAATGCAACGTGCACCAGGCCTATGACGAGCACTGCCAAGAGGTCAAAAGTGTCACGGCGGAGCAATTGAAGACTCGCTACGATCAGTACTCCACTATGGTATGTAGGGAGCACCCTCTTCACCACTCGTGCAAAGCCTGAAAATGATCTATTTAATTCTAGAAAGACGCAGACCTAGGAAAAGCCATCGACGAAGCGAAGGAGTCTATGCAGGAAACACTGGACAAGACGGCTGCCAAAAAGTCGGAGCTGGCCAACAAGAAAAAGGAGCATCAAGCCAAGCACTCCGCCATGATGAAGGAGATTGAAACGTTGAATCATGTCGAGCAGGATGCCATGTAAGGCTATTATTATTTTAAGTTACTTAACATTTCTTCAATTTCTTTAACTTTTTTTCATTTTATTTCTAAACAGTGAACGGCTGGAGCAATTGAGGCTGAAAGAGGCTCTAGGCAACTAAGAGCCTTCCGATTAGAAGCTTATTTGTGTTTTCTAAGGAATTCCTCCATATAAATAATCATTCTTTACCACTGAAGGTATTTCATGCTGGTATAAGAACCGCCAGAACGCAAAGTTCCAGCCAATTTTTATGTTTCAGTTAAAATATTATACGAAATATGTTGTGTTTTTAGTTTAACATTAATATTTTTAGTGAAAATACAGAAGTTACCACGATTAACAATTTTTATGAAGTACTTTAAATCAGAAATCAAAGTATTGTAATGTCAATTACTTATTCTAAAAGCAGAAAATCTAAGTTTTGAAAAACAATGTTTATTTTACGGTCATTTTTTAACAAGCTTCATGTAAAAATTGTTCACGTATTTAATCTTTCTGAAAATAAATAAACGAAATAATTTCAAGACCATAAAAATGTATTAAAGTAAAAGTAAAAGTTGGTAGTTTTAACTTAATTTTAATTTAAACTTAGCTTCCTCTCTTGTTTATAATTATTTCATTAGCTTTCCCATTACAAAATATTTCTTTAAATAAAGAAAACTATAACTTTAAAACTTTAAAAATAATTACTTTGGTATTTCAGCTTTAAAAATTTCTTAATTGAATTAATTTTCCCATAAGGATATACTATTCTTATGTAAATACTTGTTGGCTCCATCAGTAAACCGAAAACCTATAAAAAGAAATCTGTATAAGTAAAATGCAGATTGCAGTCTCCCAAGCTCAAGGAGCTGAATGGGAATGCATTATAAACCCGATTTCTTAAGCTGAATCATGCTACTATTTCTGGGATCTGGCAAATAGTAAAAAAAGTAAGAATTCTGGGCGTGACAAATAGAGACAGACAGTGGCAGAGACGGAGACAGATCTCATAACTGCGAATTGCTTTTCGTTTTGCCATTACTTTATACATTTTTTTATATATTTTGTTATGCAAAGTACCCTACAAGACGAAGGCGCTAACCAACAACCTTGGCTGTCTTGTGATAAATGTGTCAAGCTCGCTCATAAATCTAACCATGTGTGCGGGAAATATGAAATACTTTGCAAAAGTTTTGTGGCACCTAAAGTGATTTAAGATTGGATATAAAATTTAAGACATTTCAATAGGAAATGGAGTACAAATTGGCTGGGAATTAAAGGAGTTTGAAGTGGTTGAAGAAGCTTTTTTAAAAATATAAAGTTTATAATGTAAATAGCTCAAAACCGTTTTGATTTATTCTTTTTCACTACCAATTAAGTCATTAAGATTGTTGACTTTAAACACATGTTACTCAGCACCTATATTTATAGCATTTACTATATTTTCCATATAGATTTTTATGTTCAGATTTACTGGCCAAACTGAAAGCCTGCCATTAAACAAAACACTTTAATTGAAGTCATGAAACAGCCGGCGGCTGCTGCTGAGTGCAAAAAAGACACTGCAAGCGAACTTTGAAGGCAATCATAAAATAAAAATACAAATAAAGTCAACGGAGGCACACACCTATTGACTTAATTGATTGCACATAAATTCATGAATTTCAGGCGGCGACAACGACAGCTGCTGGCCGGCGTATTTCAACACCTTTGACCCGCCCGGTGACTGATACTGGTTACCGGGTGAAGGAAGGCGCGTTGCATTCAACTTGACAGGGACAAAGTGCTCCTCCGAGTGTCAGCTGTGCGGGAATGGTGAGGCAGGCAGGGAGCAAGTCATCCCCCGAAAAAAAATTTGATATGTCTTTTGCAACGTGATGAAATAATTTTTTGGGCGTGTGCTGGCCCAGCACGTCATGCACTGAGGGTTAAAATAGGGGTTTTCTTAGTATCAGGGATTAGGAATAATCCTAATTTAATATAAAGTTATTATAGGAAACTTTATGAAAATGATTTTAAAGAGGTAATGGAGAGAGGAATTAATAATATACAAAATATTATAATTCCCAAGTATTTTGTTCCACAATTAAATGGTCCTCTACATTATGACTGTTTTCTGATTAATATTTAATATTTAGCAAAATAAATGAAAGAGGTTTTATTAAAATTATTATAATTTAAACAATACTTCTATGAACTTTTCTAATTTTTAAGATTTTCGAAGAGATTCCAACAATCTCCTCTTGATTTTTTCTCAATACATTATCTACATTGGACTTTGATGGAGCGCCTCTGGGGAACTGTCGGTAGTCCAGTCCATCACCGTCATTCTGTCAGTCAGTAATTCAGTTGTTGGGCCCACGAAACATATCGCTTACCAGCAAGCTTGTCGGGCCGTCAGTTCACACCTGTGTCCGTTGAAACCTTGTGGGCCTCGTAGAACTCCGATGGCATATAATTATAATTAAAACCGAAGCTAAGCTAAGACCAACCAGTGCAGCATGGAGCACATAAAAGAGCACCGAACGAGCGTTGGAAAAAAAGGGGTCATAAAAGGGGGTTCCCACTTCATTACTCCATATCTTCAGTTGCATTCCCACGAGGCGACTGTTTGAGTTCAAGTTATCTGCGGGATTTGTGCACCGCCACTCGATGCAAATTAGTGTAATTGCCTTTTATGAGCTCTTTATTTGCTAAAGAAACCAGGTGAAACGCCTAGGGGGAGGCTAACTCAACACTGATAAATCAATTGAAAGTGAAAGGAATTGAGTTAATCAAACAATTAAAGTTGAAATTGGTTTCAGTTAGGTGATAATTTATTTTTGGGTGTTAAATTAAGAGAAATGCTTTACTTGCAGTTTAGTAAAAAAACGAAGTTTTTTTGCCAGTATATTTTCTGAGTATATTGCCAAAAAAGATTAAAATTGCAGTTATATCTTTTTAAGAAGCACGTACTTTTTGGCACATTTTTACTATTCACCGACATTGTAAAACTTTAGAGGATTTTAAGTGTTTAAGTGCTTTGTGCTAATAAAAAACTTTTATTGTTAAATTGCGGTGTTTAAAAATTGCAATTACTGACACAAAAAAAAAGAGGGAATAAACTAATATAAATCCTGATATATCAAAGTTAGTTTGAAAATATTAATTTGAATTTTACACTGCCTTACAAGCCTTTTTAAATAAATATTAACAATTATTCTCATTGCTGAAGCAGCATAAATTCAATTCCCAAATTGTCTTGTGATCAAACACAATTCCACGAGAATTACTCAATCCACTCATTGTGTGTGTGTTATATTTTTCGGAATCGTTACTTCATAATTAAAATTATTTGTACACTTTGAAATTGTTTTTTGTTGCCTTACTCACCCGCACAGTTGTGTTGTTGTTGAAGCTGCACGGCAATTGTGAAAAAAGTCACAAGAATAACGGTAATTGAAACCGCCATTTCAGATCAGCTTTTGTAAATATTACTGTTATCGTTGTTGTTGTTGTTGTTGGAAAAAGTCTGTTGATGTCTTTTTGCCACTTTTCTTCCTTCTCGCTCACTCGTGCAATTGTTAATTATGGTGTTGGGGCTGTAGTTTCTTGCGATGTTGTTGTTGTCTCACCACGCACATTACATATTTGCACATTTTTAACGCTTTTTTATGGTCTTTTGTTACTTCTTAATGGTTTCTGTTTCTGTTTGTTTTCTTTTTTTATTTTGTTTGCTTTATTATATTTTTTGTTTTTGTTGTTCAGTGTTTGTTTTCTTTTTTATTTTCCAATGTTGTTGGCAATTAGCCACGTTCGGTTCGTGAACTTAATTACTTTCAGATCACAAATTGATAAGAGCAGCATTTATCAATTAATGTGCGAAATGTGCCAAAGCAGAGCAGAAAATATGAAAAAAATTAAAGAACAATATGTTACACAGGGAAAATAATTATTAATAGGTATAAATAACTTCAAACTAGAAATTTTAGTCTTAAAATAAGTAATTTATTAAATTCTTAAAGTTTAAAGTATCTTATAACCTTAATCATAAAAATCCTTAATTATTTCTCTCTGTGTCTCAATGGAACAAAAACCAAACAAGTATCCAACGACTCTTTTTTTTTTTTTTTTTGAGGGCTCCTCTGTTATTAATAAAACTAATTTTTATTGATAGCGGCGCCCACACTCCCGTTCGTCACTTAACAAATATAATTTATCAGTCGCTTAATGCCGCACAAAATTCTCAAGAGCCGCGGCGGCGTCTACGAATTCTGATTATTGCAATTCAAAATGAGCTTCGATTTTGATTTCCTTTTTTGGGATTACAATATTATTGATATTGTTATTAAATGGTTTTTTCGGATTGCTATTTTTGGCCAGCGCCAGGTGAGGGGCTTATTGTATTTGCCATTGATTTTGTTTTGGATTCTTTTCCGCACACTTTTTGGTTCCATGGGGTGTCTAAAGCCCTCGGGCTTGGTGTGTTATTTTTATACCCTTGCAGGGTATTATAATTTCAGTCAGAAGTTTGCAACGCAGTGAAGGAGACCTTTCCGACCCTATAAAGTATATATATTCTTGATCAGCATCAACAGCCGAGTCGATCTAGCCATGTCCGTCTGTCCGTCTGTCCGTCTGTCCGTCTGTCCATCTGTCCGTCTGTCTGTTTCTACGCAAACTAGTCCCTCAGTTTTAAAGCTATCTGAATGAAACTTTGCATATAGTCTTCTATATGCTCTCACTGCTATATATGTCGGAACGGGCCGGATCGGACGACTATATCATATAGCTGCCATACAAATGTTCGATATATTTTTAGAAAAAAAATTATAACTTTGCTGTTTTTCAACATTTTTGCACCATTTTTTAGATATGGCCACTCTATATTATTTAAGAATTTTGGTAAAAATTTTATGAAAATCGGACGACTATATCTTATAGCTGCCATAGGAACGATCGGGAAATTAATCGAAAAAAATTATAACTTCGTTGTTTTTCAACGTATTTTCATCTACTTTAAGTTATAAGCTTTTTTTATTATTCTAGAATTTTGGTATAAATTTTATAAAAATCGGACAACTATATCATATAGCTGCCATAGAAGCGATCGGCAAATGTATAAAATATGTAAAGCTGGGAATGTAAAACTGTAACTGTCAAACTGTAAACATAATAAGTATAGGTAAAATGTAATGAAACTCTGTTTTGTGAGTGTTTTCAGCATTTAAATCTATAATATAAACATCGAAACCAATCTGCAAGGGTATAAAAACTTCGGCGTGCCGAAGTTAGCATCCTTTCTTGTTATTTATTGTTATTAATCGCATTTTTTTGCCAATTCATTTTATGTCGAATCGCCTTTGCGTTGGCTCAATTGGTTTTTAAATGGAATAATTTAATTAAATTATTTGGGCAAGTAATTTTTTGGCTGTCTGAAAGATTACTTCATTTTGTGTTTGGTTTTTGTATTAGAAAAAGTTTATTCGTTTTTGTGAGACTGGGTTTTTAATTAAGAAATTTAATAGGGAAATATGAGAAAAAGATGTGAAATGTTTAAGGCTGTGAAGATTATTATAAGAATCCATACAATATTCAGACTTTAGTATATTGCTTATAGATAAAGATATTTTATATTTAACAAAACCTTAAGAATTTGCTTTTTATTTTTTAATAATTTGTAAATACAAATTAAATTTTATATAATCCCCAACTCTGTGAACAGTTTACTAAACAGTTTGACTTAAATTTCAAGGATGATCAACAAAATAACCAAGCTTCAGTTAACGCTCTTTAATTGTACCCAAAAACCCGACAGCTCAGCTAATTTGTTTACTTTAACTAAAAAAACATATATATATATAAAAAAGAAGAAAAAAGAATAGAAAAATGCTTTAGCCAAAAAACTAACGAATTCTATGCAAGTACCAAGGCAAACACACTCGATGGGGAGGACGTGCCCTGAAAAGAGCAGCCACAAAGTGGAAGTACGTGTACCCTACACTTCTTCGTGGAGTACTCCACTCCATGGCACTCCACTTGGTATGTGGTGTGCGGTGTGTGTAGGTACTGTGTGTGGTATACAGCGGTGCACGGCAGGTGTGATAAAAAGAACCCGAAAGAGACAATTGCGGCGTGAATTACTCGCTGGCCCAGGGTACGGAATGGAATGGCAATGGAAGATAGCACGCATAATTCAAACGAGCCCCAAAGTCAAACAACGTGATAAGCAATTCACATACACTGTGCAAAAATATCGAAGCTAATTAAGGGAGCTCAATTACACTTATGGTAGATAGGGGTGGGGGTGAATATCGATATTACAAAAGAAAAAAGAGATAAATAAATTAAAAAACATTTAAAAATTAAATATCTAAAATATATAAGTCTAGGAAGTATTTTTAGAAAATAAAAAATAAAACAGAAACATTTTTAACTTCAGTAAAATCCACAATCAATGTTTCTAATATCCGTATCTTCCTTCTAAGTTTTCTCCTACACTCCGTATTATTTTTTTAAATATTTTTCTCCGTGCTGCCAACGACCGATAGACCAACTGACTGACTGTCGGACTGTCTGCCAGTCCAAGTGTCCGCTGTCTACTTTCCGTTCCCCAGTCCCCTGTCCCAGTCTCTGAGTTTGACTTTTGAGTCTGAGCTCTTCAGCACCTGAGCACTTTAAAGTTCAAATCTTTTGACACACTGGGAGCTCAGTCGGCGGATGCTAATGACACACGACTGACACAAAGAGGCTTTGCAGCGAAACACACAATCCGCACTACACTTTGCTATATAAACTACACACGTACATATATATTTACTATACGGTGGGAAGCCAAAAGAGCCAAACTGGTTGCCAATTCGAGGGAGTTTGAAAGGCCTTCGCTGGGAAGGCTGGCTGTGCTTTCCAATTAAAGGTTGAGTCGCGACCCAGGCGATCCCCGCCGCACTTTTAAGGTGCGTCGTCTGCCGGCCGCCTGTTGTCTCTGTTCCTGCGCCAAAAAAGGCAATTGCCATATGAAACTTATAGCATTTCTTTATGCCTAACGACCAACGTCGAACCGACGACCGCAAGAGTCAAAGTACGACTGCGGAGGTTCTTCAGTGTCAGTGACTGCCCCCCAATGGGTTTCGCAGCACTGCGATAAATGGGTTTATATTGATTAATAAAATTTTGTTTGGGAGGTAATAAATAATAATTATTCCCATGAGGAGGTGCCAAAGCCTTGTTTAATGTAAAAAATCTCAATAATATTTATAAAATTATGTTGTGATTAAGATCATAATTAATTTTGCCTACTTTTAGACACTATTATAAATTATTTTAAATCTCAAGTTTATTTCGTAAATATATAATCAATACAAAGGGACAACATTTAATAAAAAAAATTAAAAAATATAAACAACAAATTAAACAGTTTGCATAAAATAGGAATATTTAAAAAAATACTTTACAAATTATTTATAATTATTCTGTTGCTCTAGTTAAAATTAAATAAAGATTTACTTAGCTTACGTTTACAATATATTTATTTTATTTATTTTTTATTTCTTTGTCATAATTTGGTTTTTGTTCTGATTAATCTTTTATTAAAAGAGGTTCCGTGTGAGAAGAAAATAAGCAAATATTTCCCAATTCCGAGTTCAAGGTATATTGGCAATTAAAAAGGGTCAGTGACTGCCCCCCAATGTTTTCTCACTACACTGTAACAAAAGGCTTGTATAATTTTATTCTGCTTAAAAACATTTGTCTATACAACTCAAAATACTATTTCGTTTAAATCAATCAAATGTAACTCAAGAATTTCAGTTTAAAGATAAATATAAACTAATTTAAAGAGACGAACTTGGCTTCTAATATCTAAAATATTTTTAAACGTTTAAAACTGAAATTGTTAATCATTTTCTGGACTAATATGTATTATATTTTTCGCTCACTGTGTGCCTGAGCTCGACTCTGTGTGTTTCTTTTTCATTCTCAGTCATTGGCAAATTGGAAAAGAATGCGAGTGTAGCATCAATAATTTCGGCCTGCGAGCTTAGAGTTCTTGTTTGCTTTCCACGAAAAAGGGTTCAGGAATGCCTGAAATTCAGTCGAAGCTGTCAAGGTGGCGTATGCGTGATGTTACCACTGAGCCAGAACAAACGAAAACCAATAAAAAACCATAACAAACAGTCTCTAATTGATCTTATTGTTCGAGTTTTTAGACCTGAGTACTTGTATAGCAATTTGTAATATGTAAATGAATCGTTCGATAGTTGTTATTTGCATATGTATTCAATTAATCTTCTGTCATCTAAGTAATTAAAAATACATAGTTTTTAATTACAATTATATATTAATAGCGATAAATATCTACATTTTAATCAGTAAGTTTCCACCTGTGCTAGTGACAGAGTCGTAAAGCCGTCAACTTTGGCATTTTGTATTAATTGATGAATGTTGTTTGGGTTTTAAGTTGGCTTAAATAGTTGTCTAGTTGGGAGATTAAATTATAATAAATATATTTCTAATATTAATTTAATTATAGAATTTATAAGCAAAAGATTGGAATGTTATTTTTCAGGTTTCTTTTTAAATTAACTATATTAAACCTAAATTTTTAAATTAAACAATATAATATTAAATATTTCACTTGATAAAGTTCTATTATTACTTTGTTTTATTTAAAATATTTTTCTCCACTTCATAAATCTTTACCTATGGTTATTTTTCTCTCCAATAACCTGCAGTTATTTGTATTCACAAATTGTCGAGTTGTCTAATCCGAGGAAAACACGCACAGTGCTAAATCTCAATTATATCCCCGCTGCCGATCTACACGATTTTCGTATTGAGTTGTCAGTGCCACCAGACGTGAGGATATTGCCTGCTTTTGGAAAATCCCAATCTGGAAAATCTGGCCATAGTTTGCACAAATAAATTGCAGTTTTTGCAACATGCAACTCGCAAAACACAACGTAAACACGATCTTGATTTTCCGAGCCGCAATTTATGGATGTCTTGCAGCTGCGGCTTTAAAGATTTTCGCAGACTCCTTAATTGTCGTATGGTTGCGGCTCCGAAATGACAGCCGGGGCTATTTATGGGACAGTTTAACTAGGCAATTAATTAGCCACCTTTTGCGCGTTGCTTTTTTTATTTTTTGGGTAGCTTTTCCGCGAAAACACACACCGGCACCGGGACCGGCACCGACTCTGACTGACTGTGGGAAATCGCTGAGCCACCGAGAGACCAACCGAACCGCTTCGCACGCGCTCCGTTCGAAAAATGAAACCGAAACCGGCAGCCGGCGACTCCAAAGCCGCAGAAAGCCACGAAATCGTACTGGAACTTCTCCGAATGTCGCTGTGGCTGCCGTACATGTTGCTGCTGCTGCTGCTGGCTGTCACACGAACGCGCTTCGTGAATTTCCACAGTGACGACGATGAAGAGACACCCCCCTTGGCTGAATTTTCCATTTCCCGCTGCACCTCTTCTGGTGGTCGACATGCCGTTAAGGCTCATATACATATTTGGTCACAATAATAGGAATATTTCTTAAAGTTTGAGATAAATATTGGTTTTACTTGAGTTAATTGGTTTTTGGGTTTTTTAATTGAGTTAATTCAAGGGTTAATTTGAGCATTACCTGGTAGTCTTAAGCAGGTTATTTTAAATAATTAATAAATAATACATATAATAAAGATTACGTAAAGTTTCTACAAGTCGAGGATACCATACACTAGTCAAAATAAATTGCTTATTGTTTAAACCGTAAAATACTTAAGGTTTAATTACAAAATAAACATAATAAATAAGTTTTTAAGAATCCATCTTTTTCTCAGTACTAATATTTTAACTGCAACTGTGTGCAAGCATATGAACGAGATAAATATGATCTTTTGACGGATTTATCTTTTTTAATGTTGATTTGGGGTTAGGCATTACCTTTAGATTAAGAAACATGATCTCATGTCAAGCACAGCTTCTGGCAATGCATTTCGTTCAATATTTACTTAGAATTGTGAAAGGGTTTCAGCTGGCAACGTATCTCTTGGAAATTGTGGGAACTTAAGGTGTTTAGGTACGCGGCCCATTGTACCACCTCTGCCGGCTGAGCTTTCCGTCTGCCTAAGCTTAGTCCTTAGTATCATGTATGCAGCGAGATAAAGCTGATCGTCTACCCTTGAAATTGCCCACGACGCCCCCGCTGTTTTCATTTCTACTTCGCAGATAATTCCGCTTGCGCCGTGGGTGTATTTTCCGTTCGCCAAACCCAATCACCACTTATCAGAAGGAAGCGCCGATATATTAAGGGTTAGTTTATTTGGAAAACAAGTTTAGGGGTTACCAGCTTAAGAGCTATTAAATCCAATTCAAGATTAAATTCCGGGTAGCACAGGACATGATACAATTAAGTTTAGGTAATGAATAATAAAGTAAACATTAAAAATCCTTTTAATTGCTAGAAATTATGAAAGAAAAACTGCAAAATTGTTTTGGGTTTTGGTTATGGTTCATTTTTTTTTACATATTTATTTTTTGTTGTGGTGGTGGCTTTGTGTTCTCATTAATTGCTTTGAGTTCTGGATAATTTGGACTATGATGTGAGCAAAGGCTTCTATGGGTTCTTAAGGATTTCTAAGTCTTCTAATATTCGGCCGAAATTGTTTGACTTAACGGTCTCCAGAGACGAATGGCTAACTACGAACGCTGGTACCTACTAAATAGGCAGCCATTCGTATCTGGCCGACATGTTGCTGGGTTGCATGTTACAAAGATCAATTTAATAGTTGCAGGAGGTGCACACGGGCTTGCCGCCGTCAAGGGCAAAGGTCTGGCTGGTGATCGGACTCTCGCACTTGTTGCACCTGAAGCAGTCACGGTGCCACTTGGTGTCCAAAGCAATGACGGCATTGTCCGTGATCGGCTTGTCGCACTTGGCACACCGGGCGGCAAAGAGCTCCTCGTAGTCCTGCCGGCAATAGACCTTGCCGTCGCGCTCATAGAAGGGCAGGCTGGCCAGTGGCTTCTTGCAGGCGCCATCACAGCGGAAGCAATTCTCGTGCCAGGACTCGCCCATGGCCGAGATGGTGCGCTCGAGGATGGGCTTCTTGCAGCCGGCACAGGTGTGCGTGTAGCGTTCCGTGAAGCACTTGGTGCACACCGGCTCGCCGTCCTGTATGTTAAAGGTGGCATCGTCGATCTGCTCCTCGCAATGCCGGCATCGGAAATGCTCCGGATGGAAGGTCTTGCCCAGGGCGGTGATCATGCGCTTGGTGATGACCTCCTTGCACTTGTGACAAAAAATTTCTCCAGACATCTTGGCTATGGGTATCGGTAACGGGTTTGGGATTGGAATCTGCCAGGGAGAGAGACGATTGCAGTCCAGGTTGCAGGCCAGATTGCAGACTCACCTGTGTCTAGTCTCTCTCGTTTACTTGCAACGTAAAACGAACAAACAAAAATTATTGAACAAAAAAGAAGATGTGCAGACGATGAGAAAAAAATCTTTTATGTTCTTATTTATTGTGTAGAATTTTGAATATTTTTTTATGATTTTTTTTTTGTATAAATACAGAAAACGAAACGAATGAAAAACGTATGAATTTAGCAAGACTCGAAAACTGAATGAAATATTGCCACCGGACGTCGGGTGTACAGGTTTGACAATTGGATTAAAGATTAGCACTACCTACTGAGACTTTTGGGAAATTTGATTAGCCTTTCTACGGACTACTTGGTTTTTTAAAAGAAAACTCTTTTGGTTGCCCAAAAAATCGCCTACTTTCAGTTAATTTATTCCCATACTTCATATTTTTTGGTGGTGGTTCTTCTTTTCTTTAATAATTTATAGCCTCAATTTCTTTGGAAATTCGAACTCCAAAATTAGTCACACCGAAACAAAAACCATTAGGAAATTGAACAGAAAAAATCTTTGGCTCCAGCTAAGGGTGCATTTCCTCAAGCAAACCCGGGAATTGCTGCCATTCCTGCCAGGCGTTGGCTAAAAATGTTTTGCAATTAATAAATTGTTTTCCCTACGTATTTATTAAAAAATTTAATTAAAGCAGAAATTCTTAGAAGCTTCCGCTTAGCCAGCCGGCAATTAACAACCGCTACACATGCGTGGAAGTGGCAGGGAAAGGGCGAAGCAGGAAGGGTGGTTGACTCCTTCAAAGGACTTACTTACACAACTTGATAAAAAAAAGTTGCACTGGAGAAAATAAAATGGATAGTATTAGCTATTTTAATAATTTATAATTAAGAAACATTCTATTAATAAATGGAAATTCTATAAAATGTTTAAGAGTAGGAACATTTATGATAATATAATATTTATAATTATTTAAATTCAATATATAATCCTTAAACCTCAATGTAATTCTAAATTATCTTATCTTGTTAACTTTATTAATATATTCCTTTGACTTTGCCCAAATTAACCACATATTTTCTCGGTGTATGTGCCACTTCTATTGTTCCCGTCTTGATGGCCATTTTGGTGGAACGCAGCATTGTTTGTGGTGGCCACGCAGTGGGTGGGCGAGGTTGTGGCTGGTGGTTGGACATCCAGAAATGGGAGTGGGTGGCTTGCCGAGGACATGTCACAATTCGGTGTGCGCTTTGATGCGCTGCAAGGAATTCGAAATTGCAGCCCCTTTCGGGAGCCATTTCCACATGGAGAGCCGGAGGAGTGCTGGAGACCCGGACAGCCTTGTTGTGTAACTTGAAAGGGAATTTGTGTCAGGCGTCTGTCTGCGTATGCCGGAGTGCGTGCCCAGCTCATAACCGCATCCTTAACCAGCTCCACATGGCGCCCATAGCCTTAACCAGGTTGTTCCGCTCATAATTATTTTTATTAAATGCCACATAAGCCCGACAAATATGGCGATAATTGCATTTGGTTTTCGCACTTTTTTAATTGCTCAAAGTGGTGCAACCTTGTTTTTTTGGCTTACTGGGACAAGTTCAAAGAGTGGCTCCTTGGGGCCACATAAATACACCCATCAAACTTCAAACTTTTCCCTAGTAATTGCAAACCCTCTCGTTGCATGACCCACAATAATTTATTTGGTTCTCTCGACTGCACTGGGAATGCTGCCCTGTTTCTCGTGCCTTTTTTTATGCGTAAATTTAATTAGTTGCTAGATAAGATTAGGCCAAGGGAAGGGGGCAAGAGTGGCCCACAAAAAAGGGGTAACAGTTTATCACAAGTTGTGGCAGAGTCTGACAAATTGTCAGAGGAGATTTAGGGGCTATAATATGACACACATTTGCACAGATAAACCGATGGGGATTATGGGGAAATATTGGGTTTTTGGCTTGTAAATTACCAAAGGAATTGGGTTATACGAATGTTAGTTTGTGTGGTATTACGAGCTTTGTGGAATAAATAACGAAAAACTAAATTAATTAAAGCCCTGTTTGCCATTTGTCGGTGAAACCAGAGCAGGTTCAAAAACCAAAGCAGTCCAGGACCGAAACAGGAGCAAAATAAAGCAGAAAAAGGACGCTGCAAACGTGAGTCGCAATCAATTACGCGACATTTTAATTATGCAGCAAGGTTTACGGTGCCAGGGGAATACCCGGCAAGCCCTGTATCCAGATGCAGCAGCAGGACACTCGCCGGGCGCATTGAACTTTGATTTGGGCCAGGCCAGAACCAGTCGTCGTCAGTTGGTCAATTAACAACAAACGAGTTGCGATTTGTGTCGGAATATTTATATTGTGTGTGAACCATTTTAATGGCCATAGAACAGACTATCAGATAAATACAAATTATTTACAAATTAGAACGAGGACAACGACTAGATTAGCTTAGGCTTAGGAACTATCAACTGGGAACTGAAGTGCGTCTTAGTCGATGACAATGACCTCCGGCTGAGCGTCCTGCTCCCGATGCTCCTCCTCCTCGTCGTCCAGCAGTGGCATCGATGGCCTCGGGTATTGCCAGAGCTTGGGCTTGTCCTTGTTGCTGGGCTTCTTGGAGGAGATCAGAGTGCGGCGTTTCAAACGCTTCAGCTTCTTCTTTTCGCGCCTCTTCATCTTCTCCTGGGCCACCTCCAGTATGGTGCCCCTAAGTGTTAAGCGATAGTTCTTCAAATTGCAAAGCTCCTGGGCTAGAAGATCATCATTGTCGTTGTTATCCCGTGCCGGAACATGGTTCTCCACATCCTCAAAGTCCTCCTCGTCGTCTGTTAGCTCGAAATCTGTCCAGGACTTGGACGTTGTCTGTCTGTGGAGCTTGAGCAGCTCCTCGGTGAGCATCAGCTTCGAGGTGGCCCACTTCATCACCTGGTGCTTCTTGCAGCCCATTTGCTGGCGATAGGAGTACAGGTGAAACGTCAAGTTTGAGGCCATCTGTGGCTGTGGCGTTGGTTCCTCCTCCGAGCTTTTTGCCACCAGTTTTTCCGGCTCCTTGTGAGCCAGCGGAGTAGGGGTAGTCGGTGACGTTGCGGCACCAGTGACTCGTGCCTCCGCACAGGACACCTTGCGATCCATGACATTACCCATGTTGTAGCCGATCTCGTGGTTCGATTGCCTCTGACAGCTGCAATCCTTCATCCCTCAAACTTATATGCCCAGAAAAAGGAGAAACGCAGGGGGTTTCTCCGTTCTTCTTCCTCCGCGGACGGTCCTTTACCTGTTGACGAGCTTTACCTGAAGGATAATTAGGGCAGCTCAAGCGCGTCGCCTTGCTCTTTTATGGCCCTAAACACCTGGTGGGGATTAAGAAAAAGTTGACAAGTTCGATTATATTATCCGCTTGGCTGCAAAACATTTCAAATCCTTTTCAGGGATTCTTTCTTATAGACTCTCCCAAATAATTGCTTATTACCTGCTTAAGTTTGAGACCTATTCCCTTTAGTTTTGACTTTCCTTAGGGAAGATTCAAACTTTTAAATGATATTTTGTGACACTACTTTATGATTTCGTTAGGTTCAGGTTTATTCACAAATACATTCTCTAATTTTAGAACAATAACAAAAACAAAGTAACTAAGAACTGTTGTGTTAAATACTATTTGAATTTATTTTGTTTGGTGTCAAGATAAATGTATAGGGTATTTTTTCGATAGGTAAATCTGATTAATTGAAAATCATGGCCTGCTGTGACTTGACATTGTTTTGTGGCTATTGCAAATTGGAAATATTTTTGTTACAAATTAATGACAACAAAAATAAAGCTTACTTCTGCAAGCCGAAATTTGTATAGCCTTAGGATCTTGGCATCGAAGCCAAAATCGATCATAACTAAGCGAAAAATTCATTAATTTCAGTTCGGAATACTTTGCTGTGCTAGTTATTCTTTAATTAACAAATCAGCATTTTATATGTAAATTGAATTCCTTAAATATATATTTATCCATATTTTAATAAGCATCAAACTCAATTCGGAATGATTTTTTGTGGTAGTTTTTAATATTTTAATAATGTATACTACATTTAAGTTATAGCTCCTATATGTACATATATATAATATGCATATATGCATATAAATTATTCGTAATATATTTTTGTACATATATGCAATGCTAGATCATAAACTTTCTTTAGCATACCAATTGTTAATTTTAGCTGATTCCTTAAGAATAAATATTCCAAATTGGCGGACAATACTAAGATCATAACACCTTGAAAACATCTGTCGTTATGAAGGTAAAACTATATAGATCTATAAGAATTTCCAAGCTCACATGTCAGGTAGAACTTGAACCGTACTTGGCTTCCATTTTGAGAAAACCTAAGCTGCCCAAGAAAACCCTAAGGAATCCATCCTGCAGGAACGTACAGGCCAGAGTCTCACCGGATACCTGTCTACCTGTCTCCCAACTCTGTATATAAACCTCCCGAATCAACCGCATCCTTATCACTCAACGCCCAACAGTCATGGACCAAGCTGCTAATTCCAAGAAGCTGCTGATGTTCCGCACTCCCAACGAGGAGGCGCAGCACAACCAGATCTTCATCTTCAACTCGCCGATTGACTACAAGGACCAGCAGCTGATTGTCTACCAGAAGCCGGGAATGCTGAACGGAGAAGAGCCAGGACCTGGACCGGGATACGGCTACTGTGTGGTGTACAAGCGGGATCACTACGTGATCAATAATCCCCCCAACTTCCAGAGTCCCACGAAGCGAAGCTTCCTCAACGAGTGCATCCGGCAGCTGTATTTGATGAACGGCATGTGTCACAAGATGTACTGGTGCAGCACCAGTGCCATGGCCCTGAGCACACCCACCGAGGTGTGGCACCAGGTCAACAGCTGCCTTCAGCCAGAGCGATTGTCAGCCAAGACAGAGAGCCTAAAGCGCGTTAAGCGACAGCTGTTCCGCGAGGAACGAGGAGATCGCAAGAATCCCCGACCCCTGAAGGGCAAGATGTGGGGAACCCAGGTCTTCTACTTCAAATCGATGCGTGAGAAGCTGGGCAGGCGACATGTACGGCGGGGCTACCTCAAATTCGCCCGTCAAACGGCGCTGCAGGCTATGATTTGTGAAAATCTGCAACGCGAGATGATCTGCACGCCGGCGGTCTGCCGGACCGTGATCAGTGCCGCCGAGGGCATCTTCAATGTGAATGCCGGGGTCATCGGTGACATCTGCAGCTACCACGACAATGCAGCCCGCCACCAGCCCGCCGTGGAGGGTCGCCTTACGGCTGGCGAGGCTCGTCTAAGGAACAACCAGGCCTGTCGGCTGACCCAGCGAGCCAAGCGGCTGGAGGCCATGTTCATACACGAACAGGTGCGCAGGGCAGTCCAGAACCATCAGCTCATCCTGGAGGAGTCCGTGCGTTCCATCTTCTATGCCAAAGAGCTCTTTCGGCTTATTGAGGATCACGAGGAGTTTGTCTACACGGACAACAAGATTCTGGGCAAGAGCTGAAGGGGCTGTCCTTATACTGGGCCTAGCCACGGATCTAGTTCTTTCATTTACTAATTAATTGTTTAAAACAGACTATAATTAAAACATAAATATTAAAATATACATTTAAATTAAGTCTCGTTTATGAATATTTTAAGAAATTCTGAATTTATAATTGAACAAAAATTAATTAAGAGAAGATTGAAGTATGGAATATGAATCTAAATAAAGATATTTTTCATTGCAAAACTAAAAACAATTCTATAAATTTATTTTAATAGTTCTCCATTAGGTTTCAAGAAAGCCTTTCTTTTATTTCCCCAAAAACCATTATTAAAACATTGCCTTTCATATGGCACAGTCAAAAAATCTCCAAATTTAAGGCAATTTATATATTAAAACACATTTGTTACAAAAATATTTTAATTACAGAGTAAAAATTAAACATTTTCTCAAATTCGTTTTGTGTATGATTTGAAATACTATAATGAAGTAGAGCATATATATTTTTAAAAATATATAAACAATGAAAGTAGTAAAATGCGAGTTTGAGGATATCTGATTCGTTGCCAGATCTCTTATTGTATTTATTCCCTCGGGTTACGTGGGTTGCTGTTGTTCTATCAGCTTGGAGTGAACGTCCATCAGGCTCTGAAAATATGTAATACTTTTTAGATTCGATTTAGAATTGATTGAATTGATTTAGAATATATATTATTAAAGACTAGGTAGCTAAAGGTTAGTATATATATAGATTAACTTATCTAAATAAGTTTGTCATAAGCTACTTATCCGTGTATTAAATAAATATCGCACAAAGATATAGTATTTTAAAATCGTAAGATAACGTAAGATCCTAAAGACCTATCTACGGATATAATTCCTAATAATCTGAGTCAGAGGTCCTAGATACTAGTAACCTTAAGTCTTCACAAAACTTAATTAGAATAAACATTAGTTACAAAAATGTAAATATTTTAACCTAATTTAAAGTAAACTTATAACAATTATATTACATCTAAGAAAACATACTCCTCTTTGCAGATTGATAAACATTTTATGCTTAGTAAATTTAATAACAAATAAAATTCAGTTTTATTTCTTGTTTGTCTCTTAAAATAAGTACATTTTTTTTTATTTTATTTTTTTGTTTTTTTTTGTTTTGTTTTGAGGCTTGAAACACCTTTGTTAAGGGACCAGAGGCAGTCTTCTTCCTTCCAAATTCCATTTGTTTAGCACAATTTTTATTTATGTTGTCAGGAACAGTCTTATATTTAATTATTTTTAAGCATAGTTTAATGCCTATTAATAAGTATTATTAAAAAATATCATGGCATTTGTAAAAAGTGTTTGGTTTTTTCGGGGTAAATTTGAATAAATCAAAAGATACCTTACTCAAAAATCAGTTTATGTAGCCCTCTGGCTGGGAGCCTTCGTCTAGATCCCTGAGGATGCCCTGTGGAAGTGTGGGAGTGGCCAGTCAGCCAGTCAATAAAATAATATATATAAAAATATATATACATATGTATATAGTTTCGATCAACCTTTTAACCATCAAAGTCTAACCCTGTAAGCCAGTATATTACATGCAAGTCCTTAAACCTAATCAACAACCATATAAGTATAAGCACTTAAATTAGTATTGGTTTTTTTGCAGAACTATAAATGTGCCTTGGGGTTATCAGACCAACACCAAGGAAGGCAAGCTACTCAAGCACAAGTTTCTCTAAAAAATCGAGGCAATCGAGGGCGGGCATACCTTGAAGTACTTCACCGTCTTTACTCTCAGCTCCAAGGTGGCGTCCTCATCGCAGATCATCAGGGTATTGGCATGCTGCTGGAAGGCACTCACTGTCCACATATGATTCACACCCTCCTCAATGGCCTTGTACAGGGCGAACGCCTTGTGGGCTCCAGTAATGAGAATCATCACTTCCTTGGAGTCCATCACGGTGCCTACGCCCACGGTGAGCGCCTGCTTGGGCACCTTGCTCATATCGTTGTCAAAGAACCGGGCATTTGCCTCCAATGTATCTTGCGCCAGGGTCTTCACACGGGTCCTGGAGACCAATGAGGAACCGGGCTCGTTGAAGGCAATATGTCCGTCGGGTCCAATGCCGCCGATGAAGAGCTCCACGCCTCCAGCCTCCCGGATCTGATCCTCGAACTTATTGCACTCGGCCACCAAATCGGAGGCATTGCCATCCAAAATGTGCACGTTTTTGGGATCGATATCGATGTGCTTGAAGAAGTTGTGCCACATGAAGTAGTGATAGCTCTCGTGGTGATCCCTGGGCAGGCCTATGGGGTTTATAGAGGGATATATTAGTAGCTGATCTTTAAGTTTATTTTGATTGCATTCAAAGTAAAGGTTTCGGAATGGTATGCTTAGAATTGGATTAGATTACGAATATTTCTAGACAAATAAAATATTTCTAACAAATTTAAGCACTTAATTACGAAATAAGTTATAAATCAACTTAACCAACTTCGAAAATCTTCATTCTTGAATTTAAGAACCTTTATGAACCTCTCCTGAACTCACCCACATATTCATCCATGTTGAAGGTTTTCACATACTGAAAGGAGACTTTTCCCTGTTTGTAAAACTCAATCAGTTCTTTGTACATTCCCAGCGGAGTGGATCCCGTAGGCAGGCCCAAAACAAAGTATCTGAAAAACAGTTTGTTCTGTCAATAAGTCAAAAGAAAAGATAATAACAATAATACATACTTATCGGCGCTTGGCTTGAAGTCATTAATCCGTTTCATCACATATTTGGCGGCCCATTTGCCCACCGAATCGCTTGTCTCCAATATCACCAACCTCATGATTTAGCTGAAAGAATTAAATTTTAATTTAATAATTTTTAATGAGTTTATTTATTTAAGATTTAAGGGGAATAAAGCCAAACTTAAAATTTTATTACAACCGAAATGTAATATTTTTTTCTATAACAACATATTTATTTAATTTTAAAATATTATTAAACTAGCAGTTTCCCCATGTTTTCTCTAGTATATAACATTTTTCATAATATAAATAAGGCTTTACTAATTCAAAAATGAATAAAATATAATAAGGGAAAATGTATTTTCATTGTTTACAATACATTTACAATAATATTTATATATTAAAATCACGTACCAAAGTAAACAAAAACAAGTGATAAGGATTAATGCCTTTAATGACATAAATTTCAATACTATTATTATTATTTATAATTTTATTATTATCCTGATAAATATTAATCTACTATTTTCCACATTTTCTTTCTTTTCTTGTTTGTTTACAGTGTACTTATATCCGAAACTCTCATGCAGAAGCAGAAAATCAACAGCTGTGAGCTATTTTAGAACTGGAAAACAGACCACCTTATCACTCTAGAATATTGACTTGCCCAGCGTGTGGCAACACTGACCAGGATTTAGATTAGATGTTGATATTCGGCTGGGATAAGATACAGATACATATATAGCACTTCTCATTCAACTTTTGTGGGTTCTACTTATACAGTTACTATGTGTGTGTGTCTGCGTTTGTTTATTGTTGTACTCGAACGATAAGCCACTCATCGTATACTCCCCAATTATTAACAATTAACCCATTTATGGCGTTGTCCCCAAATGGAAAACACTCTCGTTCTCACTTGGCAACGCGATTTTTGTACTTGAATTCACGGCTAAAATTTGTTACTCACCTTCAACAAAGCACTGGAGAATGCAAGCTGCTGCTTATTTATTATTATTATTAATATGCGGTAGTGTTTCTTTCGCTCTGAGCTCCGAACTGTGACTGTTTAATCGTTCAATTCGACTGGCAATTTATGCGGCAACTCGAGTTCTGAGTTTGTTTTGCGGTTGTGGTTACGAATTCACTCTCTGGCCGCTGATAAAGAGCCTTTTTCGAACGCTCAGAATGCAGCAGAGGCGCAGCGAAAACCTTGAGATACTTTTTGTTATCACAAGGGTCGGGGTTTTACAGTCAGGGTTTCTGCATCGGTTGAATGAACTTCCCCCACTGCGTATGAGTGTTTTTTTTTTAAGAGTTGCCACCTCTGGAGCACAAAGTCAAAAAGCCGGTTTTTACTCTCAATTTTTTACGCTCAATTGTTATTTATCGAATTTCTCTGATATCGATAAACCACTCAAAGCAATTGGTTACAATCGAGTGCACAAACACATATACACTTGGAATTGGATATAAAATCTAAAAATAACTCAACGCGGCGAAGGAAAACGCAAAAGAAATTAGGAAAAAAAAGGGCCGAAAGTGAAATGAATACCCTGGAATGTCTGACATATTAAGGGTATATAGGATGGAGCATCAGGATGCTACGCTAATAGAACCAACACTTACACGATAATTGTAATTTCTTTAAACAATTAAAACGTCCTTCCAAGGTATAGGACTTGTAGTGTTTCTAGTATTACCCTGCTTTTCAATAAACATCTCGTGTTATTTTTATTAAACATGGTTTTCTTTATTTTTTATTATTATAAAATAGAAATTACATACTTAAAAAGTAGTTTCGATTCGTTTACAATCATCTTCTCTTGTGTACAAAGTAGTCTGTGTGGGCGCTGGATTTGTTTTTGGCCGGCGTAAAACGCGACCACGCCCACTCATAAAAATGCGACGGATCGCTGAGCGTTGCTGTTAATTATTGTTGTACATACTTTATGTTGTTGTTATTGTTTCTGTTGTAATGTTTGTAGAATGGCTGCAGGAAGCCCCAAACCGGTTTGACCCGGGAGAAAGCGGTAGGGGGATCGAGAATACCCTTATGGCCAAGGCTAAAAATTATATATTGCTGGCTTCTTGTCATTATGTTCTATATATAAATGTGTATAGGTATAATGTATATTGTATTTTATGCTGATTGTACAAAAAATACTTAAATAAATAAGTGTTTTGTCTGCAGGAGCTTCTTTCTCTGTTGTTTTTGTTGCTGATCTGGATCTAGTCTTCCTGTGTTGTTGGTTGGCCCTCTCGATGTTTGTGAAGTCATTGCCGGATCTAAAGCTTACAAAACTAATTTCTTATAGAAAGGGGAGTATGCGAAAGTCCATCGAAAATATTGTTTCTTTCTTGCAATATTTTCAAAGTTCTTAACGTCACAAAAAAATACATCAAAGTGAAAGAACGGAGGTGGAAACTTGTAAGTTCTATGTGGCATAGAAATGGGTCATCTATACCATATAAAGATTACAAAAGCTGGCTTACTGAGATAAACAATAAACGAGTAAAGAAATCGCGTCAGAAGTAAGAGTTAAAAACTACAATTTGTTGGAAAGGGTGAGGAGAACACTAGTGAAAGTTGACGAAACGGAAATTATCGCTTAGCTGCTTGGGCAGATCTATACAAATATTGGTTTTGATTAAATTACTGGCTGGGCGGCCACAAAAAATAACTTAGCTGATTACTACATATCTCTCTGTGTGCTTGTGGTGGTGTGTGTTTGTTTTGTTTTTCCTTCTCTCTTTAGGTTTTGCTTTTGTCTGGTTCCTGCAATTACATAATGGCGCACTTTTCGCCGGTCTGCCCTGCCGGATCGCCCTGCTGGTGGTAGAGCTGCTCGTTGCCATCCACGGCACTGATGCTGCGCCGGCGACTCAGACGGGAGGAGGAGGTGTGCGTGGACACCACTCTCTTGATGCGATCCAGATTGGCCACAGTCTCGCCATCGGCATTCAGCAGGATTGTCCTAGTGTTGTCAGCCGATATCCATTTCTGGGACTTCATCACGATGCTCGACGGCGGTTCGTGCGAGGCCTTTGTGTCGGCCGACCACACGGTCACCACGCCATTCGAATCGATCTTCACCGAGCGATGGAACTTGTAGGTGGTCGACGGACCACCCTCGTTGATCAGACGCTGCAACTGCCAGCCGCCGATGGCCACCTCTTCGGCTCCCTTGTTGTAGAGCTTCACGAACTTGCCCTCGGGATCGATCTCCTTGATCTCCACGTTGCCCTTGGCAGTGGCCGAGACGTAAAAGTCGGAGAAGCTGCGATCCTCGGTCTCATCAACAACGCCACGCTTGCGCTTCACGGCACCGGAGGGAGTGCGGCGCGAGGGCGTGGCACGGGTGCTGCCGCGTAGCGACTGGCTGAAAGACTGCACGGTGGCAGTGTTTGCCGGAGTGATGTTCAGGCGAGCCTCCTCACCGACCAGCAGCTTGTCGTAGGCCGCAATTTCCAAATCCAGAGAGACCTTGAGAGGGAAATGATTAATAGTACAAGACATGAAACCCCTTCAACCCCAAACTCACCTTGATGTCCATGAGGTCCTGGTACTCTTGCAGTTGCAGCGCCATCTCGTCACGCAGGCGAATGAGCTCCTTCTCGAGCAGGGCCACCTCCTGGCCATGGCGCTCGCGATCGTTGTCCAGCTGCTGCTCCAGCTCGCGTATGCGGGCATTAAGCATGGCGTTGGTCTGCTCCAAGTCGTTGATCTTGGCATTGAGACCATCAATGCGAACACGAGTGCTGCGGAGCTCCTCAATTGACTTGTGCGTGGTGTTGTTGGTGCGGGCAGCGGCCTCCTGCATGCGACGGATCTTGTCCTCATACAGACTCTCGATGTCATCGCGATTGATGCGCATCTGCTCCTCGTACTGGGCGCGCAGCTCCTGCAGCGACTGCTTCAGCTTGGCATCATACTCGGAGCTAAGGCGGCCATCGATCTCGCTGTACTCGGTTTGGCGGATGCGACGCGACTCGTTGATCTCCTGCGTATGGATCTGGTCCTTGAAGGACAGCTCTTCGCGCAGGCTCTGGATTGTGTTCTCCAGGTCAACGCGGGACAGCGTCTCCTGCTCCAGGTTCTTGCGTGTATCCTCAAACTGTTTGCGCAGCTTCTCCAGCTCCCTCAGAGCATCGTTCAGATCGTCGGTGGCCTTCTTCCTATCAGCGCACGCCTGGGTGTATTTGTTGCCCAGCTCACTGGCACGCGACTCGTACATGCGGGCATTGCCTAGAGGGGTGGGAAAATCAATCAATTTAATAATCCGGGCTTCGGTCTTAGGGTGGGTTGATCGGTTTGAGGGAAAATAAATCAGAGGAGCAGCAGCTCCTAAATTTCCAAACAAAAATAGGAATATTTCAGCCTCTCAACTTACCCTCGGCGGTGGTGCACTCCTTCGTCTTCTTGTCCAGCTTGGCCTTCAGCTCCTCGTTCTCCTCCCACAGACGCTTGATGTCGATCTCGGCGCGTGCCCTATCCCGGGCTGTGTCGTCCAGCAGGCGACGCGTCTCTTCCAGCTCGCCCTCGTAGATGTTCTTGATGTTGGTGGTCTCCCGAGTAACAGTGTCCCTGGTCGTCTGGACCTCGATGCTCAGCCGGGAGTTCTCCGTCTCCAAGTTGCGCACGCGGTCAATGTAGGTGGCCAGGCGGTCGTTCAGGTTCTGGAGCTCCACCTTCTCGGCGACGCGCGAGTGGCGCGTGGGGCTCAGCGGGCTGGAGGCCTGTTGCGACGACGACGGCGGCGGCGGTTGCTGGTGGTGCTGCTGGGGTCCCGCCGATGGCGCCCGCGGGGTCGAGGTACTGCCGGGCTGCGGCGTGGCGGTGCCAGCACGTCGGGATTTGCTCGACATTTTCAGGCTTTTGTGGGGGGGCAAAGAAATCAACAAATAACACGTGAGTTGCGGTGACCTCGATACACTGAAATATGTTATTTTTGCGCCACGAGCTGTGCGACCCGCCTGATAAAATTCCAAACAGAAACAGAAAATGAAACCGAAATGGAAAAAGTGGAAGCACACAAAACGCTCAAAAACAGAAGCAGCAACGAAACGAGTTTATGCTCGTTCTCTCTCGCACGCACACACACACACGCCGACGATTTCCACTCAAGCGACTGTACTAAAGCGGACGAAAAAAAGCGGTGGAGTGAGTGAGTTTGCGGCGTTTGTTTATGGGCGTGGGGCAAAAGGCGCGGCCTCAGCCTAATACTGACTGCAGCTAACGATTTAATCAATTACACCGGAAAGACCGAGAATATCTTCTGATAGGAGCCAGGAAATTCAACAATATGGCGGTTTTAATTCATCATTTGCGGCATTTTCCCGCAGCTGCAGGCGGGGGGTATTTCGAGTTTGAGTGAAATTGCCTGGCAGCTTTCCCGCGGCTTCCTACGGTTGTTTAGTGTTTTTTTTGCGCAAACCCTCAAAATCTACTATTAGCAGATACACTCACCTGTGTTTTGCAAACGATCGGAGGAGGCACAAAATGTAAAATCAAATATTTTGCTGCAAAAAACGCGGCAGACGCTGGAATTGAAATCGTTTTCTAGCGATAGTTAGAGGTGGAGCCTTGGTGTTTTTTTCCGACTATCGATTAGTATCGCATTCAGTCACGAAGGCTTAATTTAGTGTGACCAACCGCCTTTAAGGGGTAATCTCTCATTGGTGTAAAAAGATAAATGTGTATGCATTGCCATTTTTGCAATCACCGATTCGGTCACTCTGGTACTTTTTTTTGCTCTGTACGTCACGTTGGTGTATAAATTTTTGCTGAAATCGCGTTAAAAGTTTTATTACAAAGCGAATAACGTGTGCAAAAGGTAGGTTTATCCACTGGGCACTTATTTTCGTTGAAGGAAAAACTGTGTGAAAATAATATTTCGTGTTATCTCGAAATACATGTAAACCGGTGCGGTGAAAAAAAAAACAAGATGGCGGAGGGTACGCCGGCACCGGCTCCTCATTTTTTCTGCGCGCATTTTCTTTTTTACACATGTAAATGTAACTGCTTACTCACGCGACCCCATTTACTCCGCAGCTTTTACACTTTATTTATAGCCAGAGTCTTTAGGTAAGCCCAGCCAAACAGCACAGGAATGGCCGACAACGACGATCTTCTCGACTACGAGGATGAGGAGCAGACCGAGACCACGGCTGTGGAGACTCAGGAGGCACCCAAGAAGGACGTCAAGGGTACCTATGTATCCATTCACAGTTCCGGCTTCCGTGACTTCCTGCTCAAGCCGGAGATCCTCCGTGCTATTGTTGACTGCGGCTTCGAGCATCCCTCGGAGGGTGAGTACGCATGAGAATCACCGCAAGGTGATCGCAGGTACAGTCGCACAACTAACGCTGTGTCATTGCAGTTCAGCACGAATGCATTCCGCAGGCCGTCTTGGGCATGGACATCCTCTGTCAGGCCAAGTCCGGTATGGGCAAGACGGCTGTCTTCGTGCTGGCCACACTCCAGCAGCTGGAGCCGTCGGACAACAACACCTGCCATGTTCTGGTCATGTGCCACACCCGTGAGCTGGCCTTCCAGATCAGCAAGGAGTATGAGCGCTTCTCCAAGTACATGCCAACAGTTAAGGTAAGTCTTGTAGGATTATATAAAACTGTGTTAAACGTGGAAAATCGATCAACTAATAATCCTCTATCGTTCGTTTTTTTTTTTGCAGGTTGCCGTGTTCTTTGGCGGTCTTGCCATTCAAAAGGACGAGGAAACCCTCAAGAGCGGCACTCCGCACATTGTGGTGGGCACTCCCGGACGTATTCTAGCCCTGATTCGCAACAAAAAACTCAATCTGAAGCACTTGAAGCACTTTGTTCTTGACGAATGCGACAAGATGTTGGAGCAGCTGGGTAGGTTTCCCTATCCCCCCCTTACCCCTTTGAAAATTGGCTCTAATTTTGTAAATCTTTAATTTCAGATATGCGTCGTGACGTTCAAGAGATTTTCCGTAGCACACCTCACGGAAAGCAAGTGATGATGTTCTCTGCCACATTGAGCAAGGACATTCGTCCCGTTTGCAAAAAGTTTATGCAAGATGTAAATATCAACGTGTTTATAACCAAAATGCTCGTACTTCTCCACCTCGCATCCACCGCTATCACGACAATTAGTCATTATTTCCGATGTCGATTTACCGACCTTAATTTCCATGTTATAAGCCAACCACCATCTTACAAATGGTTAATCGTGTAAGCCCGAAAACGTCCCATAGCTCTGCGCGAGCTTAAACCGAAACGAAAACGCGTTAGTTGATGACTGCCTTACACCATTTTCTAAATGGTTAAACGCGTGAAAGACAAACCGTAGCGAAAGCATAAAATTCTTCTAACCGCTGAGCCAATCAATTGAAATCAAAATGATTTAACAAACCGCCGCAATGTTCCGGTACAAAATCAGAAAAATAAATCAACGAAAAGCTGAAACGACGTCGCCGACCTGGCAGAGGCAAAGCGAATCCTCATCTGTATCCGCACACTTGTTTGTTGATCCTCCTCGATCCTCGAGAGCAGTTCAGAGAGAGTCTAGTTGATGAGATGTGGTGGTAGCGTGGCCGTATGTAGAAAAATCTAAACATATTGTTGTATGTGCCGAGGCGAGCCTAGTCTTAGTTCGATTCCTTTCTTCCCCCCCTTTAAAATACGCCCCATTCTATTTTTGATATATCTAGCCCATGGAGGTCTACGTGGACGATGAGGCCAAGCTGACGCTGCACGGACTGCAGCAGCACTACGTTAATCTGAAGGAGAATGAGAAAAACAAGAAGCTCTTCGAACTGCTCGATGTGCTTGAGTTCAATCAGGTTAGTCTCACGGCTTACAAGGATCGAGTATGTTTACTATTATCATTCCCTTTCAGGTGGTAATCTTTGTCAAGTCGGTTCAACGCTGCACAGCCTTGGCCCAGCTGCTGACGGAACAGAATTTCCCTGCCATTGGCATCCATCGCGGCATGAATCAGGAGGAGCGTTTGAACCGCTATCAGCAGTTCAAGGACTTCCAGAAGCGCATTTTGGTGGCCACCAACCTCTTTGGTCGCGGCATGGACATTGAGCGCGTGAACATTGTCTTCAACTATGATATGCCCGAGGACTCGGACACCTACTTGCATCGCGTGGCCCGTGCTGGACGCTTCGGCACCAAGGGTTTGGCCATCACCTTTGTTTCGGACGAGAACGATGCCAAGATACTCAACGAAGTACAGGATCGATTCGATGTGAACATTAGCGAGCTGCCGGCTGAGATTGATCTGTCCACATACAGTAAGTTTAGAGTAGCGTGGATTTCTACAAATAGCTTCTAATTTCTTTTATTTTTTTTGTACTTTTCAGTTGAGGGACGCTAGAGGTCGGAGGTGCATGTTAGGAACCAGACAAGAATGCACTTCGAATAATACAAACCGCAAAAAATCTTTTTATAAACAACCCTACTTTATTACTAAATAAAAAAAACATTCAGACAATGTGTTGACGTACAAAAGTCGATGAATATGGTGTGCTACTAATATGGGAATGGATTTAGCAAGTAATATTTATATTTTATATTAGACCTATCCCAATAAATCTAAAACAAACAAATTTCTTAAAAATCTAAGAAACCTACTTGAGGAATTCTGAGGGTTTTCCCTGCTGTTTCCGTAATCCGGAACTTCCCTTGGATAGTTTAGTGTGTCCGTTTCAGGACATGCGCAATGGCTCGGAGCTTCCGGCAGCTGCATTGTAACGGATGAAGGAGATGGGGTTGCCCCGAAAGGAGGTGGAAAAACAGGAGGCGAAAAAAACAATGTAAGAAAATGCACACGTGCGAAAATGCTGCTCAAAAAATATGTGAAAACGCGACGTAAGGTCAAGATTCTGCTCCTGTTTGCCATCATCGGCTTGCTGGTCATCACCATCATAGTGCTTGGCTCCACTGGACGCAATGCGGCCATCGAATTGCTGCTGGACGAGCGATTCATTGCCCGTGCCTACAGGCCCGGTGGGGGGGAACAGACGCCGGAGAAGCCAGCAGTGGTGGCGGCGGCCGTGTCCCTACTTCAGCCGCAAAGGGACCGCGGAGGAGTGATTGTGCCCGAGAAGTATGATGAGCAGAAGATCAAGGCGCGCATCATCCAGAGCAAGATGGATCTGATGAAGCAGCAGCAGCAAAGGGACCATGAGGCAGAGCAAGCGGTAGTAAAAACTGGGAAACTTCTAATTTATATAGTATAAATTATCAACATATTATCTCTCTCTCCCTTAGTCAAGGACCACCTTGGATGTGGTGACCACAGCTGTGCACATTTTCTACACTGCCCCCGTGCCCTGGTACAAGTCCAAGAAGCCACCTCCGCCGCCTGCCGAGCACCCGAACGATGTGCCCCTTACCACGCCGCGACCAGTCAGAATCCTCAACACAGCCTTCTATCCAGCTCTGGGTCTGTACAAGCCCAGTAACTCCCTGCTGGCCCAGCACTTTGAGAACATACGAAGCTGTGGCGTGGGAGTGCTCATCCTTAGCTTCACAGGCGGCAAGGCAACTGAGGCGGCGCTAATACATCAGATACTGGAACTGGCGCCGCAGCACAATCTCAGCGTGACCTTCGAACTGAGTGCTGCAGGCAACCAGAGCGTGGAGTTTGTGCGTCAACAGCTGCAGGAGATTGCCTCGTATGCTAGTCTTCCCGGCTTCTACAGGGTGTGGAGTCAGTCGAGAGGTGTCGCCCTGCCAGTGCTCTATGTGAGCAATGCCTACAAATTGAGTGATAGCCTGGGCAGGCTGCTGTGCCGAACGCCTTCGCTGGTGGAGCCAGACGGATTGCGAAGGATTCTGGATGCCTTCTTCATTGGACACATAAGGTAGGACATGAGGATTGCTCTAGGATATAGTATAGTAAATATAACAAGAATGAAAGCTAACTTTGACCAGCCAAAGTTTGTATACCCTTGCAGGTAACAATTAAAATATATCATAACTAAGCCAAAAATGCATTAATTTCGGAAAGCAGTTTTGTGTTAGTTTTTATTAATTTAAAAAAACTGCATACCAAATTTAAAATTTTAAGAAATCAAAATTTTTGGCCATTTTTGCTAATTTTAATGATGTAACCCCTTATAAAATTTTGCAAAAATGGCCAAAAAAATCGATTTCTTCCGGACATGTCTAGAAAGATTCGCATTTTAATGCTGATCAAGAATATATATGGTTTATGGGGTCGGAAACGATTCCTTGACTTAGAAAAATATTATTTTGTATTATAAAATCGGATTTTTTATATTAAAAAACTTCTTAATTTTTTTAAAATTAAAAATATCATAACTCGGCCAAAAGAGCATTAATTTTAAATCGGAAAACTGTTCTGTGCAAGATTTTCTATAGTTAATAAATCTGCAAACTTTATTTAAAAATTTTGAAAATTCAATTTTTTATCAGAATCAAACATTTTAATGATGTAACCCCTTATAAAATTTTGCAAAAATGGCCAAAAAATCGATTTCTTCCGGACATGTCTAGAAAGATTTCCCTGTTGATGCTGATCAAGAATATACCCTTTATAGGGTCGGAAACGTCTCCTTCACTGCGCTGCAAACTTCTGACTGAAATTATAATACCCTGCAAGGGTATAAAAATATAATACAAACAAAAGGGCTTTTTTTTACTTACTTATAATGATTAAGATCCCTAATATTGTTATATATTATTAGACTCAAGAGTCATGCAGATGTCCTGCGTCGGTTGTGTTTCGATGGCTTCTACAGTAAGCTGCCCAGCAATGGCGCTGTCTTTGCCAGCACCTGGAAGAACTGGTCTTATCTGAAGTCGTTTGCTTTATCCTACAAGATGCTATTTGTGCCGACAGTGGGTCCAGGATTTGCGGAGAGAAACAAGTTTCCGCGACATGGCGACATACAGAGGCATCGCAGCAATGGAAGGGTAAGTTAATGCATCTCCCTATCGGTTGCTTAAGCTCCTAGATACTAACGTAATCTTCTATCACTATAGTACTATGGAGTAGCTTGGCGAACGGCCATCCTGAACCATGTGGGCTTCATAAACATTGCCAGCTACAACAACTGGCCCGATGGCAGTCAAATCGAGGAGGTTATGCCGCGTGCCGGTTTCCTGGACTATAATCCCGGCTCCCGAACCAAGTATCTCGATCTCACGGCCCACTGGGTGGGTAATTTTCTGAAGACGCGCCAGGAGGCGGCGGCAGCCGCTGCACCGGCCTCGCCCCAGAACTGCTACGAGCTGCTGAATGGGACTATATGCTAGGCGGCGGAACTTCCAAAAAACGGAGAAAATAATCCTAGTTACTTTAGAGAAGCAATAGCAACAATTGCAGGCCACATACACAATTACTTTCTACGGTTAACGAGAGTCTTCTGCTACACATATATATACACTACCTATATATTATATAGACGCATATATATATATCGTTTTTTGATAGTGATATTTTATAAAAATTCCGAATAATTCGAAAAATCAAGGGAATGATTTTGATAATCATCATAGCGTCGGGGTTTCTTTGCAGAAAATTCAAAAAAGTGTTGGAAGAAAGTAACGAGCTTTTCAATTTCCTGCCAAAAAACCCCCGACGAAATCTAAAATAAAAACGCAAAGAAAGCAATTAAAATTGATATCAATTAAATGAGTAATTCTAGAGCCAGACGTACTTTTTTTTATTAAATCTATAATACTACTTAGCTTTCAATTATTGTAGGACATATAGAGGAGAACAATATATCATAACTTAATGCCATGCCATATTATGTAGACACCAAAGGAAATTATCGTATGTTATAACGGATATAAACTAAACTTAAACTTAAACTTACACACTTGTTGAACGATTGGTACTTGAACAAATTTTAACTTTATTACCATGAATAATATATGAATGAATCATTTATCTAAGCTTTAATAGTTTAGTGCCAAAAAACATGGCAAAAAGTTGTTTTATTACTTGGGAAATAACCCAACACTTGTTTGCTTGATTGCTTGACAACTCCCCAACTCTGCTTGATTTTGACAGACTGTCAAAGAGAATCAAAAAGCTATCAGGACGTGAACTGTACAAGAATTTTTTATTAAAGAAAAAGCATCCTAGAGACATGTCTCAAACCCCGAAGAGAGCCTCTGCCAAGGGCAAGGGCCGCGCCCAACCGACAGCCAAAGGATGCTGCTGCAAGCGTTCGCAGTGCATCAAAAACTACTGCGATTGCTATCAGTCTATGATGGTTTGCACACAGTTCTGTCGCTGCGTCGGTGAGTTAAATATCCATATCTCCTAAGCTCCATTTAGAATCCCATGACTCTCTCTTAACCAGGCTGCCGGAACACCGAGGAGCGAATGGCCGTGGAGCCGCGCACCCCGTCCAGGAACTCCAATGCCGTGAAGAGGGATCGAGCGGCTGCCATGAGTGCCAAGGCAGCGGCAGCGGCTGCCAAGGAGGGCATCAATATACCAGTGCCGCCGGCTTCCAGCAATTCCATACCCATTACCATTATGCCGGCCCAGCAACCGGCGGCCATTGCACCTATAAATATAATTCGCATGGCTCCGGATGCCTTCAATGTGGTACTTCAACAGGTGTCACCCCAGTTACCCATAATAGGGATGAAAACCATTGAGGTTCCAGCTGCTCCGGATATTGCCAAGGATCTGCCGGTTGCTGAAGTGAAACCAACGGTAATCGAGCCGCCGAACACAAATTTCTATGAAACCCACAACCTCTTTGATCCGCAAATCAATGCTGCACACCTGGTATGCTCCCTCATTCAGGGTTCTGATGCCGAGCAGCTGGGTTTAGAACATGACCAGGTGGGCCGTCTGACCATCATAGAATTTGAGAACTGCTACAAGGAGATCTCTCAAAAAATGTATAAATTGTAATTTTAGAAAAGTCATTTTAGTGAATCGAAAGAATAAAGATATTTACAAAGATAAACTAAGACTTAAATCAGCTTTATTTACAAAACTTCTTAAATAACTCGGTTGAGGAGGCTACCAATCGGGCGGCTGGAAGATCAGCTCCGTAACAAGCATATCGCAGCTGGTTGTCCTTTGTCGTAAACGCGTTCCCGCTGCTGGTGTGGCTTTGTGCCGATCCAGCGGCATCTCATTGTCACTATCACCCTCTTCTGCGGTCTCCTCTTCGTGCTCGTCCTCGTCGCTGTCAGTCAAGCGTCGTCGCTTCTTTTTACCCTCTTTTGGACCCTTTCCAGATCGGTATTTCTGCCAAAAGTGTGCCGGCTGGGCAAAGTCTATGTAATGGGGAAATCTCATGGCCAAAGCCCGGCAAAAATTGTCAAAGGAATGCTTTAGGTCTTTGTTCATTTTGGATTTAAGGTTACGATGGGTTTCTTCTACATAGCGTAGGCAACGTTCCAATTGTTTGAGCTGCAAGCAAAGAGAGAATTGTATGCTTAAATTGTTCCCCAAATTTCCCTCCCTAAAAGAATTTCTTATAAAAACTTACTGGTTCCTCCGAGGAGTCAGTCTTTCTTGCTCTGCCCCTGCCGGGTGCTTTCCCTGTTGAAGTACTTGGTGCTGGCTCGGCTGATGGAGCTGGCGGCGCCTCCACAGGCTCATCCTCTCCATCCTCGTCGCCCTCACCTCGGGTACTCTTCTCTTTGCCTTTGCTTTTGGTGCGAAAGCAAATGCGACGCATAATGAAGAGCATATCCTGGACCACGGCCATGGCGCCAGGAGTGTTGACAAAGGCTTCGTCTTTGGTTTTCTCTGGAAAATCAAATTCAGTTAAATGAAAATACAAATTTAGAAAATTAAAATAGACGCACCTGCCAACAGCTTTAATTGTCCAAAGTAAAGCAGGAGCGTGTTCTCCTCCAACGAGGACATGATGTGATTATATAGCAATCTACGATTCCTTGTCATTTCCTCACCCATTAGCGGTGATCTGTAGTTACCATCCGTTTTCACGCCCCTCAAGCAAGCCAGCCCATTCAAGTCAAAGGGACACTCCCTGAGGCAATGCTCAAACAACTGCTTCTGGTACAGTCTCCTGTAGCGAATGAAAAAAGCATCTGCCTCGCGGGCCACCTCGGCACTCTCGTCCACCAGAGATGCCAGCATGGATACGAGTATAGGGCCCTTTAACTTGATGTTTCCCGACAGGATAATGTCTTTCACACATCGGAAAGTGCGGACTCGGGTCATGGCGAACTTGGAATGTAGTTTGGCCAAAATGCACTTGAAGTTGCTCTCCAAAATCGAAGGGTGCTTCTTGCCCAGATCGTTCAAGACCACCAGGGTGGTATTGATTATCTGCGGCCTGTCGTTCTTGTTTAGGATAAGCCGGTAAAGCTTCGATACCCTGTTGGCCAGGTGACTGTCCCGCAGACTCAGGCGTCCAGATATCACTATCATCCAGTTGGTCATCCGCTCATTCTCCGTATCAAATTGAGATTCACTCAGCTTGGTGCACTCCTGCAGGTACTTGAAAACGAAATCCACAATCCTATTGTCTGCATCAAAGGGCAGCATCACTATGATCTCTGTGTAGGCACCCAACAGACACTGTAGACGTACATGCTCATCCTGAAAGTTCTCGACGCTCGACTGTATGCCCTCGGTTAGATCCTCCAGCAATTTGAGCTGCCAATCCGGGGCTTCGGCATCCAGCGAGGGAGCTTGGCTAAGGGACAGATGATGAATCTGATTTAACAGATTCACGGCCGTGGAGATGAGAGACAACCAAATGTTACCCGTACTGAGGGCTGTCAGAAGACGCTGGAAGAGCTGATTCAACGCCGGTTTCGAGAAGTTCCCCAGACAGCTGATGATAAGCTGGAGAGCGAGCGACTGATTCGACTGCATGTTGTACGAGGAGAGACCATTGAAGATGCCAATCAGAGCATCCATATTGTTGGTGATACGGCTGGACAGGAGGAGTAGCAGTCCCCAGGCATCGGTGGCCATGGAAGTGGACAGATGCGAGATAACAATGTTCACCAGCTTGGGTCTGAGAAATTGGAATTAGAAGTCAAAATCTCAAAAAAAAGACACCTTAACTCTCTTTAACAAGTGCAATGCTTACGTGACAAAGGTCTCCCTCTCCAGCAGAATGGCGAATCTTTCCTGCAGGTAAGCTCTGGGCTGCGTCACTAGCAGGGTACTGATTATGCGCCAGGGCATAAAGTGCTTGGCTTCATTTGAATACTCCAAGGGTTGAATGTTTTTCAGGACTATTCGATCGAAACTCTATGAGGATTGGTTTAATAACCAGGATAAATAATGAGGAAAGTAAAGCTAAAAGAAAAAAATCTCTCACCTGAACGGCCAGCTTTTGCAAGGCCACATCCTCGTCGCTCATGAGGCACGCCCAGATCCGGCAGTAAACGCAAATCAAGGCAAAACAATTGGAAAAGGCCTCCAGCAGGGTTTCAACCATATCCAAAGCCGACTTCCTCACCGAAGACAGTCGATCTACAGCCAGCAAGGAGACTTCCTTCACAAAATTAGTGTTGTATATAATCAGGGGATTGATGAGCACCAATCTCTCCAGCAGAGCAATGCCAGCGGTTCGGGCCAGACCATTATCCGCGGCCAAGAATCTCTGATAAACCAGTTGTGGGATCTTCTTGATCTCCACTTCGATTTCCTCATGCCCCTCAAAACTAAAGGCGTATTGTACTATTCCTGGCTTCTCGAAACGCAGCTCATGCTGCTCCACCGATGGCTCCGTCAGGGCCTCCACATCCGCATCCTCGAACTGGACAAATCGAATGCTTTCATCCAGAATTTTCGTGGTCATGGGAGAGCCCTGTTTAAGCGCCAGAATTAGCACTTGAGACGCCTTCTTGCGCACCGTAAACGTCCTGTCGTTGAGGCAGCGGATGACTTCTGTGAGGAGTGGCACTTCCCTTGGCACCTTGGATACATCGTGCCGGAAAATGCTCCACTGCACCTCGCTCGGTTGCAGCAGAATCCTTTCGATTAGATCCAAGGCACGCGTTTGAATACCCACAGAATCGTCGGCTTTGACAGCTTCCAGGACGTAATCCGCACAGGATTTATTACACTTGGCGAAGAGCACACGATCGTATTTTGCCGCATAGCCAATGGCGACCTTCTCGTCGTTGCCCTTCCACTGCAAGAAAGTTGGATGGAAGGTTTGTGAACATTTCTAGATTAATTTCTGGTTGATTTTACCGCCTTGATGGGATTAGAGACCACACACTCGATGTAGAAATGCAGGATTCGGGTCAGGATTTCAGGGTACTTCTCGATCAGCTGGATAAACCAATCCGAGATGTGTTCTCCGCTCTGCATGGCGCCTCCGCGACGTCCGGCACCGACGCTCTTGGGGCTGTCTGTGTAGACGTGCATGGGAAAGGTCTGGCGCATGATCAGCGTGAGGGTCTCATAGACATCACCATTATGTTCGTTGGCTATTTCCCCAAAAAGCTCAAAGCATTTGGTATGCAGGGCGGGGGCACCTGAAGGAGGGATTTTAAAATGTTTAAATATATAAATTTTCTTTACTATTATACTATTTAATAGTAATTTAATTTTAATTAATTTAATTAAGCTTAAAAATACGTTACAAAAAAAGGTTAAAAAAAAATTAAAAATCCGTGTTACCAGCCCATAAAAAAAGGACTTCGACAACCCTGTCTTTTGATCAGAGCTGGTCACACTCGAACGAACGGCAAGCGAAAATAATTAAATAATTGTGTAAATCAAACTAAAACTATTGTCCATAGCAGCCCGCGCACATGTTGAGCTTTCTGAGGATTCAAGGCGCTGTGGCGTCGGCGGGACAGCTCCGCATCCTGGCCACCAAAACCGCCAGCAATGTGACATCCAGCCGCCGCTGTGAGTCCACCAAGTCGCCGGCTACAGAGCACTTTGATATAATCATTGGCGGCGGTGGACTTGTGGGAACCACTCTGGCCGCCGCCCTGGCCAGGAATGCCACTTTGGCCGACAAGCGGGTGCTGCTGCTGGAGGGAGCTCCTGAGTTCAAAGGATTTGATCCAGCAGGCGCCTACCAGAATCGCGTATCCGCCATCAACAGCAACTCCATCGAGCTGTTCAAGTCCATAGATGCCTGGCCGCACATCGAGGGAGCCCGGTATAAGCCCGTCAAGCAGATGCAGGTGTGGGAGTCCAACACGGAGGCTTTGATACAGTTCCAGCACGACAACTTTGCCAGCGATGTGGCCTGCATCATTGAGAACGATCTCATCCTGGATGCGGTCTATGCGCGCGTTAAGGAGGCTACCAATGTGGAGATCCTGAACAAGGCCAGGATTCAAAGCGTACGCCTGCCCAAGGACAACAGTGCTGCTCTCTCCGAGCTTCAGCTGCAGGACGGACGGAGCTTCTCTTGCGATCTGCTCATCGGAGCGGATGGCGCCAATTCTGTGGTCCGCAAGGAAATGAACGTGGATGTTTTCTCACTGAACTACAACAGAATGGGGCTGGTGGCCACCCTGGAGCTGGGCGAAGACGCCTGCGACAACTCGGTGGCTTGGCAGAGATTCCTGCCCAACGGACCGGTGGCTCTGCTGCCCCTAACCGATCGTCTAAGCTCTCTGGTCTGGAGCACTACGAATGAGCAGGCCAAGAAGTTGCAATCCCTGCCAGCTGATGAATTCGTAGATGCCCTCAACGAAGCCTTCTGCCGGCAGTATCCGCGCGTGGAGCTGGCCGACAAGGCTGTGCAGGCTTTGAACTCCCTGTTCGGCCACAATTCCAGCCAGCACCAAGTGCAGTATCCTCCGAGAGTTATTGGCGTTCAAGACAAATCGCGTGCCACCTTTCCGCTGGGCTTCCTTCATGCCTCCTCCTACGTTTGCAGTGGAGCAGCTCTCGTAGGAGATGCCGCCCATCGAGTGCATCCTTTGGCTGGACAAGGCGTAAATTTGGGATTCAGTGATGTGCGGATTTTGGTGGAATCCCTGGCAGCAGGAGCATATGCAGGATTCAAGCTGGGCGACAAGCAACATCTCATCAAGTACGAACGCAAGTGCCTGGCCAAGAATGTGCCCATCATGCTGGGTGTTCATGGTCTACATACGATCTACTCCACGCAGTTCAGTCCGGTGGTTATGCTCAGGAGTCTGGGTCTGCAACTGACGCAGAATCTGCCGCCCATCAAGAACATGTTCATGCGGGGAGCAATGGGTCAGTAGTGGTTGAACAATGGGGAAATTAAAGCTTAAGTGTTTACAGTTTTCAGAGGAATAAAGTGATTTTATATCGAGGGTTTAAAACCTACTTAATTGGCTATGTCAATGGTATTTATACTAGTTTTAGTCCTTAAGATAAGGTTGGCATTTGGGTTCAAAGGTTATGCAACTTGGATGTTGATTTCAAATGAGTTAATGAAACAGGAACCATGTACATTTACTTTTGACACAGATGAAATTCGTTGTATTATTGCTTTGGATCGAAGTCTGAAAACAAAACCTAAATGAGTTTTTTTCTCACAATAAATCCCTCTGGAATTCGTTTTTTTGTAAAACTTTAAACTCTTCAAGAATTCGTTTTTTGTTAAAATTTTAAACTCTGCTTTTTAGGAACCTTTTACAATATAAAATCTTGAAAAACATTGCACAAAATATTTACCCAAAAAGAACTTAAACTTAAATCTAATTAAATTTAAATCTAATTTAACATTTGTTATTTTGTTTGGTGGCTTTGGGTTTTTTTTTTGGATTTAAGGCACTTTGTGGTATTTGGCAAAATATTACCCCTAGTATGGCATGGAATTTAGAGCTCCTGATGGCTCTTGGTCAGACTTTCGCCTAGCTTCGGTTGCTGCTGATCCACGACGCCTTCCGGCTCCACCTCATTCTGGGCGAAAACCTGCTCGCGATCGCTCTTCAGCCTAGCTTCTCCCTCATCACTCTCCGCCACATTGATTTGCTCCGAGTCTTCGGTGTCGGAAATGTAACCAGAATCCCCTGTATAGTGGATGGGATAAAGCAGAAGAGGAGCAGCACTGAGCGCCACGAGATTCCGTTTGGGAAAGGCCTCCTTCCAGGTTTCGTTGGGATGACGATTAAACATCAGTGGCAGGAACTCGTCGACGGGTATGAGTTTTTCCAGCGGCTTGGCTGCCAGCAGCTTGAGGGCACCCTCCAGAGACAGAACATAGCCCAATGTCCAGTAGGAGTAGCCGGCATGGACGAGGCTATCGGCATCCGTGACCCACGGTTCGCTCTCCTCCTTCAAGCGCTTGCGGCCAAAGTAAATGAGATCGTACTGACCCACGCTTCTGGCCTGATTCACAACCCGGACGGCATTGTGGCGGAAGTACGGCTCAAAGCGTATATCATCCTCCAGGATGAGCACCTCCTTCAAGTCCTTCCGCACCATAGTCACCCAGATGCTGTAGTGGCTGAGGAAGCAGCCAATCTCACCCATAGTCATGGCCCGATGGTGATAGGGATCCTCGTAGCCGGGCAGAAAGCCTACACCCATCTCCTGCAGTCGCTCCTCGGTTAGTTCCTTGCCATCCACAGCCTCAAAGTACTCGGCCTCGATGCCCAGCTCCTCAAAGAGCCGCTCCATCTTCTCACGCCGCTCGGGACGTCTCTTGAGGTTGATCATAAAGATGCGATCCAAAGAGAGCTTTGATTTCTCTGGTTTTTTTACCAGCTCCCTGAAGTAGTCAAGCTCGGGGGGCACAGCGCCCAGATCGGTGACCATGAGGCTTCTGATATTCACCAGCTGCTGGATATCATTATCCAAGGTATCGCCCGGCTCCAGGGGTTGCAGGATATAGCCAAAGTTTATGTCGTTGCAGATGTGTAGGGGAATCCCCGAACTATTGGCGGATATGGCAAACACTATAATGTCATCCGCTGGTCCCTCGTATAGTGGCTCCTGTCCCCTGCTCCGTTGCATCTCCAGCAGCTTGTGCCTGTCGAATGTGAGGTTTCTCGTTCCCCTATAGTTCATGTCCACCATAACAGCAGTGTGCACCATGGGCACTGGAAAGCTGCCCAGTTTCTTCGAGTGATATATCTCCTTGTACTCATCGGTGCGCTTGTAGTAGTACTCCTCCGTCATGCCGCACCAGAAATTCGAGTACAAGCTCTCCGAGAGCAGCATGGGTGCCACAATGGGTAGACGGAGACGGGTTAGCGTTTTCAAAGCCTCCTTGGAGGTGAGAAAGACATCGGCATCGAGGAAAAACACAAAGTCAGCCCAAATATCGCGAGCATAACCGAAAGCCTCCTCTTTCAGGGAGATCAACTGCTTGAAACGCGATGCCGGCCACTCGTATGGGGAGCTCTCGTTGATATAACTCAGCTCGTCCGGCTCCAAAGCGTAATTAACACCGTGATAGAGCTCACCCGTGTGCTCCAGCCACTGCTGCAGCACATCTATGCTGTCGTCATTGCTATGATCGCAGCGCAACCTGAGATGTGGCGGAATTTTAATGCTTAACTCACTGTTTGGCGTAAGCTTGAACCTTACCAAAAGGCAATCCTGTGCTTCGGGTAATCCTGCTGCTCCAGATAGCTCAGGAACATGGGCAGCGTGTGGGCCTTGTTGCGCACTAGCAAAGCTATTAGTATGGTTGGCAGCTCCCTATTATCCTCCTCGGTCTCCTCCACCGATCCCCAAATGCAAACAAAGGCGCTCGCCAGGAGCAGGCCTAAAAACACTTGTCGCTTGTTCATCGCGTCCACGTCATTTGGTTCAGTACATGGCGGGTTAAGGGGGTCAAAAATCACTATCGGAGGCAGCGGAAGCGTCCGCCCAGCGCACTAGATGCCGGAGAATCAGCGTTATCTATTAATAAATTTGGTTCTCCTTCCAGCTCCAGATGCTGAATGCAGAGCCTCTCAAACTGCAACAGCTGTTGTGGCTCTCAAATGTTGCGCGGCATTGGGAGTTATCGATTTATTTTGGTTTGAACTTGTTTATCGAATTGTTTATTTAAGAAATATGATTTTTGTTTGTTTTTAATTAGATTAGTTCTCTCAAATTTGTATTTAAAGCATTTTGCCTTTTCTTTTTAAAGCTGCACAGATATTAAAATCTGGGAAATATTTAATTTATGCATTAAAATCCTTGAGAAACGTACAATATATATAACAAAACATTTATTGCTTCAAAAAAATGATCTCCAAGAACATCTATTCCTACGCCGTGGCTGCATGCGGTTTCGCATAGCTTGGGAAGTTCAATTGCAGGCCTTCCTTGGCCTCAAAGAACGTATAGGACAGGGTGATAGTGTCACAAAACTCCAGCGCCGGATCTGCAGTGATTTCCGGATCAATGTAGAAAAACACGGGCATATCCACCTCCTCGTGGGGGTTAAGTTGCTGCTCCTCGAAGCAAAAGCATTGGATCTTGTTGAAATAGGCACCCGCCTCAAAAGGAATCACATTGTAGGTGCTGATGCCAATTACGGGCTTGTCCGTGGGATTCCGGGCCGTATAAAAGGCCAGCGCTGTTTCTCCTGGTGCCACCTTAATCTCGTACTGTTGGGGCTTGAAGTTCCAGCGCATGGAGGAACCGATGTCGGCGTTGAAGCGGATTTTCAGCACCCGATCCTCCACCTTTGCCATGTGCTCCACCTTCTCGGCGTCATGGCCTTGGGAAGTGGTACCGCCGTAGCTATATGCCTGGCAAAAGATACTATAGAGAGGCACGGCTGCATAGCTTAGTCCAACGATGAGCACTCCGCCGGCTGTTATATAGTATAGTGTGGATTTGGATCGCAGTTTCCGGGCAGCTTCCTCGGGCGAATTTGTGGATTTCATGCGCCAAAATTGTGCAGACTTTTGTACGTTGCTTTGGTGCGGGATGGAGCTCCGGAACAGCTGCTGGCACTGCCCCCGAAGGGCGGAGAGGCTGCGTAGCATCGTCAGCTATTTGTTTATAATATTTACGCACTAACTTTTAGAGATTTTCATTGACTTTCAACTTGTTTGTGTAATCTTGCAAAAGGCGTTTGGTGTGTTTCAGTGTGTACACACCAGGCGGCATCAGCTGTTCGGCAAAAATAAACCGAAAAACTATCGAGTGCTTTATATTCGATTTCCGCAATATTTTTAAAAATAAATGTCTTGAATTAAAACTAAAATAACTCCCTAAATATTTAACCTTTTAATAATAATAATTAGGCAGAAAGTGGTACTCACAGGAATTCTGATAGCCGTGCTTAAAGTTCATGTAGAGAATCTCCATAAGGCAGCGGATGATCCTGTCGCGCGGCTTCAGGTGCTCCTTGAAGTGGACATAGCGAAAGACCAGCTTCAGATCATCGCAGATGGTCAGGAAAAACACCCAGATAGTGTTGGCCCTAACACTCCGGTCGGCATTCTGCTCCAACAGCTTAAAGATCTTGAGAACATGCTCGATCACATCCTCGTCGAAGACGCCATAGCTCTTGGCCCCCGGAATGGTTAGTGTGAGAAGATAGGCGCTCACAGCATTCAGGGCCAGCTGCACATTGATGTATTCGTTGAGCTTCCCCGGTGCCGCCTGCTGCACATGCTCCGGCGCAGTGACCAGGCTGACCAGGGAGTAGATGTACGAGAGATATGCATTTGCTGGCGACACACCGATGATGTTGGCCCAGTTGTCGTGGGTGTTGCTGTAGCTGGCCTGGCTATCGTTCCGCATGGAGCGTATGACTCCCGACAAATCGCGAAGTAACTGTAATTGTGCCTCCTGCTGGGAGAGATTTTGCTTGCACATGTCGAGCGCCCAGAACTTGTGCGCCCGCTGCTTCATCACATCCTCGTCAGCCTCCTCGCCGTACAGCCACTCCTCAACGTCCACCCACTGCAGTTGCGGCACATAGTTCACTTTTAAATCACTAAAAATGCTATTTAACTCGGACATGTTTACATTTTTGGCGCATATCCCCGATAGCCACCAATCAGCTGTGGAACAATCGATAAACGATATATGGAAAAGAGCAGAAGAGCGGTTAGTTTTCAAAATTGGTACAAAATCAGGGCTGATATATTAATGCATTTACTTGGCTTATTATTATGCAATTTAGTTGTTTTTTCGTGGTTACATACGCGAACTTAGTTTCTAATTTCGCTGACAGCTAGAAATCCAGCGAGACCGTGGCATTGGAATTGCTGCTCAGGAGGCGGCCGGCACTGCAGTTATCCGGCTTGGGCGACTCCTGCAGCTCCGGCGGCAGGTGGAACTTCTCAATGATGAACTTCTTGCGCCGCAACTTGAAGGCCAGATCCGTGGTGTCCGGCATGTGGACGGCCAGCGTGTTCAGCGCCGACATCTTGTGCAAATGGAGCAGTCCACTGTACTCCTTGAAGGCCGGGTGCGTCTCCCGCTCGGAACCAGCGAAAGACTCCAGCTCGATGGCATAGTCTACCAGCTGACGGATCTTGGGCACCAGGCTGGCATCGTACTTGGCAATCAGGTGCATCGGCATGGTGATCAGACACACCGAGTTGCAGTTCCGCACGCTGGCCATCAGCAGGGTGAGGAACTTGATTAGGTCCTCGCCAAAGTTCTCATCGTACCACAGGGGCGAGCCCACCGAGGTGAGGCATACGCGGCACAGGTTCTTCTTGGTACCGGCCACAAAGCTCTCGTCGCGCAGCAGCTGCTGGATGTCGTTCAGCAGGCCACCGTATCTTGGATTGTGGAAAACCTGCGGCGGCTCCTGCTGGCTGCCATCCGTCTTTGTGCTGGTGGTGTTGGTAGCGACGCTGCTGGTGTTGTTATTGTTAATGTTATTGTTGTTGTTGGCGGCGATCCCCTCCTCCTGGGCTGAGGCCTTCTCCTCGGTAGCGGCGCCGGTTTCTTCTGCGGCGAGGGTGGGAATGGGTGGGGCATCCTCTGTGGGCTGCTGCTCCAGTGACGGGGAGCTGCTCTTGGAGAACTCCTCGGCAATGACAATGTCCGGCTCCTTGTGGCTGTCGTCCCACATGGTGGTGTTGGCATAGTACAGCATCATCGAGTCCATCTGCTCCATCAGGTTGAAGTGGTGCCCGATCTTGGCAGTGGCATGCTCGGAATTCACCAGCGGCAGATCGTTGTAGCGCCAGGCAATTCGCAATCCATTTTCGGCACCTCCACTGCCTGCCTGTTCCTCGCGCTGCTCCACCTCAGTCTCCAGATCGGTCAGCGGACGCGGCAGGCGGCGCAGCATCTCCGCCGGGATGTCATCGAGGCTGCCCAGAAAGATCTCATGCTTGGAGAGCACGCCCTCGGCCAGAAAGTACTTGGCCAGCACCTTGGCGTGGGTCATGAAGCGGTCCTCCTCGACCAGGCAGATGGAGCCCATGGGCAGGCCGCCGCCAATGACCACGTCCAAGTAGGGATTGCCACTGGAGGTGATCACCTGTGCCGTGTGCGGGGAGGTGCGGGTGCCGCGGATTGGCTTCTGCACGGTGCGCTTGCGGAAACTAGTCATGTTGGTCGCCGCCGATGTCGGTATCGCTCTTCTGGCTCTCGGCTAGTCTCCCTGAATTGGCTAACCTTATTTTCTCGGCGCTTTTCCCTTCGTCTTCTCAGTGTTTCCCTTTTTTCTGCGCTAGAACGCGTAAACTTCTATTTCCGACACACACTCGGTATCGATACCGATACCCCGCTCTCACAGCTGTTTATTTGCAAACGTGGGGGATTAGTGGTGGGGAAAAAGCTTAGTATCGGTTAGAACGGATCTGGCTATATTCAATTATATTAAATTTAAATTATTAAAGAAACAGCTTGCGCCAGGCATACCTCATAACAAATATAAGCTTGTGGAACAATAAGTTATTTGAGCCATATTTACAGATATATTTTAGATTACAATCTAAATAAAAGAAATTTAAAAAAAATTACAGGCGCATGTTTTATACATTTTAAACATTTTATTTTATTTTTCCTTAAAAAATAAAAAGCTTTGTTATAATTCCTAATAGCTTTTATTTTTGTAGCTAGTTTTGATAATAATATAATGACAACACTGGCATTCACCGTTATGGTCAATCAGAGCTTCCACATACCGATAAAAAAACAGCTGTTTTTGCGTTTTGATGACATACGTTGAGAAAAATTGGGAAAAACAATTGAAAAACTGCCACTAAAATCGCCTCACAATGGCCGAGGTAACGACGCCGCAGATGACGGAACAGCTGGACAACGAGGAGGTGAGGGAAATCCTGAAGAACACAACAGATCTGCGCCAGTATTCGCGACAGATTGAAAAGGAGTTCAAGGAGGTGGAGAACAAGTCCATTGAGGGTAAATGGGACACTGCTATAATCCATATTTAAATGAAAACTAAATTATATATTGAAATCCAGACTATATAGCCGAATCCCAGAATATTGCCAATCTGCACAATCAGATAAACGATTGCGACGACGTCTTGGAACGAATGGAGAATATGCTGATGAGCTTCCAGAGCGTTTTGAACAACATAAGCACGGAGATCACGCAGTTGCAAAGGAAATCCGTGTCCATGTCCCTACAACTAACCAACCGGCAGTCGGTGAAGGCCCAGTTGTCACAGTTTATTGAGGACATGGCCGTATCCGAGGAGATGATCAATATAATCATGGAAACTCCAGTTACCGAAAGAGATTTCAGTAGCCAATTGAATGTGTTGAATCATAAGTTGTCGCTGGTGAAGGAGCTTAGCTTCAAGGAGTCCAAATCCACCAGCGATGTGAGCGATGTACTGCAGAAACTCCGACTAAAGGCCATGTCCAAGATTAGGGCGTATCTTTTAGAGCAGATTTACAAGTTCCGCAAGCCCATGACCAACTACCAGATACCCCAGAATGCCATGCTGAAGCACAAGTTCTTCTTCGAGTTTATCCTGTCCAACGAGCGGCACGTAGCCCAGGAAATATGCAGCGAATATATCGATACGATGAGCAAGATCTACTACAGTTATTTTAAGGTTTGCTGAAAGGAATGTATATTGTGAATATATATTTTATAGATTTTATTTGCAGAGTTACTCTACCCGCTTGACGAGTCTCAAATTTGAGGAATCCTGCACAAAAGATGATCTAATGGGCATCGAAGACAATGCCTCCAAGGGTTTATTTTCCAAGACCACAAGTCTGAAGCACAAGAGCACCATCTTCACCATTGGCAAGAGGGGAGATATACTTAACCAGCAGCTGGAGGCGCCCATCATAGTTCCCCATGCACAGCTTAAGAATAGGGTAAGATTTGTGGACTTTTGTTTTACAATTTAAATACATTCTTACTCAATTAATGTTGCAGTACACAGTGGAAGCCCTGTTCCGTTCGGAGCAATACGCCCTTGTGGATAATGCCTGTCGAGAGTATCTGTTTGTCACCGAATTTTTCATGGTCCGCGGCAGCCAGGCCCAAGATTTGTTTAATCAAATAATGGGCAAAACTTTAACTCTAATGATTGTAAGTCAAAGATAGCAGAATGTGTGAAATACTATATCTATATATTATATCTAGAAAAATCTGGAAACCTCCATACACGACTGCTACGACACCATAGCCATGTTCCTGTGCATTCATCTCATATTCCGCTACCAATTGATGTGCCACAAGCGTTGCGTGCCCGCTTTGGATAAGTAAGTTATTATATACTTTTGGGTTGCCTAATTCTTATAATTATAAGCCTTCATCGTAAACAGATATTGGGACTCCCTTCAGTCTGTGATTTGGCCACGTTTGGAGCTGGTATTCCGCCTAAATATTCAGAGCATACACGACTGTGATCCCACAAAGTTTAACAAGGAATTGGGGCCACATTATGTAAGTTGTAAAGACAGGTTTTTTCCAGAATTTAAGCAAATATAATGCATTGTCATTCCCTTTCAGATAACCCGACGCTATGCAGAGTTCAGTGCTGCAATCGTGGGTATCTCCGAGCACTTTCCCAATGAGCTTGTCAGCCGGTTGCTCCTGGAACTCCAAAACGAAGTGGAATGCTTTATACTTCGCATGGCGGCCATATTCCCAACGCGTAAGGATCAGCTCATTTACCTGATAAACAACTACGACCTGGTTTTGGGCGTCTTGATGGAGCACACCCGCGACAATTCCAAGGAGGCGGAGGCCTTCAGGGAGCAACTCAACGCCCGCAGTGCCGAATATGTGGAGGAAATATTGGCTCCACACTTTGGCGGTATTATACAGTTTGTAAAGGAATGCGAGCATTTCTTCGAGAAGGAGCAGATGGATGAACTGAGGAAACAGGAGCGAAGAAGTCTGGCCTTGGTGGCCAGCTTTTCGGCCAACTGGAAGAAATCCCTAGAGGAGCTGAACAGAGAGGTGCTCCTGTCGTTTCCCTCGCTGCTGACGGGCTCCCAACTCCTGCAACTGGCTCTGGCCAGTTTGGTGCAATATTATCATCGCTTCCACAAGCTGCTCACGCCCAATGCCCGCGCCCAGCTGACCAACATCCATGTAGTGATGGTGGAGATCAAGAAATACAAGAGCAACTACTGAGGGACGATTTAATTAATTCTGATGTATTCCAACTTGACTTCGACTTGATTTCCAAAATATATTTAGGCATAAGTGTAGACGACAGGCACAGCAACTTAGTCCTCATCCTCGAACATCATCTCCACGAGATCCTGGTTGGAGCAGCGCTCGCCATCCAGGCGCTGCGGCTGCTTCCAGCGCAGCAGAGTGGGCAAAAAGATCAGATGCGTGTTGGGATCCTTGCGGAAGGGGCAGTTCAAATCCTTCCAGCTAAAAAACAGGGTAAGAACAAGAGTTATTTTATGCTTGACAATGGTTAAATGATAAGAGAACTCAAGAGCATCGTAAAGCCTGCTCGGTCATTTATCGGTCGTTGTTTGATGTGTTTTTGCTTATCAAGAATGTTCTCGATGTGTAAACGAGCAGTTGGATGGTTATTTCAACACAAACAGCTGAGGTGGAATGACTAGCTTCATAAAACCGGATTTTTGGTTATTAAGTAAACTAATTGTTTTTCATTTAAATGGGAAAAAGGGGGAAAAAAGCTTTTCATTCATTAAAACCTTGAAATATTCTTTGATGTATACAAATACAATACCATTATTAATTCCCTAGGGAACAAGTACTCAACCGCAGCTGTGTCATAAATATATAATAAACTACTCACTAGCTCCTCTCGCCCACATCCACATGAACGAAATGTGAGTTGCCGGGGGCCTTCTTCAGGGCGTCGTGTATCACCGGTTCCGCTGCAAACGGATTGCATTAGGTGGGCGTTGGGGGAAAACTGATAGCCAGCGGTTAACCGCATTGGTGTCACTATATGTATATCTCACCCTTTACACAGTAGGGGCACCAACTCTGGCCATTCTCGTCCTTGCCGCCGCTAAAGAGTACGTGGACCGCCTCATTGCCGTTCTCCAGCTCCTCCATCTTCTTGGAAAACTCCTCGTAACCTTTGACGTTGTGTGTCACCACCATGATATTGCTGAGTTTAGGACCTACCGCGAAATAGCGTCTAAATAAACGACCGACGAGCGCCGTGATTGACAAGTTTCTGTTTCGTTTCTAAAGTGAATTATCACCAAGTTTTTAGTTTTATCACCGAGTGACGTTCCGAACCAAAAGTAACTAGTTCTCAGCAGTGATGACAAAATTTAAAAGCTTAAAGAGCTTTTGAGAAAAAGCTAGAAAAAATAACTATAATCAGAAAACGATTTTTAGTGAATTTGATATTTTTCTAAACAATTTTAGAAATAAATCAATTAAGATAGAAAAGGCGAATAATTTAAATTCTATATGGATCATATTTTTAATTTCCAGGCTCTACTACAAACAAGAAAATCGAAAATCCATACCTTTTTAATTTGGCGAACTTTTCAAGTCTGCTAAACTTGAATAACTTCCATAACCGGAGGCTCACTCGCCAAGGGTGCCTTGGAATTGCCTAGAAATCATATTTGAACAATTCATCTTACAAGTTCTTTGGCCAGAACATTTTCTTGTAGTTACTGTTATACAGCAGATTAGCAAATTAACAGTATTATTTTAATATATTTTATGTACAAACGTATAGAGCAGCAGATATTAAAAAAAATGCAAAATACCAAAATACATAATCAACATGCATAAAAACAAATTAAGATCACTCCAAGGTTGTTCTTCTGTGTTTCTGACGGATGTTTTGCCTAAGGGTTCCGGTTGACTTTGAACACTGGTAAGGTTTTTCTCTCTTATGTGGGTTCGGATTTCTAGCAGATGGTTCATTTGAAATGTCGTTCTCCAATGTGGATCTGCAGGTGTTTCTGAAGAGTTCCTTTTTGTCCAAAAGATTTCTCACAGTGGGTGCACTTGAAGGGTCTTTCTCCAGTGTGGGTTTTCAGGTGTAGCTGAAGAGAGCTTTTTTGTGTAAAAGACTTTTTGCAATCTGAACACTTGTAGGGTCGTTCTCCAGTATGTTTTCTGATGTGTATTTTAAGAGCGCTACTTTGTACAAAAGATTTCTCACAGTGGGTGCACTTGAAGGGTCTTTCTCCAGTGTGGCTCCTCAGGTGTAGCTGAAGAAGGCAGTTTTGTGCAAATGACTTCTCGCAATCTGAACACTTGTAGGGTCGTTCTCCAGTATGTCTTCTGATGTGTATCTTGAGAGATCCGATTTGTGAAAAAGACTGCTCGCAATGCGGACACTTGTAGGGTCGTTCTCCTGTATGGCTACGAATGTGTTGCCTAAGGTTTTCTGTTCGTGCAAAGGAATTTTCGCAGTGGGTGCACTTGTAAGGACGTTCTCCTGTGTGGATTCTCATATGTTGCTTGTAGCCTTCGAGCCGTACAAAAGACTTTTGACAATAGGAACATGTGTAAGGTCGTTCTCCCGTGTGTAATCGGATGTGAATCTGAAGAGATTTTAATTGTGTAAAAGATTTCGGACAGTCAGAACATTTATAGGGCCGTTCTCCTGTGTGGGATCGGATGTGTCGCTCCATATCTGAATAATTTTTAAAAGGCTTCTGGCAATGTGGACACTTGTGCCGTTCCCGAATATTTTTTAGGGTATGTTCCGCCTTCTCCTCGTGGCCAAGAGTATCACCAAAACGCTGATCATCTGCTTGAAAGGAATCATGGGACTCTTCTATTTTTACTTGGATGTCGACCTGATGCTCACAATCCAAAATATGGAGGGGATCTTCCTCAAATACATCTTCTTCAATAGGCTCGTTCTTCACTTGACCCTGGAACTCGTCTGCTTCAGACTCGATATCTTCATTTTTCAGTTCGCAATGAACCTTTACAGCTTCCGTGCTTTCGACGTTTGATTTTTTGCAAATTTCGGCTTTTAGAAGGTCCTTCTCTTCCTTGATATCTCTTTTAATCTGGCAGAAGGCCCGGTGGCTGGTCTCGTAAAGTTGTTTTATTTCATAGGCATTGGTCGCATCTTCTTTACAAGGCAAACAAATACTTTTGGGGAAGGCATCCCCCCTAGAAACGTTAAATCCAGTACACTGGGTTATCATATCCGCTATGGAAATCCTTTTGTCTGGGATGCCATCAAAGATATTAACCAAGGCTTCCGAGGTTTCAAGGCAAACTCGGCAGATTTGCCTGAAAATTAGTTATTAAAAGGCTATTTTTCAAAGGGATATTACTATTCTTGCTTACACTTTCATTTTATTACGCTTTTTAAGCTTTTTTTTAACTGTATTCCAAATTTTGTTTACAAAATTGCTTGTTTTGGTTTTCGTTGAACGCAGTATGACCGCTTTTCGCACGTGAAAAATACCATGAAACCGAAATGTGACGTTATCGATAAACGATAGCTTTATTGTAATCGCCAGGTACAGCTGATTGGAACACTTTTTTTCATAAAGTGCATTTATTTGTTTGCAGCAAACTAATTTGAGCTGAGGCAATGTCACGGCTGGCTTTATTGCGTAATTTGGTGTGCCAGCGACAAAAGCTGCTTTGCAATAACTCGGCGCAACTAAAATGCGCAGCCTTGATGCACTGGACCCCGCCATTGCGGCAAGAAAAAACGCGGGGTTTGTACTTTTCTAACATTGCAAGAAATAACAAACCTTATTGGATTTACTTATTCAGAATCTGGTGGCGGTGGCGGTGCACTCCAGCAGTCTCAGGACAACGCACAGGTCTCCACCGATGTGCGTCCCATCGGCGAAAAGATCAAAGAGAACACGAAGACGGCCAGCTATACGGCCATTATTGTGGCCGGCTTGGGTGTCACCTGCGTGATGTTTTTCGCCATATTCCGGGAGCTCTTCTCCAGCGAGAGTCCCAATAACATATATGCTGATGCCCTGAGCCGCGTGATCGAGGATCCGCGGGTGCAAGACGCAATCGGGGCGCCCATCAAGGGATTCGGCGAAACTTCGCGCCGCGGACGCCGGCAGCATGTGGCGCACTCCAGTTACGAGCGCAATGGCAAGCCGCACATGCGGATGCAGTTCTATGTGCAGGGACTGAGAAACAAGGCAACGGTTCAACTGGAGTCCAGGAGGGTAAGGACTCTTACACTGTTATATATTTCTTTTTGTTAAATAACTGCCCTGTCTTAGGCTCGCTGTGGCAAACTGGAATACCGATACTTATTTGTGCAATTAGACCACTATCCCCACACCACCATTATTTTGGAGGATAATCGCGCCTTTGATCCCACCCCCGAGCCCGCGTCCTCGTCCGCTACTCCCTCCTTTGGCAACCTGGCCCTGATGTCCAACAGCCAAGACAAATAAGGGAGGGGAACGCCCCCTTTTCTGAACTTAAATTTTCTGTACATTTGTTATATTTATTATTTGACTGACAATGAATTTGCATTGGGAATCACTCGCCAATCGAGAAGTTGTCCATCTCCAGGATGGCACCCGATTCGTGTCAGTATAGCTTCTTCCAGGGTATGATCTCCCACGAGCGTAGGATGTGTCGACCGAAGAGAAAGTCCTTCAGCTTGTTCATGATGTAAAACGAGATGCCAAAGAAGGAGGCAAAGTACAACCAAAACTGGCCGAGACGCTCCCAAATGCTGAGATGATAGCGAGCGGGCACTTGGAGCACATCCAGTTCCAGTTCCACGACAAGGCCAGGCTCCAACCGGGGTGGAGTAGGTCTGTAGTAAGTCTCCTGCACCGACAGTTGGAAATAGGCAGGATTGGCCTTCACCTGGGCTAGCAGCGATTCCATTTTGTACTGGCCAATGTCGGCAGTGCTGGCATTTGTGTCGATATGCACCTGTCGAAACTGCGTCTTGATGTTGCGCCCCGGAAAGGGGCAGGTGAACTCTACGTACTGCTTCAGCTGCAGCTCGCCCTTCAGCTGGATGTGCCCGTTGTTTAGGCGAGCGGCTAGCGGAATCTGTAGCTGGTGGGCCAGCACGGAGGGCGGCGAGAGATCACACTTGTGCTGCAGCTGAGCTTCAAAGAAGACCAGCAAATTGAAGCTAACCAGGCGAGCGGGATCCTGCAGCTCCAATTGAAAATGCGCCCGGTCCGTCACCGTGTCATAGTCCACATCCTCGGTCCAATATCTGGTGGCACTGCAGCTATTGGTATAGCCACCCATTTGGGCATTAAAATCGCTGAAGCTGCTGCAAGCCACTGCCAGTTCCTGCTCGCCATCCTCCTCAGCCGTGCCCACGAATATGTACTGATAGCTGAACTCCACATTGGGCTGCTCGTACAGGACTCTCGACTCAGAGATCCCAGAGTATGGGCTCAGCAGGGAGACCAGCAAGACGGGTATCATCACGGACAGGGCTATGAAAGCCAGGACTATAAGCGAGGCGAAGGAGCACAGCGAGTTTTTGTACACGATCGCCGTGTTGGTCGTATGCAGCGGAATAAATCTCATTTTGATTTTCTTAGCAAGTTAAAAAGGCACACCTGCTCCTCGACACTTGTCAACTGAATGTTGTGAAAACACACATTTGTGAGCTACGTTGCCAGGCAACCTGTAAATTGGGTGAAAGGTAAGAAAATCTACTAAACTCATTATAAATAAGAAAATACAGTAGATCTACTAAAATTTAAAATTAATCCAAAAAATGACTGTTTTTAATGTTAATGTTTAATGTTAGTCACAATCTCCTCCAGAATTTAAATAATCTTGGCAGTCTCCGTAATAGAATTATCGTGCATCTGCCGAAGCTTCATGTATTTATCCAGATTTTTGGAAAAACATGATAATACAACAAAACAATAAAATAATTTAAATATATACATTTTTTGTGGTTTTTTTTTTTCATTTATAGCTTACAGAAGGAACCTGGGGAGGCGATCCTTTAATTCTTTCGGTAGTATATTTACTGTAAATAAATGGGTGCAAAACTTTGATAAGTAAAACTAGTTTTAAAACATGGTTCGCGTCTGTGCCTTTATTTTTTTTGCACTGCTTACATTTTTCCTAATTTTAACTAAAGTGTATTTAAATTTCGGTAAGTATATTAAAAAATAAATATAATTTTTTCAATTTTAAATTTCAAAATTCATAAGAGTAAAAACGCTATTTAGGGGGGACTTAAATATACTGCTTAACTTCTTTCTGATTTGCTTTTTAATTATATGCTTTTCAGTGGTGAACAAAATAAAAAAAAAATAACTAAAGTGCATTTTAATAAAATTATTATTTTATTCAATTTTAAATTTCAAAATTCAAAAGAAAAAAGTCGTTGCTTAGGGGCACCTAAATCTTTATTATTTATTTATTTATAGAAATCACTCCATAAAATGTTTTACAATTATTTGTAATTGGGGCTTACTTTAAAAGGGAAAATATTTAGAATTTATTAGTATTTATTTATTATTATATTATATTTTATTACATTCAAAACAAAAAAAAGTGTACCTTAATTCACATATTTCTTTTTAATTATCTTTTTTCAGTATTGGTTAATGAAAATAAAGTGTAAACTAAACTGAAGTGCTTATAAATTTCGGTAAGTCAAATTTACAAAATTTTTAATTCAATTTTGTATTTAAATATGAAAAAGAAAAAAGTTGTTGTTAAGGGAAACCTAAATGATTATTAATCTGTTTTTGGAAACAATTTCATTTCATATTTTACATTTATTTAGTTGGTATTTTAGTTTTCTTAGAAATTGAAATTATTTCTGATTTCTTAATATTTATTTACTAATATATTTCAATCGAAATAGACTCTCCGCATTAAGTGAACCTTAATTCGCTTTCTCCTCCCTGTAGACACAAGGTGCTCCTCCAATCGCTTTATTAGTAACTGCCTGGGTCTTCTGTCTCGGGATTGAATAACCCATCCTCCCAGCCCCGGCCAATACACATCCGTTTTGGCTTTAAGCCGATATTGCAAAAGTATTGATTGCACATAATTATAGGATTTCGATTCGGTGCCCACAAAGCTCTGAGGTGAAAAGTGAGCCTTTTTGAGGGCAGCAAAAAGGGGGGAAATATGTACGAAAATAAAGAACGGTCGCATAACTTGACCAACATTTGCTCATAATTAAGACTGCCAACTGGTTTTGAGCCTAAAAAAAAAACCTTTCGTGCGTACCGCGTAAAAATCGGAAGTTGCAGCTTTGCATTTAATGCGCTTATTTTAAAGAGTGTTGAAAGCGAGGCACTAAAAAAGAAACAAAAAAGAATATACTATACGTACATAATTGCACTGGCGAAAGATGAGAGCGGCGAGAGAAAAGAAAGAAAATTATTAAATTTAATGAGGAAGTTAATGCAATACCTGACACCGTTACCAGGAGAATTCCAAAGCGTTTATTCGGATTTTAGCGAAGACTATACAGCTTTTGAAGAAGAAACTGCGACGAATTCTTATTTTAAAAATGAATACTATATTTTGAAATACAGAAAAGTCTTATATTTTTAAGTTTAGATTTTAAAAATATAAATAAAATTATTAAAATCAGCAAAACCCTTTCACAAACTTTAAAATCTTTGAATATTACAAAAGTTTTAGAGATTTATGAAAAAATAATATAATAAATATTACGTAATATGTAAAATGGCCTCCTCAACTATCATTGAACTCATACAATAAAGACTTCTTCTGGTTTTGTCATTTAACTGTCACCTTCAAAAGTTTCCCATTTATGTTAGTTTTTGTTTAGTTAACCGAAAAACTTGTACATTTGATTGGAATGTTTATTTTATTTTCCCCCGCTTTGGCCGCGTGACATGTCAGGTTGTTGTTGGGTAACAAAAGTTTTTCTGATTGGTCTTTTGACTTTTCTGCCTGTCTTTCTGACATGTGTTTTGTGTGAATATTAAAAATGTGTGGTAAAAATGATGGCCTGGCATCCTGATGCGGTGTCACAACTAACATAAAATGATGAATAAATAAGAGTGAATCACAATTTGACAGTTACGTACTCGCTTCTACTCGATCCTTGACAGCTGCACAGAGTTGGACTAAAATTAGTTTGGCTGTGTGCTGTCTTTAAGGCCAAGATAAGAAGAGTACTCCCGCAAGAAAAAAATCAATAATTTTTCAGCGTTTTTTTTCTTATTTTTCCTTTTTTTCTCGACATTGCCACGCCATTTTACAGAAAAGGCTGAGAGCAAAAGGGAAAGAGGAATAAATAAAAAAGAAGAAAAGTCTGTGTGTATGTAAGAAGCCAAGATGGCAGACGAGCAGACAGATAGGAAGGGAGGTGGGCTCTTTCGCAGTTGGAATTCAGCTCACGGCCCCAGGACAATGCCAGCTCTGTGCCCATATATCCTTTTTCAACGAAATTTCAGCTTTCACTCGTTTCGCGTACGTGACCGTGTTGCCACCAAGGAGCTGTTGAAGTGGCAAATTCGCACAGCGCCACCAACCTTTCACAGCGGACTGGGAATGCCAGTTGGGTCTGGGGTTGGGGTTGGGGTTGGGGGGGTAGGCATGAGTTTGGGTGTTGCTTTTGGGTGGCTGTAATGGTAGCTCCACCCTGCCTTTCTCTGTGTGCGCCAGGTGTCGGGCGCTGGCAAAAAGTAGCAGTTTATTAGGCGCACCAAATTAACATAGGACTACTAATGACTCTGCCGAGGTAAAACTAACTAAAACCGAGTGTAAAAGTTGGGAGGAAGGTGAAGAGGGATGGGAGCCTGCAATTTGGGTGCTTTGTTACTCTGTTAATTAAGTTGACTTTAAGGTGACCGGAAACTGGGGTAAATGGGGCAAGCAACTATCAATCATCTTCTGAAAGGATTTAAGAGCATATAAATACTTTAGTTGGAAAATAATAACACAGTAACATTTATTAGGAATTTAGAAATTAGAAAAGATAGTTACTTTTTTAAAAATGTAAGCTGAAAATGATATCTTAAATAAGAAATAAAACTGAACCAGTTTGTTATTATTAATAACTCCATTATTTTCAAGATTATTCCATTATTAGTCAGATAAATATTACGAAAAATGTCGAGCTAATTTATCCGACTCACTCAAGGGTGTTTTGTGTTCTCCACTCAATGCGGTCGACTTGAACAATATTACAACGCCTGCGCGGATTTACATCCTTTTTGGTTTGTTTTGTTTTATATTTTTCCTTTTGTTGAGCTCAGCCCAATGCCAGTGCGGGAAACTGCCACCCCTTCTACTGGATGCTGGAAATGAAAAGGGGAAATGCGAACGCTTTCCCTGATGCTTTGCCCAGCTCCCCAAGGAAATCAAAGGGAAGCACAAACAGCGAGCAAAGAGTCCGTTGAAGTTGCTTTAATATTTATATGGAGTTCATGTCTCTATCTCTGGCAAATTCCCCTTACAACACTCAAGTGGAAATGTGTTACACACACATGTACACCTCTGTATGCGTGTGTGTTTCACTCAAGGATGTCGAGAGATGGAGGAAGCTTCCTTTCGGTGAACTATATTTGACAATCAAGCCGCAAGCATATGTTACCCGATAATTTGCCGAAAGTTTTAATGAAAGACATGGGACTCATTTTTCCTACCACTCTGCGACTCTCTCTGTGTGTGTGTCCCTGAGTTAATATCCTTTTTGTGTGAGTGCGTTTCGCCTCCTTTCTGGTTCGCCATTTTGTCCGTGTCAGTGTGTGTGTGTGTGCCAGCATATTTTTTGATGAGCTCGAGAAAAGCCAGTGTGCCTCTCTGTGTGTGGGTGCGGCGTCTGTCCTCGACTTGGGCGGTATAATTTCCATTTTATAAATGACTTTTCCGGAACTCGCTCACTCACCAGCCAGAGGCAACTGTAATCACGCCATATCTGTTGAAAGTTTACAACTTTTTGCCAGCGTTTTTTGTGAATACAAATTGTGCGGCGGTAGGTGGGGTTCCCTCTTTTTTATTAGTTGCAAGGACTTTCTTAAATATTGTTTTTTTTTTTTTGTCTAATAATATAGCTTAAGGTTATTCGGAAAGGCTTACAGATTACAAGGCTTAAAGATTACAAGTTTAGAGACTTTTCTACGGGTTGTTGCAGAAATTTCGCCTTTAATTTCCAAGTACGAATTCCGCGATAAACTGATTTAGAAACCTAGCGAAATTTTAAGAATTTCTTTGAATTCTTTGCTTAAAAGTAGCTTCTTGTTATGTGCATTTAAAATCTTTGAACAAAAAAATCTTTAGACAAATCTCTCAGTGAGGGATCTCTTCAGTTACCACGCTATTTATAAAATTCAGTAAAATTTTTCATATAAAAGTTTATGAAAAAAGAGCTTGGAGTACACCCACAAAGGCGCCAATACATCCCGCTGGGCAGTGGAGCAGACAACTAAAAACCGGACAGGTTCGTGGTCCCTGGAACCTGCCAAACAATCCATGGAGAGTGGCCAGGGGGTGTGGGAGATGGGAAGAGGTGTAGTTGGAGTGGAGTTGGAGGTGAGAGGACACTCTGTCATACAATTTTTCAGTTGTTGTTACTTCCTTCGCCGCTGTCGCCGTTTTTTTTTTCGCCATGCTGCTGTTGGTAATAAGCGTAAAACTTTGACAGTTTGTTATCCGCATTTGTTTCGGTGGCTTGCAGTTTTCATTTTCCACTTTTTTCGATTCGCGTTTTTTTGTTT